TGGAAATGCCTAAACAGGCCTTTCCAGAGGGTTGAGAGCCCGAGAAGAGCTCTAATATGGCTTTTCTTTTATGAAGATGGTTCTCGTCTTTGAGCTGTGTTTGCAGTGGTTAGAGCTCCTGTTATGGAGATACCTACCCCTTAACGCCTCCCTTGCTAAATGAAGGAGAAAAGCATCTCAGTGGTTTATTAACTTTATTGGGAAGACTTGTTGGTCTTATTCAGGTCTATATACATTTTCCTGTCTTACAGGAATATTAAACAAAACACAATTAGAAAAAAATGAAAACTCGATTAACAAGAAAAGTCATAAACTTGTTTCAGCTCTTCCACACGCCTCTCTAAATCTCTTATTCTTGATCATATAATCTCCATATCCGTATCCTTATAGATGATATGATATCATTGATATCCATATCGATACCAGTACCCGTAAGGATACCAGTACTCGTATGGATACCCGTAGTACTCGTATGGATACCCGTATCCGTATCCATATGGATACAATAGATATCCATTTCCATTTCCGTATCCATTTTCATATCCGTATCCATTACCATCTCCGTGTGGATACAATGGATATCCGTATTCATCTTGGTCTCCGTATTCGTCTTCATCTTTTTCACTGTGATGTTGGACTTGAATTTTAACACCAATATCCTCTACATGGTCTACAAAGGTGAAAACTCTGTAATCAGTCTCAAAAGCTTCGCCGTTAACTCCAACACCTTGGATTTCAACAGTTTGGAAAGTGTTCTTTTCCGGATTGAAGAAGAAAACACAAAACGGTTTGGATGTAAACTTCTCCACCAAAACAATTTCACCTCTAGCAGTCATCCCAACGACAGAAACATTGCGGACACGGACTTCATGCATAGGAAAAGTGTAGACATATTTCGACCATTCCTTCTTCTCGACATCCTCTAGAAACGATATACTCAACACAACGGCGTTGTCAGCATCATACGTGAAATTAATCCCACCTAATTTACCTTTGAAGTTGATCAATCTAGTAGCAGGATAATCTCTAAAGCACTCCGCCTCAATTACCTTGAATTTCTCAGACTTGACATCAAAGCAAACTAGCAAATCAGAAAAGTTAGTGCTATTGCCAGCCAAGTAGTAGAAAACACCACTGATGTTTATCCCTTGACACGAAAAACAATAGTATGGGGGACAATGGTTATTATTCCTCCAACTCAGTTTTCCAGTTCCTAATGTCAGAATTCTATGATTGCCATGGAAAGATGGAGAAACCTCACCCACTACTTTGAATTGCTTGTCAATCGGATCAAACCCTAAAAAACTTGTCGACTTTCTCAAGTTTCCTTGGACAGGTAAGCGGACACACTGTCCCATTATAGGGTTACATATCACACCCACACCACCTGATCTCTTTGACTTCTTGTTCACATCCTCTGAGGTAATAAAATCAGGGACATAGATCAAACCAGAGGCAAGGCTACATATGTTGTAGCCACACATCTGTCCAGGGAGCTTCATATGATAATCAGCAGTGACTACAAGAGACTTCTCGTATGGATTCTGAGGCTGAAGCGCCGAGAAAAAGAGCAGCTCACCATTGGATCGTTGGAGGACGAGTAGGAGGCGTGGACGAGCCGAGGACCTTGTGAAGAATAACTCGGTGAAGTCTTGGCGGCTAAGTATGGATCCCCACTGCTTCGACACGCAACGAAACCTCCCGATTGATTTTGCGGGCAATCTCGATAGTATCTCTGGAATGAGATCATTTGGCATGGAAGCTAAAGTTTCTCCTCTATTCATCATCGTTTTTGTTTGCTTAATCAATTCATCGCAAAGACGCCAATATGTATTTAGGTTTTTGACTTTTAGGGTTTAGCCATTTAGGTACAAATAAATTAATAAAATGTAAAATGTATATCTTAACAATATTTGACAAATAAATATCTTGTAGAAATAGGACTTTGCCGATGAATTTTAATTTACCAAAAAGTTGTCTCCTCGATATAAAGGTGTGAGTGCACTTTTCTTGATGTTACTATAAACTTATTTAATATTTGTATTAGGAGTTTTTAGTTGATGTGATGATATTGGTATAAAATTTGTTTGGTTAAATAGGGTGTAGAATGATATTTCTTAGTTCCTTGATCAAATTAAAACATATGAACCTTTATGTATTGGAATTCTTCGAAACTCAGATCTTTAGAATCTTGGACAACTCTTTAGTGACTTATAATAGATGTGTAAATGGTAATTCTACTCTTTGAGAACAAGAGAGTAAGAAATTTACTAGCGTCACTGCAGGTTTTTGGTGGGACTTATATAACATCTTCAAACTTCAAAGCGATGACAACTACTTTTCCACTCTACCAAAGCTGAAAACAGAGAGTTGCAGAGTAATATGCATAGACCAGAGGGGATCGTTGAGAAAATAAGGTCGGCCTTGAATAAGCTGAACTATCGTGGTAACATGCCTTTGGCAACATGGAATATCCCTCCTTCTGTCAAGAAAGCTCTCTCTTCCACTGGGATCACTCTTAATCACGTCAACTACAGTTAATCTTCTTATCTTTATCCCTTGAATTGTATGATTTTGATGCTCATATTCAAATTAATGGCTGTGCTATTTTTTTTTTTTTCTTTTCTTGTATAAAAGAACTCTATATGGTCTAATTAACCATGCATATTTACGAGCTTTTGTTTCACGTTTTAGGTTCTGAAAGAGGAGAAGTTAGCATGGATATTTTCGACGATGTGTTGGACCGAAAATATGATAATCCACCTCCGGCTAATTTTATGTTCATCTGTCGTCGTGACGAACATGATCTAAATAGTTTCGACCGAGAGAGGCAGATGGGATATAACTTTCTTGTGGCACATCCTGAACATCCTTCAGACTATTTGGCAAAACTATTTAGAAACATCCAGCCCTTGTTAATTCTCTCATCGAAAGATTGCTAAAGATAACATGGTGAAGAAGCAAACTTTAATATACTTTGACATTTCTAAATTTGACATCTCCATGTTTTCATTTTTTTCCATTGGATGTCCTAAAGACAAAAATGATGTGAGGTGGTTGTATTAGAAGGCTTATCATCCAATTTTTTTTTTTGTATTATTTAATTTAATAATCTACTTAAGAATGATAATTTAATAACAAATATATATTGTTACAAATATCACAAAAACTTATCATAAAACTTACAGTTTTGCTAAACTGGTTTAGATTTTGGTTGTAGATAAATGCATGTTTTAATATTTTAAATTTTAGATTTTACAAAAGGGAATGTTTGTCAAAACCAAAGTTTGAGGCTTAACTCGAAAGAATTAAGAAAGTTAAGGTCATATATAAATTTCTGGTAAATGTAAGATATGTTCGTCGGAAGGAGAAAGGCTATTGAGAAAAAGAGAGATGGAGAATGCTTTGTCGCCGTCGCTGTCACCGTCGCCGGCAAGTGAAGTCGCTGCGAGAGTATCTTCTCTGTTCGTTTATCCGATCAAATCATGTAGAGGAATAGCTTTGTCTCAGGCAGCTCTCACTCCCACTGGTATAATCAGTAACTATGTATATTCTCCCATTGACGAGAAATATCCTATTTTTTGGTTTTCATTTCGATTTTTCCTTTTTGGGTTTCATAGTTGAGCCATTTATTCATGTGGGTTTAAGTTCTTTTACGATGTAGTCGCTTAGTCCAAGGGTTCATCATGAATCAGTGAAGCTCCTTGTTTGCTTTGTTTCAGATGTTGTGCCCTTGTTAATGGGTTCTTGATAATTAATGAAAATTGTGGCTGTTCTAAGCAGTCTTGAGTGTGGCTCTGGAAGTTCTTAAGTGGAAAATTTTATTTTTGTGCTGTCCTGCAATGATGCTCTGATAGTGTAATAGACTTGGGATATGAATGATTAAGTGTGATGTAGTTTGTCATTTTTTTGGGTTTGATTATTGAGTATAAGCTGTTGTCATTGTGAGAGCTGATGAGATTATTTTTTGTATGATTTTTTGGGGGACAAGTAGAAATGCTAAGTTGTTTTTGGGGTTTGGTTGATTAGGATTCCGATGGGATCGAAACTGGTTGATTGTGAACGATAAAGGGAGAGGATTGACTCAAAGAGTGGAACCAAAGCTTTCATTGATTGAAGTGGAAATGCCTAAACAGGCGTTTGCAGAGGATTGGGAGCCTGAGTGGAGCTCTAATATGGGTCAGATTGTTTTTTTTGTCTTTGTCTTCAACTTGCTTTCCTTTGATGAAGATGCTCTTTTTCTTATCTTCTTGGCTGTGTTTTCTCTATACAGTGGTCAGAGCTCCTGGTATGGATGCCCTTAAGGTCTCCCTAGCTAAACCTACCAAAATAGCATGTGGTGTCTCAGTTTGGGAGTGGTCTGGCTCTGCACTAGATGAAGGAGAAGAAGCATCTCAGTGGTTTACAAATTTTGTTGGGAAGCCTTGCCGACTTGTTCGTTTTGATTCAGGTTTCATATGCTTTTTCCTGTCTTAATTAGTTAATCTTACAGCATGACTCCTTTGCAGTCTCTGTTTTAATTTTGGCGGTGCATGTTTGATCACGAGTCACATGTTTGCTGTTGTATTTGCAGCCTCTCAGACTAGGCCTGTGGACCCAAATTATGCTCCAGGTCACATTGCGATGTTCTCAGATATGTATTCATTCTTGCTTATATCACAGGTAAGAAGATCAAATTCGATTTCTTCCTTTCGGTTCTGCTTTACATAGTCTCGTGCGGTTTCCAGGGTTCGCTTGATTCCCTGAATAAGCTTCTCAAGGAGCCTGTACCGATCAACCGATTTAGACCCAAGTATGTTCACAGGAAAGTCCTGAGTGTTTTTGTTACTTTGTAACAACACTTGATAACTCTCACTGGGAATTGTTACAGCATCTTTGTTGATGGATGTGAACCATTTGCTGAAGACTTATGGACAGAGATCCTTATTAATGATTTCACCTTTCACGGTGTGAAATTATGCTCCCGTTGCAAGGTATATCAAAACCTTGTTTAAAAATTTATGAATCTTTTTTTTGGTTTAGTTTGTTCAGTTTGTTCAAGGATAATAAGCTATTTGTACTTGATCAGGTACCTACGATTAATCAAGAAACTGGGATTGGAGGTCAAGAGCCGATTGAGACATTGAAAAATTTCAGGTCAGACAAAGTTTTACAGCCAAAGAGGAAACCACAGGGAAAGGTAAAGACCATGGTCCGGTTTATCATCATGGCAAATGAATATGAGGGTTTAATTTTTAGTGATCGATCTGAAAAATGGTATGCAGATATACTTTGGGCAGAACATGGTTTGGAAAGATCGACTCGGTGGTGGAATTGGGAAAACTATTGAAATTGGTGATTCCGTTGTTGTCCTTGGTAAACTCTCCTCTCCTGCTGAAGCAGCAACTTGATCCAAGAAACTTGCAGCTTGTTCTGTTTATGAATCTTTCTCTCGTATCTTGCTTTTATCACAAGTACATATTTATGAATTTTTCTCTCTTATCTTGCTTATATCACAAGTATATATTGATGAATCGTTCTCTCTTATCTTGTTCTAATCTTTCACAAGAAAGGTGACCACGCTTATCAAGACCTCCAAATTCACAATTGATCCCCAAAAGAAGCAACCACATTATAGATGATATACTCAATTAAGAACACATGAAAATAGCTCCTTTGTATTATTGATTTTAGAACTGAAGAGTTGCTCACACGCCTCTCTAACTCACTTCTTTAGCTTCATCTTCAATGTCATCTTCATACCCGTCTTCATATCCATATCCGTCTTCATATTCATATCCATATTCATATCCGTCTTCATCGTCGTCTTCATCTTCATCTTCATCTGTTCCATCTTCCCTTTTGTACAGCTGGACTTGAGTTTTAAGACTAATATCCTCTACATGGTCTACAAAGGCGAAAACTCTACAATCAGTCTCAAACGCTTCACCATTAGCTCCAACACCTTGGATTTCAACACTTTGGAGAGAGTTCTTTTCTGGATTGTAGAAGAAAACATTATACGGTTTGGATGTAAACTTCTCCGCCAAAACAATTTCACCTCTAGCAGTCATCCCCGCGACGAAAACATTGTAGACCTGAACTTCATGTTTAGGCAAAGTGTAGACATACTTCGACCATTCCTTCTTCTCGACATCCTCTAGAACCGACACAGTCAACACAACAGCGTCATCATCATCATACGTCAAATCAATCCCACCTAATTTACCCTTGTAGTTGATCAATCTAGTAGCACGACGATCTCTAAAACATTCCGCCTCAATAAACTTAAATTTCTCAGACTTGACATCAAAGGAAATCATCAAATCCGAGAACTCATCGGTTGTGTCAGCCAGATAGTACAAAACACCATTAATGCATATCCCTTGAGACGAAAAACGATAGTAATGCGGACAATGGTTATTACCCCTCCACCTCAGTTTCTCGGTTCCGAATGTCAGAACTCCATGATGATCATAGTCATTAGAAGATATATCAGCCTCGGCCAATACCTTGAACTGCTCGTCAACCGGATCAAACCCTAAAAAGCTTGTTGACTTTCTATAGATGATCATATTAGGGATAGGTAAGGTAAGAAACTGTCCCAAGGCAGGGTTACATATCACACCTTCCTTTTCCTTCCCATTCACAGACTCTAGATTCTCAAAGATCTCATAATCAGGGACATAGATCAAACCAGAGGCATAGCTACACATATTGTATTTCAACATATGTCCACGTAGCTTCATGTGAAAATCAGCGGTTACTACAAGAGACTTCTCATATGGATTCTGAGGCTGAGGGGACGAGAAAACAAGAAGCTCACCGTTGGCTCGTTGGAGGACTAATAAGAGACGTGGGCGAGCCAACGACCTGGTGAAGAACAACTCGGGGAAGTCTTGACGGCTAAGTATGGATCCCCACTGCTTCGACACACAACGAAACCTCCCGATTGATTTTGCTGGCAATCTTGATAGTATCTCCGGAATGAGATCAGATGGGAAGGAACTAAGGATTCCTCTATCCATTATCTCGGGAATTAGATGAAATGCTGAATCAAATCATCGCAAAGACTAATATATATATATATATTAGTTTTAGGTTTAGAATTGAGTAAATTTGGGTAAAGACCCTCTTTTTGTTTACATTTTTGACAAATACCTTATTTTATTTTTTCTGTTAAAAATTATTTTAAAATATGTAAAACTAGTAAATAATCTTTACTTTTAAACTAGTAAAAATTGTGGTTTTGAGACAACGAGAATGAACAAAATGCTAAGCAAAAAAAGCGACAAAGCTTATTTTGAAACATGTAAATGAGAAGATGCAACATCACTCCAAATCATATTTGGAATTGGTAAAGGCTGTAATAGACCAGAAGATGCAACATTATCACTCTAACATTGTTGTACATGTACTATACGCTTCTATGTCCTTAAGATAGTGTTCTGTGGGTATATTCACAATTTTAGGATCAGGATTTTTCTTAAGTGTTGCTATGATTGCTTTTAAGGCCACATCAGTGTCATAACTATAGCGTCTAGTATTGTGTTCATGTACAACAATGTTAGAGAGATTCCTCTGGTTGAGTCGTATACTCTGTATCAGATGCAGTGTTAAATAAAAATTCAATAGGATTATTATACTAACACTTTCTAACCTAATAATGATTCAGATTTATATTAATTCACATAATGTTCGAGCGTTAAAACAAACAATTCAATGGATATTCCTGGAGTTGAATTACATGCTGACACTGAAGTAGATGCCATAGATATATATTCCAGTTAACTCCAAGATCATTCTTGTCACTGTGCCATTAAACTTTTGGCCGAGTTTTCAGTGGTTAGAGCTCTTGGTATGGTCTACAAATTTTGTTTGGAAGCCTTGTCGACTTGTCCGTTAAGATTCAGGTTTCATGTACTTGTTCCTGTCTTAATCAGCTAACCTTACAACTTTTCTTCTAACTGAAAAAATTCCCACATTAGCTGAAGACAATATCACCTTTTATGTTCCATGAATTTGTATTTCATTGTTTAGAATCAGCTTTTTCATTTGTCCATGTCAGGTACCCATATTTAACCAAGAAAAAAATTTCGAATCAGACAGATTTCGAAATATATTGTAATCATAACAAATGAATAGTTAGACTATTGATTAGGCGTTTTGATCTTATGTCCATATGTGACAAATTTAGCTAATTAAGCCTAACAGAATAGTAGAGGTAAGAGAAAACGAAAGAAAAACCAAAACAAAAACTAGCTAAGCCAATAGAGAGATTGATCATGTTAGCTGATGATGATTCGTAGTTGTTCTGCTCCTTTCTCTTCTGCTCCTTGCTCTTCTGCTCCTTGCTCTGCACAGATTGAGGAGACTTGGAGAGGTCAGGAAATGTATGCGTACGTTGTTGTGGTTCTGGCCTCTTGGGAACGAAATTTTGGACTGATGGTAAAGGGATTGACTTGAGTTGCATTGCATCATTAACACAAAGATCCTCTACATAATCTAAAAAGGCGTATAATCTGCAATCACTATTAGCACCACCAACACCTTGGATTTCAACACTTTGGAGAGTGTCCCTCTCGGGGTTATAGTAGAAAACATAAACCGGATGACACTGATACTCCACAATCGACAAAACAATTTCACCTGAAGCAGTAACCCCAACAACACTTAGATTGTTGTTAACCTTAACAACTTCACTCTCACGTCTCAAAGTGTAGGCATATGTCGTCCATTTCTCTTTCTCGACATCCTCTAGAACCCGCACACTAAACTTAATGGCAAACCTACCATACTCCAAATTAAACAAACATAATTTCCCCTTATAGTTTATCAAGGGGGAACGATAGTGTTGTGGGAGGTGTATGAACTTGAATTTCTCAGTTCTAACATCAAAGCAAACTATCACATAAGGCCATCCATTAGTATCTATAGCTAAGTAATACAAAACACCATTGATGCAAATCCTTTCCCACACAGGCTCATGGGTAAAAGGACAACGGATCTTCCTCCACCTCAGTTCTCCAGATCCTAGTGTCAAGATATAATGATCCGTATCACTAGAAGCTATATAGTTAAAAGTACTCATGACCAAGACCTTGAATTCCTTGTCAATCGGATCAAACCCTAAATAGCTATAGGTATACGAATGACCTCTAAGTTCAGGTAAGATCACATACTGTCCCGTGAGAGGGTTATATATCACACGCTTTACATCTTCATCTTCCCTTGGGATGTGCATATTATGAAAATAGATCAATCCAGAGGCATAGCTACACCTGTATTCGCTTATGCCTTTAGAGAACTTGATATGAGAATCGGGGGCTACTACAAGAGACGAAGACTTGTCATATGGATTCTGAGGCAAAGGAGTTGAGTAAAAGCTCCACTCACCGTCTTTTGCTACCCCAAATAAGAGACGTGGTGGACGAGCGGAGGATCTGGTTAACAAGTCGGTGAAATCATCACGGTGAAACCCTGACCTGGTTAGCGCCAAGGACTTCCATTGCTTCGACACGCAACGAAACCTCGCTACTGATTTTGCTGGCAATCTCGAGACTATCTCGATGAGGAGATCATTAGGAATGGAATCAAAAGTTTTTCCACTATCCATGATCGGACGGAGAGAGATCTTTTGAGAATGTAGTTTTGGATTATTTTTAAAAAGTTCGACCTAATTAGTAGATACATATAAATATCATCTAATTAGGAGTGGGGATGGTGGACTTGAACCTAACTTAAGGCCCAAGAAGCATCGTTCTTTTCTTTACATTTGTAATCTTTATGAGTTTGCATGATAATCAACTTTTCAGTCTTTGTGAATTTTAATAGAAACTTCAAACTGAGAGAATCTTAATGAGAATATAAATTTCTTAATAAATTCTTTGATAAATTATTGTAATACAAATAATTACAAATACAAATACAAATACAAATTGCATCAAATTGCATCAGGTTTTGGCACCTGTAAGTTTTAATCTTCTAAAAGACACAAAGCATATAATTTGGTAATGCTCTTAAACCTACGACGATCTTGTTCAAGATGAGCTGCGGTCATGATCTTCTCTAGATGATGTTGATGTGCTCTGTTCTGGTTGGCTTATAGATGTTGCAGCATAGGTTGGCTTCATAACATCAAACCTAAGATCCTCGACATGGTCTACAAAGTAGTAAACTTTATGATAGCTATACAATTCTTCCCCTTCTCTAACACCTTGGATTTCAACACTTAGTAGAGTGTTCTTTTCAGGATTGAAGTAGAAAACATAACACGGTTTATATGCATTCCTCTTCGCCAAAACAATTTCACCTAAAGCAGTCACACCATAAATCGAAAAATAGTCGTTGTCCTTGACTTTATTCTGAGCCTTCAAAGTGTAGGCATATGTCGTCCATTCATGTTTCTCGACATCCTCCAGAACCCACATACCTAACTTACGGGGAAATCCACCACTATAACCATCTTCGAAATTAATCACACCTAACTTACCTCTATAGTTTATCAATTTACTAGAAGTTCTACCAGGGCAGTCTGAGTTTAGATTTAAATACTTGAATTTCTCAGACCTAACATCAAAGCAACCTATCACATCACGCCCTTGACCAGTTGGTTGAGTTAAGTAATACAAAACCCCATTGATGCATATCCCTTCACACCAAAAATGAGGATAATGGCGTAAAGGACATTGGATATTCCTCCACCTCATTTTTCCAGTTTCCAACGTAAGAATATCACAACTCAACTCACCAAAGACTCTACTGTTAAAGACCAAAACCTTGAATTGCTTACTAATCGGATCGAACCCTAAAAACCCATTGCAGTTGTAGTTGAGGTCAGGTGGTAAGATCGCATATTGTCCCGTGCTAGGGTTACATATCACACGCACTTTATAGTCACCATCCTTTGTGGTCCGCATTTTTTCATTTCCACCATTCTTTAAGATCCTCATATTAGGGAAGTAAATCAAACCAGAAACATATTTACAATAGTACTGAGACATGTCTTGAGAGATCGAATTCATATGAAAACCATCGGCTACTACTACAAGAGACTGAAAGAACTAGAACCTTGAAAGTACTACAGAGATATAGAAATTTCTTCAAACTTGGTTTTATTAGCAAATCTTCAAACAACTCTTTTACAAGCTTGTTTGATCAGTTTTACCCAAACTCACCCACTGTGATTTGGCCCTGATCGATTCCTAATCTACCCAACTTACAAGCACAACTACAGCTATGCACACTCTTTTGTTCACTCACCAAAAGAACCCAAATCAAGCCTTAGCTCGAATCTCAGACTTGAACTCAAATAACTCTCACACTTTTTTCTCTCAAAAGTGCTGACGGTAATAAGAAGAAAGCTCTCTTCTTATATAGGCACAGAACAGCTCGCAGTTCCTCTCTTTATCCAGCGGACACTGCGCAGCTTCTTGTCATGATGTTGGCTTCGCTAGCTCCCCAGTAGCCAACAACAACTACCTTTTCAACTGACACCTTTCCATGCTTTCCTGCACTGGCTATCACTTCAACACTTTGACTTTAATACCAACACTGGGCGCCGAACCTGCTCCTCCTCATTATGATAAAAGTGTTGTGCTGTCACCCACTGCCACGCTGGCATATTGCTTCTTCAGATTCTTCTGAACGTCATTCAGGAACTGCTATGTTGGACTTTCAGACACTCTGTTTCTTCAAAGACGACTTTCCAAAATGACTCTTAGGCTGAGGAAAAGAGAACAAGCTCCACTTACCGCCTTACACGACCCCAGTTAAGAGTCGTGGATAAGATGACGACCTGGTGTGGAACAACTCGGTAAAATATTGACGGCAAAGAATGGAATTCCATAGCTTCGACACGCATTGAAACCTCCTGATTGACTTTACAGGCAATCTTGAGAGTATCTCAGTAATGAGATCATTAGGGAGGGAAACTGAGTTTGCTCCTCTATTCATGATCGTTGTATCAATTTCTTTGTAGAAGAAAGAGAGAGAGAGAGAGATGTGAATACATATTGAAGAGTGTATGAAATTTATATACAGAAATGGAAAACCTCTTTGAGATGAATTTGTGTAGAGTTATTGGTTTTAAGAGTGAAAGAGATTTTTTTAATGATTTTGTTTAAGGTTTTAAAGATTTTTACCAAATGTGACATTAATTATTATTGATTTGTTTACCTTTACAACAAGGTAATATATGTATTTTTCTTTAAACATAACTAAACTATTTATGTTATAGATTTCAACTTTTAAGTATGTTAACTGAGAGAGAGAGAGAATATAAATACAACTAGCATAAAATAGATAGCTTTTACAAGTGACTTGAGGAATAAGGCAAGTAAGCAATCAGGTTTTGGTACCTGTGAATTTTAATCATCTTCTAAAAGACACCTATCATCAAATTTGTTAACGCTCTCAAACGTACGACGATCTTGTTGCAGGTGTGCAACGGTCCTCACTTGATGATCTTCTCTAGATGATGTTGATTTGCTCTGTTCTGGTTGGCTGATAGATGGTTGCAACATATGTTGTCTTCTTCCTAACATTAAACCTAAGATTCTCTACAAAGTGCTTTTGCTGCGGTCACAAATAAGATTTTATTTGTTAGTGGTGAGTGGTGACATAAAGTCCTCAATGGTTGCTGGAACTTTTGCATTATGTACCGTGGCATCATTTGCTCATATATGTTTGACTTGATTTGCTTTACATCGTTTACACTACACATTTGCTATGTTCTCAGATATGTATATTCTAGCTTCTATAACGTCTTCACATGTCAGTCGCCATGAAAGCAAACGAGGATCATATTCAGTTTCTTTCTTTTGGCTCTACTCTAAATTGTCCCATAACGTTATTTAGGGTTCTCTAGATCTCTTCTCTTGATTCCCTAATGAATAATCTTCCCAAGTATGTTCAAAGGAAAGTCCTAGCTAGTCAGTCTCTTAAGAGCTATATTATTATTGCTTTTGTAACAACAATTGACCACTGTCAACGGGAAATGTGAACCAGTTTACCTAAGCCTTCTGGACAGAAAGATCCTAATGTCAGTAGCATTTTCTATTATGTAAAATAATGCTCCCATTGCAAGGTACATCGAACGCTTGTCCTAATTCAAAACTCCATGACTCTCCTTTTTCTGTTTAAGGATCATAATTTGTCCAGGATCAGGTACCTGCTATTAAAAGCCAAAGAGAAAACCACAGGACGAGATATTGTAATCATAACATATGAATAATCAGACAAATTGATTAGGCGTTTTGATCTTATATCCATATATGTGAGCTAAATAAACCAAGAAATAAAATAGCTAAGCCAGTAGAGCGAAAGAGCAGGTTAGCTGACAATCTGAACTTGTTCTGCTCCTTGATCTTCATAGATTGAGAAGACTCAGGGAGATCACGAGATGTATGCCTAGGTCATTGTGAGTTGCGTTGCATCATTAACACTAAGATCCTCTACATAGTCTACAAAAGCGTCTAATCTGCAATCATGATTCTCTTCTCCAACACCTTGGATTTTAACCATTTGGAGAGTGTTCCTTTCCGGATTAAAGTAGAAAACGTAAAAAGGTGTAGATGCATAGTTCATCGCGAAAACAATGTCACCTGTAGCAGTCATCCCATAAACAAAAGGATAGCAGGTACTCCCATCCCCGGAAGAGTAGACATATCTCAACCATTCCTCAGCGACTTCACCCTCAGCCGGCAAAGAGTAGACAAATTTCAACCATTCCTGTTTCTCGACATCCTCTAGAACACACATACTAAACGTAAGGGGAAATCCAACACCAAAAGTATACTCCACACTAACACCACATAGTTTTCCCTTATAGTTTATCAACTGATCGAAACTGCATTCTCCGCTTATGAACTTGAATTTCTCAGACCTTACATCAAAGCAAACTATCACATGAGAGCTTCTTCCATCAGAATAATCAGAACGAAGAGCTGTGTAATACAAAACCCCATTGATGCAAATCCTTTCCCAAAAAGGCTCATGGTAAAAAGGACATTGGATCTTCCTCCACCTCAATTCTCCAGATCCTAGTGTCAAAATATGATGATCTGTACCAATATCAGCTATACAAGTAAAATTTCTCATGAACAACACCTTGAATTCCTTGTCAACCGGATCAAACCCTAAATAGCTATACGAATTGCCTCTCATTTCAGGTAAGATCACATACCGTCCCGTGAGAGGATTACATATCAAGCGCTTTTCATCCTCACCATCCTTTGGGATACACATCTTATGAATATAGATCAGTCCAGAGGCATAGCTAATGCTTAATCCGCTTCTTCCTTTAGAGAAATTGGTATGAAAATCGACGGCGGCGGATACTACAAGAGACGACGACTTCCTGTAATGGTTCTGAGGCTGAGGCATTGAGTAAAAGCTCCACTCGTCGCCTTGTTTTACCCCCATTAAGAGTCGTGGACGAGCTTTGGACTTGGTTAGAAACAGCTCGGTGAAATCCTGACGGCGGAGGATGGTCCTCCATAGCTTCGACACGCAACGACACCTCGCTACTGATTCTGCGGGCAATCTCGAGACTATCTCGATGATGAGATCAATTGGGATCGGATTCTCCATTTTTGTCCGTCGTATTTCCTGATCGGAGAAGTCTTCTCCTAATTAGATAGAATGTTGTTGTTAAGGGCCTTTGGACTTTAACTAAACCTATTTAAGCCCAATAAGCATTATGGTATGGGCTTTTAACCATATTATTATTAACTTTCATCGAATAGAAATAGATATTATGAAAAAAAATTAATATTACGAACTTCTAATCAATCTTCATGAATATTTTTTTTAACTTGTAATGTGTTAAGTATAGTTTTCTAAAGCATAAATGTTTAGTGGTAGTTAGTATGATTGTTCATCAGATCTCAGCAGAAAAAATGATCTTTCACTGATATCTTAATTCATGTATTCTTTAAAAGCTATATATTATTGTGGATCATTTGAAGTTAATCAAACAAAATGTGTTTTTTTTTTTTCGTTTTAACTCAAGTATTAAGCTTTTGATTGTTGTTTCACAAGTGGCTAAAGGTATATGATGATTGTCTAAGTCATTTGCTCAAAAGAACTTAGAAAGTGAATAATTTACAAACCCCTATTCATCAGTCTTCACTGATACTATTTTCATAGAAATTATATGTATATATTTTTGTTCAACATGGAAATTTATATATTATATATGTAATTTTAAAAAAGCAATTCATCAAAAGACCCCTTGTTTTTAATTTTATGAAAACGGAATATATGATTCAACATTAGTTTTGCATGCTCTCACAATTAGGACATTATAACCAGGAAACAAAAAAGGTTTTTGAAATAGCTAAGGAAACAGAGTGACAGAGCTCATACGTATGTATGTAACCTGTAAATAACAAAGTCACACACACCACAACCAAATTATAGCCAGACTCTTTCGCTTAATTGGCTTCCAAGATCAGATCCTCACTCTAAGTTAGCTAGTAATTCATACTTGTTCTGGAGGAAGCTTCTTGTCTGCTTGTTCTTTGTAGATGGAGCAGACCTGCTGAGTTCACGAGATGTATCTCGACGTTGTCGTGGTTTTGACGTAATATGCTTTAAATCATTAGCACTAAGATCCTCTATATAGTCTACAAAGGTATTAACCCTGCTGTACATATAGCCATTGTTACCTTCAAGACCTTGGATGTTAACACTTTGGAGAGTGTTCTTTTCGGGATTGAAGTAGATAACATTAAACGATTTGCTTGAACATGTATGAAACTCGGCGAAAACAAATTCACCAGTAGCAGTCATCCCAGCAATGTGCATATCGAACCTAAAGTGACAGGTTTGAGTTGTCGGCAAAGAGTAGTCATATCTCGACCATTTCTGTTTCTCGACATCCTCTAGAACCCACAAATACATCTCACAGTAACAGCTCCTATCACAATCATAATCCAAATTAACCCCACCTAATTTACCCTTATAATTTATCAAATCTGTATATGACGTAGAAGAGAAGTGTTTCCCGTCAATGAACTTGAATTTCTCAGACCTAACATCAAAGCAAACTATCCGACCAGAAGATCCACCAAATGTACTAGCCAAGTAATACAAAACCCCATTGATGCATTTTGCTAGACCAAAATGTCCATAGGTAAAGGGACACTGGATCTTCCTCCACCTCAGATCTTCAGTTCCTAATGTCAGAACATGATGTACCCATTCACCATTGTTGTGCATAAACAAAACCTTAAACTGCTTATCAATCGGATCAAACCCTAAAGAGCTTCTCGAGTCTTTGTACTTGTCCAGTTCGGGTAAGTTAACATACCGTCTCGTGATAGGGTTACATATCACACACAAGGACTTCTTCGAGAGCCAAAGATCAGTGACATGGACATGGATCAAACCAGATTCATAGCTACAAAGGTTTTCGTTTATACCTACACCTACGTTCGTATGAAAATCTACTTCAAGGGTCGACTGATTCTGAGACTGAGGAGAGGAGTAGAAGTAAAACTGAAAACCTTTATCGACGGCAAATAAGAGACGTGGACGAGCGGATGACTTAGTCAAGAATAACTCAGTGAAATCTTTACGGTAAAGTATTGACGCCCAACGCTTCGACACGCAACGACACCTAGCGATTAATATTGAAGACAATCTCGAGAAGATCTCTAGAAAGAGATCATCTGGGATGGATTCAAAAGTTTTTTCACTATCCATGATCGGATGGAGAGAGATATTTTTGAGTGTACAAATCGCACAGACAGACTCGGTCTACAGAGATTTGGAATAAAATTTCGACCTAATAACACATGGTGGTGGTGGTGAATCTGAAAACATGTTCTGGATTGGCACTAACGTAAGGCCCAATTATCATGGGCTTTATAACCATCCAAATTCTTGTATTAAATTCAGCAATGATATGGTATCAACAAGTAAAAAAGTTGGTGATGTTGTTGTCGTCCGCAGCAGCTTAAGCATTGTAGATGCATAGTTCTCCGAAAAAGCAATTTCACCTGTAGAAACCATCCCGACAACGGAAATATTGAACCTAAATTAAACCGACATGCATATTTTGTCAATTCCTGTTTTGTCCAACGTACGTACACAACTGCACGAAACACTTTTAGTCTCAGTGATGATGACAAGGCCGCTGTTAATGTAAAATGGTAGATAACGGCATCAATATAAACTCTATTGGTTTTCGTTACTGTAGTGGAAGGATATTCTTGATTTAGAACTGAAGAGAGATTGAATTTTAAAAAATAATGATTAATCAAAAATGTTGAAAAAGGTCTAATGTACGTAAAGAACATAAACGCATAGATAGAGCACAAATGTCCCATTTTTTTTTTTTCACCTATCCCTTCTCTCACTATCTCTCTCTATAGCTCTCCACCTCTTGGCTGCAGCCTGTTTCTGTCTTCATCTTCCAAATGTGATGTTTGACGTGAGTATCTTTGCATCATTAACACTAAGATCCTCTACATGGTCTACAAAAGCGTAAACTCTAAAATGGTTTAACCATTCTTGGTGTTCTCCAAAACCTTCGATTTCAACACTTCGGAGAGTGTTCGTTTCGCGGTTTAAGTAGAAAATATAAAACGGTTTATGTGTAAAGTTTTCAGACAAAACAATTTCACCTGTAGAAGTCATCCCGACAAAGTTAATATTCCAGGGATCAATGATTTTTGTATCTGATGACGGACAGATAAGATGGACATGTTTCGACCATTCTTGTTTCTCCACATCCTCTAGAACATAAATACGTAACTCAATATCGTATTTATCATATGATATACTAATCCCACCTAATTTACCCTTATGGATGAACAAACGAGCAGTACTTTCAATAGTAGCAAAGCATTCTCCATCAACAAACTTGAATTTCTCAGACCTAAAATCAAAGCAAACTAGCATTCCTACACTATACTTAGAACTTTGATCAGTTCGTGTAGCGAAGTATTACAAAACCCCATTGATGCATATATGTTTAGGCCATGGAAAAGGAAAAGGATTATGGGTTAAGGGACACTGGATCTTCCTCCACCTTATTTTTCCAGTTTCTACTGTCATAATATAATTATCCCTTCCATTATTATCGTTGAGGCAAAGAGAAGAAGAGCCACTCACCGCCTTTTTCGACCAAAAATAAGAGACGTGGACGAGTCGATGACCTGGTCAAGAACAACTCTGTGAAATCTTGACAGCCAAGTATGGACGTCCATTGCTTCGAAACACAACAACACCTCCCCACTGACTTTGCAGACAATCTCGAGAAGATGTCGTGAAAGAGATCAATTGGGAGGGAATTCATATCGTTGTATTTTCAAGTCGGATGGAGAAAAATAAATGAATAACAAAAATTCACATAAACTAGGGTTTATATTAAAGTTTTGACCTGATGAGATGATACTACTTCATCTTGAAACCTATTCAAGGTCGGCGCTGACCTTATGCCCAAGATGCATGGGCTTTTTTAACCATCCAAATTTTATATAAACTTTACATATTTTTCAGTTTTAATTTATATAAACTTTGTAACAAATCGAAAAAATGGTAAAAGCTCAGAAAAGAAAACTAGAAAAGATAGCAAAACCAAAACAAATTTGGAAAGTCGTAAAGACGATCTCTATCATCATCAACGGGTCTTTCAAGTCCTAAGAAAAGGGTATAGCTCATACCTAAGATTACAACTTGTACTCAAAACTCTCCCTCCTTGTTTACCATCGCAGCACTTAGAAAGCTCCCTGATACTCCATTTCAAACAATCTTTACAACTTAATATGTCTTTCGCGCACTGAACCATTGCATACAATGTTTTCTCCCCAAGCCTCAGTTCCCCGGCTGCGTAATATAGAAAGTTGAGGCCGTCTACGTCGGTTGTATCAGCTTTTACAATCAAGTTATGTAGGAAATCAGTTGTCTTTTTGTTGAACGAGTTTGTATTGCCTCTCACGTTGTTTGAGTTGTGCATAGAAAAAGTATTCTCGTAGTTCATCCGTCTTGGGGCATGGAGATTAATCATATTCACATCAAGAAAACATTGGTCGTACCATATTGTTCCTCCTTTGTTTCTCGGACATCTACTACGAAACTGTAATAGACATATACAAATTTATGTTTGGTATGAAGTTTGAGATGAACCATAGGGGAGATCAAACGAGGTAAATCTACTTGAATAATGTACCATCATATTTTTCTTTTTTTGCTAATTAGAAGGTTCAATATGACCTTTATTTCAAAACCTAGTTAATTGTTTTTAACCAAAAAAATAATCAAAGAATTATGAATTTTTCTAACTAATGAGATATGACTTGGTATTTATAACCAAGAAACGTTTTTTGGACGTCAACGCTTACCACACCATAAATTTGGTTATTAGTATATATAACGTATGACCCAATTCACATTTGCGTCACCTAGGTTTTGACTATAATCTGTGTTTTGGTTTCTTCAGGCTTTAAAGAAGTGGTGTAGAGAGAACAACAAGATACGACAAACTATAAATGCAAAAATGTTGAAGTGACATTACCCCGGCGACTGCGGTGGAAAAACAGGAGACGCACTTGGATTTGTAAGAGTCACCGCGACATTGGAATATGATGGTGGTGGAATTGATATCCTCACCATTAGAAATGTGTATGAAGCCATCTATAAAATCATCCGTAGCGGCTGTACGGATGATAGAGTTGAGATCTTTCTCATACTGGCTTCCCGGCAGATATTTGCCTTGACTAACACGGCATTTGTGGTGAAGATAGTCATTAGTAAGATTCAAGGATGAAGCACTGCGTATGAGGAGTAGTATAGCCAATATATGGAAAGAAACAAGGCATTTGAATAGAGAATACATTGACATTGTCTGATTCATCTCGTTAGTAACTAAATTAACTATATTTCTCAAAACTATATTTGTTTTTGATCATTTCAGTTTGTAGAAGAATTGTCTATAACAGACACGAGAGAGATGACTTAATAATTTTCGGCGAGGGATGTGGAAACCAGATGAAATAGTCAAAAGTTTAAACTTTTACTAAGTTAAAAAATGAAATCTAGAAAATAGGACTCGAAACAATACGTTTTGATACAAATAGGATGTTTACTTTTTTCAATATTGTATATTTCTTCATTTCTTTCCAACGATATGGCAAAACATGGTTCTGATTCAGTTCAGCGATGAGAAGGGAACATCAACAAATTTGCTTATTGTTTCTTGGCACATTATCAACCATGACAGAGGAGAATCCCAAGACAATTGTTTAAAGACTGTCTTTGTTGGATTGATTTCTTCAAGTCTTTCTCACGACCATTGGATCTATTTTGCTTATTGTTTCTTGGCACATTACCAACCATGCAACCAGAGATCTTTGTGTCAAAAACATTAATATTATCCTAGTGACAAACTAATATCTTTCATATAATATAATTCATTCATGTAATTCTTATCAGCTTTATTGCTTAAACATATAAATTCTACCAATATAAACTATTTGATCATTGACTAATTGAGGCAATGGTTTCTTAACAACCACGGTTTTTGGATAAACAAAAATATGTACGGTAAGCAATATAACATTTGTCACAATTAAAGCAAGCCTCTTTCCTAGCTAGTAGTACATAAACGAGAACCGAAAGAAGTTTTTTCTTAGTTCAGTTTTGCATGGAAAAACCAACCCAGCCGGTCTTCATTGAGAAGAGTTCAAAACAAAAAAAGGCTGTAATAAGACCATGCATGGCAAAATGTATATCTCTGCTTCTCTTCTTCTCGTTCACTCATACGTACACTGCAAGAAACACTTTTGGTCTTAATGATGGTGACAAATCAGCAACTATGTACAATGGTAGAAGACGACATCAATATAAACTGAAGATATGCAATAATTATAAAAACCTGATTAATCAAATTTTTTTGAGAAAAGGTATAAACAGTAAATAATTTTCTCAAAAGATTTGATTTTTTAAAGAACATAAACACATAGCTAGGTAGAGCAAATTAGTGACATTATACTCTCAGTCTCTCACTGTCTATCTTCTTCTTCTTCTCTTCGCTGCCTATTCTTCTTCTTCTTCTTCTTCTTCTTCTTCTTCTTCTTCATTTCCTCTTCTTCCACTTCTTCATCTTCTTCTTCATCTTCTTCTTCATCTTCTTCATCTTCTTCTTCTTCGTATTCGTCTTCATATTCATCTTCATCTTCTTCGTATTCGTCTTCATATTCATCTTCATCTTCTTCGTCTTCATCTTCATCTTCTTCGTCTTCATCTTCATCTTCTTCTTCTATCTTCATCATCCCTTCTGTGATGTTTGACTTGAGTATATTTGCATAGTTAAGACTAAGATCCTCTACAAGGTCTAGATAAGGTTCAACCATAAGATTGTTAAACCATTCTTTGTATTCTCCAACACCTTGGATCTCAACATTTTGGAGAGTACTCCTGTCGCGATTGACGTAGAGAACCTTCTGTGTACAGTCTCGAGACAAAACAATTTCACCTGTAGCAGTCATCCCAACAACACCTGGATCAACGATTTTCTTATCCAAGGGACACACCACAAAACGTACATGTTTCGACCACTCTTGTTTCTCAACATCCTCTAGAACCCATATACACAACTCAATAGTATCAATACCATCATGCGTCAATTCAATCCCACCTAATTTACCCTTACAGTTGATCAATTTAATGTTTTCCTCATCAAAAGAGCATTCTTGAGCATCAACAAACTTGAATTTCTCGGATCTAACATCAAAGCAAACTATCAAATTAGTGTATTCATCGTTCTCTTCAGGACCGGGAGGTCCAAGATCATGTTGAGCTAAGTAGTACAAAACCCCATTGATGCATATATTTTCAGACGAAGGAAAATGATAATGGGTAAAAGGATACTCCTGGATCTTCCTCCACCTTAGTTTCCCACTTCCTACTGTCAGAATTTTAATAACGAAAATCACAAAAACTTGGGTTTCAAGTTTCGACCTAATGAGATGATACTAACAATGCATCTTGAAAACTCTATTCAAGGTCCGCGCTAACCATTGTGTTAGGCCCAAGATGCATGGGCTTTTCTTTTTAACCTTATGAACCAAGTAGACTGACATACATGTTGCATATACGAAACAAACGTTCCTACTTCAACATTTCTTTTTCTATATATTCTTTCTTGACGCATTACCAACGTACCAATTAATGATCTTTGTGACAAAACATATTATCTTTGTGACACTGATATCTTCATATTTTATACATGTGATCATATGATTATTGTTTAAACATCATGTCCTACCAATCCAACTCTTGGACCAATTGAGGTAATAACAGTTTCCTTAACATCCAAGTTATTGGATAAACAAAAGACTTAGGCCAAACAATATAAGCAAGTCTTTTTTCTAGTACATAAAACCTCACTCTCTTGTCGTTACTTTTAAAGTTAAACAAGAGCCAAAGGAAGGTTTTTCTTATTTCAGTTTTGTAGGGAAGGAAGGACACACGACATCATATGAAACAAAGGAAAGTTTCATGATGTTTCAGAGATATGGATAACATGGTCGATCTCTTCAACACAACAACATTGATTAATTCAATTTCCAATGATTCCTTCTTCTTTTTTCTACCGTTTTTCCATTTTACTCCTATATTTTGACTTTTTTCTCTTACTTGTGTGTTGTAGTGTCGCCTATATAATTCAATCACGATTAAAATTCCCTCCAAATTTCATCAAAAATAGAGTCCACAATATTTACCCTTGAATTCTTGTATATACTTTTATTTATATGTTTTAGATTGCATCTAACTAAAGTAAATGTAAGGACCAATTGAGTTAGTACTGATCTAGGTGAAAAGTTAAAATTACCGTCAAAAGGTGAAAAACAAAATAAGGTTTGCTTGAAGAGTGAAGACAACCCAAAACTACAAAGCTCGAAAAAGTTTTTAACTTTATTCCATAAGTGGCGGTTTCTTGAAGATTAATATTTACTTTTGAGTTCTAGAACTTGATAGCTACAATTTTTTTACCCCCTCATTTCCATAGATTTTAGAGCTAGCTAGATCGAATTTTGATGAACAGACAACACATTAACACAAAAACGTACGTAGATATAAACATATGCATGCATATATCTATTTCTCTACTAAGGAGATATACGAGAGAGAAAATGCGTGTATATATAGCCTTAGAACTATATAACAAATCTTTAACTAATAATTGACCCAAATAAGACAAATCAAGAATTAAGTCCTAGAGAACAAGAAACGAATTGTAATATTAATCCTCTCTATAAGTTGTAGAGATTCTATTTACAAAATTACAACACTCATGTACCAATAAACACATGTGTTAATGTTGACGACAAAAAGAAAAAGAAAACAAAAAAATTTAGATTATTTAAAACAAAGATTACTATTTAAGTATTTATTATGGGTACGACTTGTGAAGCGTAATTAAAAGTAGAAAAAAACCTAGTTGGGAAATGGGAAGAAGAAAGATGATTTGATAAAAACAAGACACTGTTTGGTTTCAGAGACTTCCTTTAGCATCAAAACACAAACAAAAGCGAAGCCTCTTGAGTTACTGCAAATAGAGAATATTATTACACTCTTTTGCGACTTGTCAGCTTCAGATATTCTCACTTGTGTATATTAATTTCACGGTAAACAATGCCTTAAATAAGAAACCCTGATTGGACTTTTGATCTGACTCTACTCTCTTCACTCTCTCTCTCTTTCTTCTTCTTTCTTTTTATTTTCAGTCATGATGTCTCCTTTAATAACCCTAATCTCTATAATAACTCCAAACTCTTTTTACATTTATTTCTATACTTTGTTAAATTATAACTTTATTTCTTTCTAAAACCTGATTATAGCTAGCAATGATTAATAAGAAAAGAAGAAATAAGAGTTGAAGATCGATGTCTTGTAATGTCTAATAATCTGATGTTTGCATTATTGCATATTACACTTGAACTGATTTATGATTTTTAGAAAAGTTTAGTTTTCTGAAACCATTTATCATTGGATATGTTTCTCTTTTTTGGCTTAGAGGTTTCGGGGTCTCAAAGAGTTTACGATTTGTAAAAAATAAAATAAAAAATCACTATATACAGTATAATAATCAATTTCATAGAATAATGAAAGAACATTAAAATACGGGAAACATTGTTGCCTAACAAAAAAGGAGCAAATTAAGGGTCGAACTAATATAACACAAGCCAAACATGTCGTGGCAAATTACTTGTTTCCACTTCTACGAAATTAGAAAACGAACTAATTTATTTAGAATGAAACATATATATTAACAAACAAAATAATCTTACATCGGTTTGCTTGGATATACAAAAAAAAAAAAAACAATTTGTGTGATCTTTAAAATCTCTAGTTGTCTTGGGTTGATCTCTCCAACCAGTACAATATGTCTGACCACCATGGAAAAAATGAAAAGCGTGCATGTGGTTTAGGATAAAAGTTGTGTAATTACAAAATTAGAGATTAAAAATGGAAAAGAAGAAGATATTGAAGATGTGATCAAGTGTGAAAAGTATTTGGAGTAGTCTCCGAATTAATAATTTCAATTCTGGGCATTGACAAGATAACTCTTAGAAGCTCTCAGCTTTAAGAACCATCACTTCTTCTGCCACCATTTTCACGTTTACCCACATATACAAACAAAATTTTGTTAACCAATTATTATCACCAAAACTGTGCTAACTGGTTATAAATTTATAACTTATATCAAGACTTTTTAGGTAGTTGTTTGTGGTGCTTGTTGGTGTTCTCAGGTTTGCTTTAAGAGCATCTCCATTCGTGTACCCCTCAGAAAAATGTTTAACATTAATTAATTAATAAATATTGATTGAATGGGCAACGTGATTGAATAGGAGAGTGAAGAGGCAACGTGAGAGAAAGAAAAAGAGAGAGGAAAAAAGGGAGATAATTTTTTCTTTTCTACAAAATATATTTTTCACCCAATCAAAAAATGCCAGCTGTGTTAAGCATCGATCCTTTGAGAGTTTGGTTAAGCAGCGCTCCTTGCAGAATCCACCATTATTGATTTATTTTTTGGCTGTTTAATGCTAATAATTTCATGAAACACCTCCCGTTGGAGGTGGTATAAGTTAATTATTGTGATATATATGTCGTTGGAATGATAACTAAGATTTTATAAACCTATTACTTGTCTTCGCCACTTCATAGGTTTAGTAGTTTTTTTTCTTTTGGTATATATATATATATATATATTATATATATATATATACATGTGTGTGTGTTTTTTTGTTTGCAATTTTTTTTTACCTTTGTTTATTTTTTATAAACCAAATGTTCTATATATATAAGTTATATGCCACTTTACCTTATTGAAGTCAAGAACAATATCAAAAACCCATGCAAGAAGCACAGAGAAAGACCAGACACTTTTGTCTCCTTTGTATCTTCTCTCTTCAAAACCTTTACATATGATCTTTGCCTCTTTTCCTACAATATAATGTGTTTTTTTTTGCATAACTCTCACCAAAGCCTTCCTCAAAACCCTACATATTAAATCTCCCTCTTTCACATATTCTCAACACAAGAACAAACTCTAAATCCACTTCCACAAAATCTTTTTCACTTTTCTAAGCCTTAAACACCAAAATGGATTCAAATGTATTCATCAACAACCCATCTTTAACCTTACCTTTCTCTTACACCTTCACCAGTAGCAGCAACAGTAGCACAACAACTAGCACCACCACAGACTCGAGCTCTGGTCAATGGATGGACGGTCGGATTTGGAGCAAGCTACCACCACCTCTTCTTGACCGCATCATCGCTTTTCTCCCACCTCCGGCGTTTTTCCGGACACGTTGCGTCTGCAAGAGATTCTACAGTCTACTTTTCTCCAACGCTTTCCTCGAGACATATCTACAGCTGCTTCCTCTCAGACACAACTGTTTCCTCTTCTTCAAACACAAAACCCTAAAGAGCTACGTTTACAAAAGAGGAGGAGGAACGAACGATGGTGATTCCAATAAAGCTGAAGGCTTTTTGTTTGATCCTAATGAAATCAGATGGTATCGTCTCTCTTTTGCTTATATCCCTTCAGGGTTTTATCCTTCTGGATCATCAGGAGGGTTAGTGAGTTGGGTCTCTGAGGAAGCTGGTCTTAAAACTATCCTCCTATGTAACCCTCTTGTTGGATCCGTGAGTCAGTTGCCACCAATTTCAAGGCCAAGGCTTTTCCCTTCGATAGGTCTCTCAGTAACTCCAACCTCTATTGATGTTACTGTCGCCGGAGACGATCTCATATCTCCTTACGCCGTGAAAAACCTCTCTTCGGAGAGTTTCCATGTCGACGCTGGCGGATTCTTCTCCCTCTGGGCGATGACTTCTTCTTTGCCACGGCTTTGTAGCTTGGAATCTGGTAAGATGGTTTACGTGCAAGGCAAGTTTTACTGTATGAACTATAGCCCTTTCAGCGTTTTGTGCTATGAGGTCACTGGAAACAGATGGATCAAGATTCAAGCTCCGATGAGGAGGTTTCTCCGATCTCCAAGCTTGTTAGAGAGCAAAGGGAGGCTTATTCTCGTAGCAGCCGTTGAGAAAAGCAAGCTTAACGTTCCCAAAAGCCTTAGGCTTTGGAGTTTGCAACAAGACAACGCCACGTGGGTCGAGATCGAACGGATGCCTCAGCCGCTCTACACACAGTTTGCAGCAGAAGAAGGTGGAAAAGGATTCGAGTGTGTCGGAAATCAAGAGTTTGTAATGATTGTCTTGAGAGGAACCTCGTTGCAGCTGCTGTTTGATATGGTAAGAAAAAGCTGGTTGTGGGTCCCACCGTGTCCTTACTCCGGCGGTGGTAGCATTGGTTCCGGCGGTTCAGACGGAGAGGTGCTGCAGGGTTTTGCTTACGACCCTGTACTTACTACTCCGGTGGTTAGTCTTCTTGATCAGTTAACACTTCCATATCCTGGAGTCTGTTAGGACCTTTAGTTAAGAGACTACGTGTCATTTCCATTTCTGGGGTTAAGACTGCTTGTTGTTTTATCAAAATCTGTTGGCTTTATCATATTATTACTGTCTGTTTGTTGTAAGTTTATATTTCTAATGTCAAATGTCGTATCTTTGACAACACCATATACAGACAGATATCGAATCGTGTACAATCCAATTCTAAATCCATCAAACTCAAAAAACTAACGTCTTCTGTGATTGGTTTCACTTGAGCTTAACCTGGAGGATGAGATGAACTTTGCGGTTCATTATTCTCCTGAGTTCTTCATTGGCCTCGATTCCTATCCTCCTGCGAGATTAGCATCAACACAAAATATCATCTTTGAGTCATTGATTAGACAAAAGAGTGAAATGTAAACCAATCCCATGATCTTGTATGCTCTTACCCAATCTTGGAACCGCCCTTGCCTACAAGAATCTTGCGTTGGCTAAGTTTAGGAGTGATGAGATGCTGTTCGATTCTGAGAGACCCGTCACGCAGCTCTTTCCAATCCACTAGACGGTGCTCCACGCCATATGGGATTTCCTACAATTTGTTTCAATCAAACCTGTAATTTGTCATCTTGGAATAGACGAAAACCGATACAGAAGATTATACTAGCTGAGCTTGTAGTATTACCTGATGAACATGGTCTAGTAATCTCTCCCTAACAACTTCAAGAGAAATGTTTTTCAAGACTTCTTCACTCATTGTAAATGCATCTTCTTCCCATGGTTTTTTTACTGCCTGATCCATTAAATATTGGGTAAGATCTTTAACTCCGGATCCCTTAAGTCCTGATATCATGAAGTACCTAGAACACCAAACAGAGAAAAAGGCACATTCGTTCAGTCAATTCTTTAGACTTCCTCGTTCATTGCTTTTAAACTGAGTCAGGTATATATATATATATATATCTACCTTTCATATGCCGGAAGCTCTTGGAACTCCTCAGCAACCTTTAATAGATCTTTTTTCTTCTCAACCAGATCAACTTTATTCATACATAAAATGCGCTTTTGTTTTGGATTTTCTTCTTCGCCCATGTATTTGATCAAGCGTACCACTCTTGAATCGGGACTATACATCAAACAGAAAACAGAATTCACTAACTACAAAATAAGTCTGAGAAACTCTATTTGTACTTGTCAGTAATGCAAAACCACAACCATGAGTACTTTTTCAAATGAGAGAAATAGATGCATATTCATTGGTTTACGATTCTCAAGCTTATGAATAATCTCAGTGAGCTGAACAAGATATGAAAGATATCGCAAGAGAGAAGCTTGTAGTCATAATAAGCCCACCATAAGATACCCCACTTGATGATGCTCCTAACAATACTACTCTCAGATACGAGATAACTTATGTGAAGCTAATAAAGTACACAAATGAGTAAATGACTAACCTCATTAGATGCCTATGGACATCAAACATAACAATAAGGACATCAAACAGGTCAACAGAAGTCCAAGCATTTTGCACACGAGCCTTGATGTCTTTGTAACCATATCCACTTTTCTTCAGCATTAGACCCGGAGTATCGAAGAAACACTGCAAGGTTCACAAGTATTAATAATGTCAATCTACAAATGGATGCAACAGTAAATATGTTCATCTCCGAACTTAACCATAACGAGTAGTGTACATATGCCCCAGATATATAAGAGAAAACTTACAACTTGTGTATCCCCTTTTGTCAATACTCCTAACACTTCATGTGTCGTCGTGTTAGTCTTCCGTGAAGCAGCAGCAACTTTTGTTCCAACCTGAACTTGACATAACGAAACAGTCAAACCAACTTTGATAGACTTGAGAGTTAAAAACCATAAGCAAGATTCTCAACTCAAGGCACTATACAGATACAATCACTTTAAAAATTGCAACTTTAGGATGACACAACAGTCATTGCAGCACAATGATCCTAAAAGTTAAACCAAGAAAGCATATACAAAATGTCTCGATTGATTCTCAAAAGTTCCAAGCAGAGAGAGATAATCTCACCATGAAGTTAGTAAGCGAAGATTTTCCTGCGTTTGGTGGACCGATGATGCCGACATTAAGGGACTTCTGATCTTCTTCTCTAACTTCACCTTCACCAAGTTCTTCATCAGGCGACTCCAAAGCAGCCTCTAAGAGAGCCTTGGCGAGAATCCTAGAACTATCAATACTATCCTCATCATCTTCTTCAGAACTCTCTTCTTCTGCAATTTTCACTTTACCTTTCTCGGCCAAGTTTTCAAAGAAGGCTTTATTGACTCTTTCCCTGTACCCTTTATCCCAAGTAGCTTGCTTGGGCTTTTTCACAGAGTCTACAGGGGAATCGTCGATTGGGTATTGACTGCTATCGAAAACAGAGTCGCTGCTTGATCCGTCTTCGTTGACTGAAGTTGGTTCGTCTAGATTCGGCTGCGCTGAGTAAAACCGCCGGAGAAAGTTCTGAGATTTATGGGGTTTACAAGGTGTTGTCGTCGTCGTTCGTGAGATGGAAATTAATATTCGTAGAGATCTAAAAGCTTTCATTTTTGCAACAAACGATCTCGGAGAAGTACAGATTTGAACGAAATGTAATAGAAGAGAGAGGCTTCGAGGGTTTTAGAGGTTTTGATGTTTTGTGGAAAATGAAAATGGTGTTAGAAAGTAACTAAATATTGCAGATAGACCCCTTAATGTTTCGACAAATCTCACTTTTAATCCCTGACGTTTGTTATAGATAAAAGTTTGAGATATTTTCTATTTTGAATGAGGTTCATGTCATCGTTTGTTACTGTTGCAATACAATGTTATAGAGGTTTCCGTTGACAGAATGAGTTTCACTTTGTACAAAATAATATAATACGATGCAAACATTTTGGGTGAATCTGTATTATATAATACTAATCAATTCAGAACAAAAAGAGACCAAGGTTCTTGTAGTCTCCAAGGACATAAAAAGAAAGACTCAAACTTCTGGAGAAAGACATCTCTGAGATCTCTAAAACAATGCAATGGTAAACTAACTCACCTTAGCTAAAGAATACAACAGAAAGTAACAGCTTAAATCAGATCATAAATTTAGCTTCCGAAAATCTGAACAAAAGTGAGTGAAGAGTTGTAGTAACAAAGCCCCATCAGTATCGCCTTATCTTCGCCACGGGCTTAGTTTGGTTTGGTGATGAAAACTAAAACGCCATCCGCCCAGCAAGCCTACTCTCTGAGATTCGTCTGTCTATGGCTGCATTTATCGAGTTCATCTGCAACAATTACCAAACTTGGTTCTCAGTAAAAAAGTTGGATGCTTTATTATGAAAGACTTAAAACAAGTTTTCTTTATGGTCTCCCAAGGCCGTGATTGTGCAAAGGTACCAAGCTTTGCAAAGTTAAGAATATAAAAGGAGCTGACCTGGTTTGAAACCAAACCTGTAGAGTACGATCTTGTGGAACCAATCACCACATTTTTATACAATACAAGAGACAGGAGAAATATGATGAAAAACAAACAAATACAAAGGTGATTTCTTTACTACCTATCGCCAGCAAGCTACTAAATGGTACCTTTCGAACATTAATGATTCGAAATGCTTAAGTTTCTTGCCTAAGTACTTATCATATTCTAAGGGAAGAAATTATAAACTGAATAATATGGTGGTACCTCTTAGCACAGAAACAATAGGATCTGGAATAGAGAAGCATAAATAAAGCCTACCGAATGGGTTAGACGTGCAAAACAAACTCTTCTTTAACTCTAAAAAGGGCAAATCAGAACTTACCTGGCTGGTTTCATCGTGCACTTTGTATTTCGGTAAGGACATTCTTCTTTCCTCCTGCAGATACAGACACGTTGAACACCAAATGATTCATTACTCGCAATTTTCTCAATTCATACTATTCCAACATTATGTATAGAAATAAACTAACCATAGACATCGCTTCATCATCCCATACAAGATAGACCTCATTAGGCTGATTGCTAGGAGCTTTATTTGCAATTACTGGAGGTGGACCAATTGAAGGACCACTAGTGTTTGGTCCAGAGGCATAAGAATGAGAATTAGTCCCACCTACACAGCATGGAAAAGATATTACATTTTGACACGAAAAAGCTCAGCCAGATGTAAGCCAATGACTCTAAGAACGTAAGATTGAACCTGGAGTAGAATTGTTAGGCGGATAAGCATTTACTGATCCTAAAGCATCTGCGTGAGATGGTTGCTGAGCCCCACCAACAGGCAGAGGAGTAGAAAATGGTGAAGCTTGAGAAGGAATGCTGTTATTCACAACAGGGAAAAGAGGTTGAGGAACTGGCATTGCAGGTGATGATGAAGTAATCCCAGGAGGTGCAACTCCAGTGACTGGTGAAGGTTGTACTACAGGAGCTGAGGTTGGCAGAGTCATCCCCATATTTTGAACAGGAAAAAGTGGTTGTGGTCGATACCCTAAATGGGCAGGTGGAGGTACAGAAACCGCTGGATTTTGTGGATACCATTGTTGTGGGCGAGGAGGCGGCATAGGCCATACATGACCAGGAGGCCGCATAGGAGGACCGGGATAATACCTGCTTACAAGAAATATCATGGTTAGTAGCGATACATATTACAATATCTTAGATGATGAACTATTCAAAAAAACAACGGTATTTTCTGTCTTTAAGAGGAACAAAAGAATGGTTCTAGATCAGATTTCTGTCTTGGAAAATCCTGAGAACAAGCTACGGAAAGTAAGAACCTTATGGGTCATATTTGGTTGGGGGCAACAATATCTTAGATAAAGATCTTATAGAGGAACAATATTGTAAGAGGCCTAGGACAGGTCCAAGCTAAAGAAACCAATAACCTTTCGCATCATCAGGTGAATCAAATTTTAGGACCAGGAAACCAAAAGGAACAAGAGAACTGAAGAAAAATCTTTCACAATCATTTAGCACAGATTGGATTTTGAAAAACAAAGACAGCATCTGAAAACTCAACATTAACGGCGATAGAGAGAGTATAGTAGAATAGTACATACATTGGTCGCACAACACCAGGCATTTGTTGAGGCGGATATACCATTCCATATGGTCTAGGAACTACACCACCAAGAGGGGCAGAAGGAATTTCGACTTTTGCAACTTTCGCTGGAGGCTCTTCCTCTGCAGAAGACAAAAAATCAGTTCAAAAGAAACCATATGAAATAAACTAGCACAATAAATAAAAATAATAACTTTAGAAAGGCAAAAAGCCGCATGCAAAATAAAAACGAGTTTATGACCAGTAGATGCAATGGATCCATAGCACTTGACGAACAGACAGATATACATACTTCTTACATTACTTCTCTATATCAATGGCCGACAAACAAAACACATCTCAGTCTCTTACCTTCTTCTCCATAATGAGCAGCCAAGACATCGGGTGGAATTCCTTGCATTCCATAAATTTCAATATCAGTTGAATCCCGACCTGTTTTAGCATTAGGAACCCTGGTGTGAAAAATGTAAAAAAATATCAAAGTTAGTTGTGTCATGGAATCAGAAGAAGTGAGAGCTATATAATTGTGTATCTTTGCAAACCCAAGGTATAGAACTAGAGGGGTTCTCTAATCAAATCAAACGAAATCAGCCTAGACAAGAACTAAGTTACTCTTACCCAGGTATCAAAATTGAATGAAATTAACCAAACCCCTTCAAGAGCTAATCCAAAAACGATTCAAATTTCCCTAATTTTCCAGCAAGCATCCACATTCAACAGATACAAACCACAAAACAGCAGTCAATTAGGGGATTTAACATAAATCACAAGATGATCAACACACACAAAAGGAAAAAACAGAGCTACAACAAGATCATAGAGGCATCAACCCTAAATCCAAATAAACCTAATACATAAAAAGAGCCATGAGGGGGAAAGGATGAATCAAAGGCACATACTTTGTAACATTCTCTTTATGAACCTGAAGAACATGAATCACCATGCCACTAGCTGTAGAAAGCTTCTTATGACAGACATGGCACTTAAAGTGCTTAGCTTTCTGATGCTGCACAAGAATCTTCTCGTCATCGAACTCTCTGTCGCAGTAATAACACCAAACCTTCTCCGTCGCTCTCTTCTTCTTCTTACCCATCACTGAACCTTTCCCCTATGTTACTGATTTAACGAGATTGATCTCAAATCTAATTTGAAATCGAGAATCTCCCGTCTCTCAAAGTCTCGTTCTTTGTCTCCTTCCTCCTCCGCTCGCTCGCTCGCTAGGGTTTTCTATTGGCACAAAGCGTTTTGTTTTCTCGATTGCTTCTGCGATCTCTTCTGTTTTATTTTTATTTTTATCTTTAAGGTTACTCTTTTGTATTTATAAGAAAGGGAACTTTCTTGTATAATATTTCGTAAAAGCCCCACACTTTTGCTAAATTGTCAAGTTTTCTTAATTGTTTGATGAATTGGTTATAAATTATTATTCATAGAATTAAACAAAAATGTCAGGATGGCCGAGTGGTCTAAGGCGCCAGACTCAAGTTCTGGTCCTCGTAAGAGGGCGTGGGTTCAAACCCCACTTCTGACAAATGTTTCAATTTTGTTTTTATTTTCCTTTTTTATTCTTCAAAAGACTTCAATCTCCTCCACTAAGATAAAAGCCTTGAATAGTCAGTAGATTTTGAAGTTGCTTTTTTTTTTTTTTTTTTTTAAATCTACTTTATAGGCAATCAAGATTTATTGATGAAAAAAAAAGAAGGCAATCAAGATTATAAGAATTTTTTTTTGTTATAAGTAGAAAATCTAGATTTTGACTTGAATGTTTTTTCTATTTTTTTAATATTTTAAAAAGTGTTGTAGGACAACAACTAAAGAAACCATAAAACATAAACCAAAAAAAAAAGTTTAAAATCACTATAACATTTATTAACATTCATGGCCAAAATCTCGCATTGACTCTAGAAAAGAGAAACGTATGAAACGGAAATTTGTTGTTATTAAGATATAAGATTAAATTCTATGAAAAAGAAACTTTGACCAAGAGAAAGATACTTTGACAAAGAAAAATTAAGGATAAGAGGTAACAGGTTTAGAAAATATTATAAATAGGGGAGAGCTAATAACTAATCATTGAAGTACTCAAAAGAAAAGAAAACGAGAAACCAAAAAAAAACATAAAGCAAAAAGATATGGGTGCAAAATGGAATTCGATAAATGCAATAGTGTTTGTGGTGATTATGGTAATGGCAATGGTGAATGTAAATGGGGAGACATTGGCTCAATGCCATGAAGATTGCATTCAAGGTTGTGCCACCACCGGTGCACTTCCCTCCAAATGCCTGCAAAATTGTTACCGTGGTTGTCACGGCCGATCGTTAAGGTAACCATTTTATTTTTATAAACAAAAACATATTAATTAAACATTTTTGGTATATATATATATATATATATATACAACTATATTATAATATATTGCTATCTTTTATCTATAGGAAAAATATATTTCTCATATTATATTAGTAAATTTATTTTGTGAATGAAAGTAAATACAAGTTTGACTAGTGTATTAGAATAACAACATGATGATTGAACAATGGAATCCATCATTCTATAAAAACTGAAAAAATATCATAATGAAAAATAACAAAAATTAGTATTAACAAAGTGTGCCGAATCCGAAAAATACATGGTATTATTTGCTACTGTTTATTTTGTTTGATTAAATAATTGTGATGCGTTTTTTTTTTTCTGTATTCTTTTGTGCAACCTGCCTAAAAGTGTTTTCTATATAACCCTAATATTTAAAACAATAAAATTTAGGTATATAGTCCTTAAACTCAAGAAATTTGTTTGGAATAAATTATATTAGTAGTAATAATAAAGTTAATGGATGGTTTCTTTCTACATTGTAAGGTGGAAGCGCAGGCATATAACAGAAGAGATGATGAATTAAGACTTGAAGTTATGACTCAATGTTGGACGACTCTTGTAACGTTTACTTCTACTTCTAATATCCTTATAATAATATCAATTGTGTAAACAGTATTATAATAAAGTATCAAATCTGTCTTCACGTTACAAATCTGTCGATTCAAAAATTAAGCATTCATGTCTCTGTTGTAGAGACTTTTTAAAAAATTTGAGTCTTATATTTCATAAGTTTCTAAGTAAATGACCAATAGAGAAACGTATCTTAGACTATTTCTCAGCATCTTAAATGATTTAATAATGAGCCGAAGAAACTAGAACCATCTCTGTTTCGTTCTGCTTCAATACAGAAGAAACTCTATGTTCTAATATATATGCACATAAGAATAAACTACCATGACCACATTTCATCTAATCCATAGAAGCCAAAAAAAATTGGAGTAACGCACTATGAACATTGGTCTAAACATCTATGCTTCTCCGTAGATGTCACTTGTTTCTTTTTCGCTCTTTGGAGGAGGCAGTCTTTCTAACACCCAGCTCGGAGATTTATTTAGCCAGAGAGCTACACCGGTTTCTTTGTGTTTAAAATCCGGCCCTTTTGGATTTCTCTACATGGATTTTAGTTTTGAATGATTGGTACGTTGTATAGTAAATGTAAATGGGATTAGAGTTAAGAGGTATAGGAGCTTTTTTACCTTGTCCACTCTATTGTCCCACCAGTTCTTCATGTTTTCTACCAAGTCCTTCCAATGTTCCTCCCCGGCTTCACATGTTTTAACAGAAGCAAGATTGTTAAACTTAAATAAAATTCGAATTGCATCTTATGATTCAGAAGCAAAATGTTTAGTTGTCATTCCAATTCACAGAGTGTTATAGAGTCAATGGTGAGAAAATTGTTTACTTACCCTTTGGTTGTTTCGCGTATTTTGGGATATCAAACTTCAGGCCATTGAGCTCAAACAATACATCTTTGGGAGCTTTGTTAATCCAAAGGGCTTCACTCCCGTCTTTCTTCTTGAAATCAGGGTGATTAGGATTTACCTGTAGACAGAGATATCAAGAAAAAAGGAAATTTTTTGACAAATGTATCACGTAATGGTAACAAATGGAACCACTAAGACAAGTTTAATTACCGATCCATTCTGTTTGCTTTCCCGGTAATCAAACCATTTATCAGGATAATCAACAAGATCAGCCCAACGATTAGTTCCAAAACCACTTCCTTTTTGAACGCTAGCTAAGAACAAGAAGACATATGTTCATGGTTAGCCATAAAGAGATATCAGTGAAAGAAGAACGAAACATGATCGACGCACTTAGACGGCTTACCGGAATGCTTTAGCACACCTTCACTTTGATCAGACGTTGGCAAAGCTTTTGGCAGGGCTTCAGAACCTTCAACGTAGTGGAGATCACGAACCATTACTTGATGTGAAAAGCTACCATGAAAGCTTTTAAACAACTGAACATACGCTTGGTCAGAATTAGCTCCAGACTTAATCACATCTCTTAAAATCTGTCCGGTAATATGAACCCTATCGTTTTTCTTCAAATAACAGTAAGCTGTATGAGCCAAATCCCCTTCAAACAGTACCGGAATCCTAATGTTCACAGAATCAACAAATGTCGTATCAATACACCTATACCAATGCATCATCCTAACAAAGATCATTGCAATTTCAACTTCATAATATCCCAAAATCTAGTTTCAAGCAGAATGTGGAAATGCTTAGGTAAAAGATTGACACGAACCATGGCTTAGAGCTCTAAACTTTACAAGAACCAAATCAACATAGTTTAGAATCAAAATCCACCAAATTCAGTTACATGGCTTATAAAGTCTTAAACTTTAGCCAAGTCCCGAATCCCAAAACGACAATAGACCAACATGCAAGAACTCTAAAACCCAACAATAGAAACAAAAAAAAAATAAAAAAAAATTCAAAGACTAACCAGAAATTACTAGATGAATCAGACTCGGATTTGGAATCAGAAGAAGGTTCATGCGAAATGACTGTTCTTGCCCAGAACTTTCCATCGGTCGAAGAGTTGGACTCAACTTGTTGGTGAACGTACCCAATCAAATCAACAGAATTCGCGATTTTGGGTTGGTAAGGTACCTCCGTCGGTCTCGGCCACTCCTCCGACGAGTTCTCAGCTCCGCTTCCTCCTCCGTGAGTACGGCTGCTACTTTCCGCAGAAAAAGTTGTATGAAGTTTCTGAGAAAGAACCCATGATTGTATAGTTGTTGAATTTAACGAAGGCCTTATCGATTTCAATAGTGATCTCGCAAGAAACTGCATTTCGTGAAGGTTCAAACTTTTAGGGTTTATGGGGGTTTGACGACAAAGAAAGAGTTCGCCTTTTTAGAATCTCGGGTTCGTCGCGGAACGACGTCGTTTTCACAGTCGTTTCGCGGCAAAAAGAGAACAAGACAAGGACGACGCCGTTTTATAGTGTCGTTTCTTGGTATTATGTTTTAAAGGGGCTAATTTAGAAACTGTGGGTTTTTGGTGGGTCATTTTGTAATTTTGTTTTATTTTGTTTCGCACTTCGCCGTACGCGGCGGGAGAGAAAGAGAACGCTGGAGGAAAAAAAGAAACCTTCAAATCGGAAAATTCAACAAACCCTAAATCGACGAAAAGAGGGATCGTTGAAATCAGAAGCTTGGTTTATACTATGAAGAGTCAATGGTCTAATTTTCATCAGGTTCTTTCTAACTCTCTCTCCTAGTTTTAAGACATCGCGACCATCTCTGTTCTAATCCCAAAAGTCGTTGTTTTTTTTTGCAGATTGGGAGAAACTCTTTCTTAGCTGCTTCCACAATCTACTTTTCAACTGAATTCAACTTCTTAAACACTCCTCTTCCTGATCGGAGAAGCTTTTGCTTTGCGGGAAGAGGTAAAATGGCTTAATTTGGTTCTGTGGTGGTTTCGATTGTTATTGTATAGGTTCATGAATTGGTGTAGTGTTAAGAATTGTTGGTATGTGAGAGTAACTTGTTGAGGATTGAGATTGAATCGGAAAAAAGGAGCTTTAGCTTGATGGTACTGGAGTGGAGTCTACTAAAGTGCTAATCATATTGTTTGTATGAGACTATAAGTAACTTGCTTCTATTGGTGTGAGATTTTGCTGATTCCTGCTACTTGAAATTATAGATCAATCCAGCTTTGTAGTGTTGAAATCGGAGGCGGAGTTTAACAGTGCATTGAGCAAAGCTAGAGGTAAATAAACTATCCTGTGCTACTTTGCTAATTACTTCAGAATTATATGAGTTGCTCTGCTTTATCTTATCTTGATTGGTACATTGTTCAGATGGATCTTTGCCATCAGTATTCTATTTCACTGCCGCATGGTGTGGACCTTGTAAGTTAGTTAGTTTTGGTTTTCGATAGTAATCTTATCTGTACTACGAGTGGCGTTATTAATTTTTGTATTAGTGGTTTGACTATAGGCAGGCTTCTCTCTCCTGTAATATTGGAGCTCAGTAAGAAATATCCTGATGTAACAACGTATAAGGTCGACATTGACGAGGTATGTTTGCATTTGAATATCAATTTTCACTTGAATGGCTTTTATAAGTCTAATACAAGTATCATCATGCGACACCAGAGCCACCATTGTTTATGGTTTTGTTTTGTGGTTAAAGCTTTTAAACTGTCTGCTATCTAAAGCCTTGCATTAGTAGATAAGGGAAAATCTGAGATGAATTGCTACACTCTGGTTGCTATTCACTACTGGTTACTGATGTCACATCCTTAAAAGCGATATTAGTTTCTTAGTAGAGATATATTGGTGTTAAACCCCGCAGATATAAAGCTATCTTATTATGAATCATTTTAAGCTCCATTTACAAAGATATCTTCTTTTCTTGCATCTTTGTAGGGCGCTCTTACAAGTACTATTGGGAAGCTTAATGTCTCTGCTGTGGTAAATTCTCTGTTCCTTGTAAAAGATTACTTTATTTTCTAAGATAAAGCATGAACTAGTTCTGCATCTATATGACCTCTAAGGTTATTAGTGTCGAGATCCATATAATGGAGCGTTATAATGATTTGTTGAATGCAGCCAACACTGCAATTCTTCAAAGGCGGCGTGAAGAAAGCAGAGATTGTAGGTGTTGATGTGATGAAGCTGAGGAATGTCATGGAAAAACTCTACAAGTGAGAGAGATTCTTGACTTATGTACACTACATTGCTTTGAGTTGTGATTATTTTTGTTCGTTTGCTTTTAAATTTGCATGGGTGCTAAGTTTGGTTTATAAAATCACAAAAACTGAATTAAGATAATTGGTGTACGGGGTCTTGTTTTTATTTCCACTCTTCTTCTTTAAAAGAATGTGTTTCCTGGCCCAAATGGATGATGAAACAGAGTCGGGCTGGTTGGCTGATTCATGTCTTTGGGGACCTCAAAAATATTGGCAAAAGCAAAACCGAGAATAAACCGGAAAATGACAGGACAGTTGAGAAAACCAGTTGTTGAGTGATAAAAGAGAGAAGACGAAGAAGAAACAAATACAAAGGGAGTTAGAGAGATCATGAGAGTGAGTAGGACCGGATTTGACCGGTATAGTACAATCTGTTTTATTTCTCTCTTATTTTACAGCTCCAAATTCAGAGACTTTAACAATCATTAATGAATGAGAACGAACATGTTATTGTTATATAATACACAAACTCTTTATTTCTATCCTTTTATTGTTTGTCCTTCTTCTCTTTGTTTTTCTAACACTACCATTGGCTCGTACCGAAAGAAAATATAAGAGTAACCATACATTAAAAAAAAAAACTACAATTTCTGTAGTGATATTTTTTACTTTTTGGTAATATCTAATAAATCAGTATTGATATTTATTAATATTGAATTATTGGTATGTGTTTTTTTTTTGTTACGTATAAACATAAGCGAAAACTTAACATCACCAATCATTTATCCACAAAACATATGGATTAACATTTATGTCTACACTATTTTTGGATATATAATGAGAAAATGTTATTCGGCTATTTTTTTTTTTTCTAAAACAAATTGATGGAAGTCTTGGTTTACCAAAGGGTTTAGTGTTTATACACCAAGTCATCATTTTAATCTTCTTGAAATGAGAATTCTTATATATTAATGGAGACAAATTCACAAAAATTTGGTCGTGATGTGTTGGTTTGAGTTGTTCTTTAAGATTTTGTGTGGCAAGGGAAAAATTATATTATCTTGAATGTGGTGCAAATAAAATCATCGACATCTATCATAAATCTTTACTATGAGTGTAACGTTGTTTATTGTGAAAGAGTACGTAAAATCGTCTGTCATATATTCTATGCTGCATGCAATTGCTTATTATGAGTGATAAGAATAAGATCATCATCAATACTAAAAACTTAGATATACGAATTTACGAACAAATCGGTCATTGAGATATTAGATTTTCACACACACTCACGAAAATTTCAACTTATTAGATATAAAATTCTCATTTTTATTTTCTTTAATAATTCCTTTTCTTGTGGTCTTCTTTTTACTTCAATCTTTCTTTTGGTTTTATCGAAAAGGAGTATATAATAATTTTTCTAACAATAATGAAAAGAAAAAAATAAATGGGGAGGTTGATAGAGAGAGGAGGGTAGGGAAATGGTCAAAGGAGAAGGACAATGATTTGGCCCTCTTTTGTTTCTTCAGTACTTTTTATTTTATTTTATCTCAGTCTCCTTTTTTATTTTCCAAATGTTATCTCTAAACTTATCATCTTTTTTGCTATTCATAGCAAAAACACAATCCATATTTATGCTTAAACAGCCTCTGATAGCTATAAAGATGTGGTAAAAAGTTCTATATAACTATCTATGAAACTTACAATATCAATCCGAGAAAAGTTAGAATTTCTTATAACTTTTTGAGTAGGTTTTTTATATCATCATGTGGTAAAAGAAAGATACACAATACTCTTGATCACTAGCTAGGTAAGAAGAAGCTAGCTATATGGGTAAAAAATTGTTCTATTTGGTTCAATCACAGCAATATATGTTATCATGTTATATAATTATATATATTAGTGCAATTAAGATTGTAGATGCCATCCTATGCGTTGTCATATCAAATAAGATTATGTCATTCCCAAAAATATATCTCATAAGAGAATAATACACTCACTTTGTCCTCTACTAGCTAGAGACTGTGATATAGTTCAATTTATTGCAATGAGTTGTTATGCTTATACATTTGGGTGAATTAAATTTTTATACTCAGTTGACTGAAAAATTAAGAATATAGCATTGATAAGTGTATAATTAGTTCTCTCTCATCAACTTTTATAAGTGTACAAAAATATCCTTTCGCATCTAACAAATTATTTAGCGAGATAATGATATAAGTATCGGCAATACTGTTTATCAAATACATAAGTAAAATTATGTTATAAGTTAGATGAATAACTATTTAATTACCATGATAACAATATATATATACGTATAAGTTTATAAATATATCGTGTTAAATTGTTTTGTATCGCGATAATTTATGATTTGTGTGATAAGTTTATATTTACCGTGTTAAATCTAAATCCTAACCACTATTTTATCAACCCAAACCGATATATAATTTCGTTTTAATTGTAAAATCTAAACCCTAATCACTATTTTATCAACCCAAACCGATATATAATTCGTTTTAATTGTAAAATCTAAACCCTAACCACTCCTTTATAAACCCAAACCGACAAATAATTTTGTTTTAATTGTAAAATCTAAACTCTAACCACTATTTTATCAATCCAAACCGATATATAATTTTGTTTTAATTGTAAAATCTAAACCCTAACCACTATTTTATCAATCCAAACCGATATATAATTTCTTTTTAATTGTAAAATCTAAACCCTAACCACTATTTTATCAACCCAAACCGATATATAATTTCGTTTTAATTGTAAAATCTAAACCCTAACCACTCCTTTATAAACCCAAACCGACATATAATTTTGTTTTAATTGTAAAATCTAAACCCTAAGCCCTATTTATAAACCCAAACCGTTATATAGTTTTGTTTTAATTATAAAATCTAAACATCAAAAATATATTTAACCATGTTTATTAAAAATATACATATTTTGTTTCCTTATTAAAGATAATTTATTTGTTAAGATAATATATTATTTTTTAAATGTATAATTATATTAATCGCGCTAACTCAGTTATCAGCTAACTTATGATTATAGGGTTAAAATTGTCCAGAAAAAGCAAAACTAATTATGGAATTATCTTTAACATATAATGAATAAAACTTTTATCTAGGTACATACAATGCAATTTCCCTATACATTTAGGAATGAAAAACATTTTATATATCCTCAAAAAAAAATTATTATATAGAAAAGAATCACCAAGTGATTTAAAGTTTCATATATCCTCAAACATTTTATTATATATATAAAAGAATCACAAAACATAATTAAAATTGTTAAATTTAACATACTCAGACTCAATTTTGATGGATCCAAAACTGTGGTCTCCAAATTTTGGACATCTTAAATTTCCAAAATTTTGAATTGAATCTCTTACCATGAATAACAATTTCACCTAGACATATATTTATACACCATCCAATAAAAAACTTTGACCCAAAAAAAAAAAAAAAATCATATAAATCACCTTTGCTTAATTTTCATCAAAAAATTGATCTGTTTTCTTTAATGACTACAACTGAGATATGTAAACGAATTGTCTGTAATTAAGGTGGATTTCTGATAATTAATTCAATTTGCCACCATTTGAACTGAATAATCAAGAAGACAAAACAAGATCGGTAGGAGGCCAAAAGGACTGACAAGTGTTTTCAATAATGAGAGTGATCTTTTGGAGCAGTGAGTCAGATCCATCAAATGGAGAAGACTATTCTCTCTCTCTCTTCTCTCTTCTCTCTATCTCTCCCAAAGAAGGTCCCATCTAAAGAAAGGCTAATAGATTGCCAGATTCTGCAGGGAGTAAATTGGCCAGCTAGTTTTTTCTTTCTATGGCCTCTGCACCACCACCTTCATCATTTTCAACCCTCCTTTTTCTTCTCATCATTTATTATATACCACACAATCAAAGAAGAAGCAAATAATAGACTAGTTTGAGTTTCCATATAACTAGTTGGTTCAAAGCTCTAGTGACAATTGCTTAGTCTAGAGAGTTGCACACACATAAATGGTTAATACATGCTTACTTGGTACCTTCAAACCACATGCTTTACAATGATAAAATACGGAATAACTATGGAAAAAGTAAGGTGCGGTTCTAATAATAACGAAATTATATATCGATTTAGATATTTCTATTATTATTAGAACTGCACGGTAACATTTCCACCATTATGCAGATTAATGCATTTTTTTCTTTGTTCACAGTTTACATCAATCCCTTTATTTGCCATTGCAATTTGTTTCTCCTTGATGAAATAAGTTTGCTTTCTTCTTGAAAGCTTTTTGTATCTCTTTTATTGTGTCTCAAAAATAGGGGTTTATAGTTTATAACTAAGGTGGATAGTCACTGTCATATGCGTAGAGGGGACATCCTAAGAAAACTCAACAAAAATAAAATAAAATACTTTGAATTGCTCATTTATTTTTGTAGATTTTTACATATATATCTTTCTAAAATAATTTCGTGGGTCCTTAAGGAGGAGATGAAGCCTACACATTACAAAGATATCGACATCATGTAGGTTCCATTTACATAAATGATTGAGTAAATGGTCAAAAGCTTCTATCATACCATATGCCTTAAACTCTTTCTCTCTTTCTTTTTTTCTTCGAACAAACATATTCTCAATTGAAACTCATTGTCTTAAAACTCCTATTACGGTTATAAAGATTCGATTTAACAAGTATACGAGTTTTGCGGAGATAAAGAAGATTGATACGACATACCTCAACAAGAAAACATCACTGCACAAATTAACTGTAATGCATAATGTTGGAATCTTTCAATACACTACCTTTGGAATATATTCAACCAATTTCTAATTCTAACTTCATCAAATTGTATTATCTACTACTTAAAGCCACAATTTTAAACTAGGTGATCCGATATTGTAATTTAATCTTTCACAAACAGAAGAAAAAAAACATGATACAAAAATTTCCTGTATAAGTATATATAATTACCACAATTTCCATATTATTAGATATAAATAAGAGAATAAATATTATATTAAAAAAAAAAACATTTTCTGTGACTTGTCAATTTTGCGATAAAACTTATTGCAACCGTGCATGATAATGATGATATCAACAAAATATAAAGTGAATAATCAACTTGCCTATACATTTGGCCCGATCTTGATTACAACATTCTAACCGTCTTGGTACCTCTTCTTATTTTCCAGCCTATGAGCCAACTGTTTCTGCCTCGTGGTTAATTGATACATTACTTTAGAAAAATTATAAGACTTGTTTGATTTCGATCATTACCATTTAGATGGACGTTTTATCATCAGTCATAATCACATAATAAGAAAATTATGAGTCTTACGGAACTTGGTTTTGACGCTTAATAATTGTGACTAACTGACTATATTATTAGAAGCCACTTATTTACGATAAGATATGAGTACAAACCTAGCCTCATACATTGCAAAAGTTGAAAAATTGACTACTCGTGATATTAGTCAGAAAACATTTCAAATTTAAGACATACATGATATGAACATTTCGAAAACTAGTTTACTTTGAAATATTTCGATCTGTTTCTACCAAGCCGATAGAATTTATATAAAAAAATAAGAATGAAATAAGAGTTGAAGAATGGTTCGAACCTAATCTCATATCACACATTTAGGGAATTAGGTAAGCATCTACGATAAGTAGTAAAATCAGCATTTTGCTCCCTCTTTTGGCATACTCTTTCTTAAAATTTCTTTTTCATATTTGGGGCGTCAATGTCGACAATAATGATCATTTCCATTTCATATTTGTGCTACTATAAATAATAGAATGTATAATACGTATATATATATATATTATAGGGGGCATGCATGATAAAAAAAAAAAAGTTGTATACAGATATTTTGTTCAGACGATAGAGAAAGAGATCTTAGTGGACTTCTGCAACGAAAGGCTGTATGACATACACACACACGTCCTATTGTTTCCTATCTGTCCGACTACCTCGAACCTCTTGTGCCTTGAACCACAGGCTGTCCAGGTGATACATATCCACTATCTTTTATTTACATATTAAATTATAATATGTATATACATATTGTACTAGTGTATGGAAACAAATATAATCTAATACACACGTCGGAAATAACCAAAATAAATAAAATTTGTAACATTTCTAGAATAAGGTTTTATTTTTCCAAATTAACTAACATGAAATTTTATTCAGTGAAAAACAGAATAATACATAACAAGTTAAACAAACAATATAGATGTATATATATACTTTATATTGTTTTTCTTGGTGTACATCCTAAATACTGAAACCATATTATACTATAATATAATGAAGATGTTGTATTTTTTTTCATAGAAAAAGAAACGGCTCAGGAGTCAGGTGGCCATTGGCATGGTTTCTTGAGAAAGTCTGAATGGGTGAAATGGGAACCCATCTCTCCTACTCCTTAATGCCTCTTTTCCTATTTATATAAATTATTACCTTGATTTCGATTTCTTCTCTTTTCCTTATTATTTTGTAAACACACACAATCATATATATAAAAGAAATATTGGAAAAAAAAATCAGATAAAATTCTCTTGTATTATTATGTTTTCCTTAGAAACTAATCTTGATACTAAAAAAAAAAATTTTGTTTGCTTGCAATAATACATTTAGCCTTACTAAGTTAAAATACCAATTACTGTTTTTAACAATTTTTTTAAAAAATATATATATATATATATATATATATATATATATATATAATGGAGGCCAAAGAAAGCCATAGCGTTTGCATGTGGAAGAGAAAAGAACATGAAGCCAAGGCATATAAACTTGGGCAGAGAAAGACACGTGTCAAAAGCCCGTAACGCCACGTACTGGTATGTACGCCAATGACCTTATGCTACAACAAAACTGTTTGCATAGATTGTTACAAATATGGAAACCTAATATACGAATTTGTGGACCGACCATGTGCTTTTTTTTTCCCTCTTCAGTAATCTCTCAATCTATAAATTCTATATCCCTTTTTATTTCTTACGACAAAATACTAAAAACATTAGGCAAAAATGTAAGATATTAATACCTTAATTTAATTGTTTTCACTAAAAAATCCCATACGCACACGTGAAATTCAGATATTTTGTTGTCTATCACTCTCAAGAAGCTAATTAGATCACTAATAATTAACTAACATTAAACTCTGATAGTTTATTGTAACAATTCTGACACATTTTTTTATCACCAGTTTTGGAGTTTTATGGTGTAAGAAAAGATTTAATTTGCTTTCATAATTGTCCTCTTTAAAATGTTTTTATAACCCGTAATTGTTTTTTTTGTTTATACATTAGATACAATCGACAAAATATTATCCCCGACCATGAGGTGGTTTTAATTCCCAATGAAGGGATCCTAAGATGCAATTTGCATATAAAACAAAAAACATAGAGTTCCTACAATTTTAGTTGAATTAATAGATCATTAATATATAATTACACATTTTTCAGAATCACTACTTGGATTGTGAAAAGTGGAAACTATATATATATTTTATCACCGGATTGGAGTATTTTAAATTAATACTACACAGCAATATAAAATATATATATATTAAAAACCAAAGTATTCTTTCTTTCTTATTTTAGTGTATTTTTATATTGTTTTAATAAATGTGCAGTCACTACACATGACCTACTGTGACAAACTTACAAAAAATAAAATAAAAATCTACAAAATAAAAGACCCTAATTGTTAAATCATGTTTACGTTCAAAGTTCTAGCTAGCGTTAATTCGCGTTATAAAATTCGTATTAAGGCGAAGTAAAAACTGTTATATTATAGACACGAAAAGTCTGAAAAATCATTGCTAATTAAATTAGTCATTATATAATTTCTTGATTCCCCAACCTAGGAAAACAAGGTTGAATCGTAGTAATAGTTCCACTGTAGTACTCAATTAGTACTTAGTTATTACACTGTAGGACTCAATGTCATGGCAAGGCACAGCTTATGGTAGCGCTTCGGTGCTTGATTCATGTCGTACAACACCTAAGAACTTGGTTCCACAATTATTAAGCGTTATTATACAGTTATCCAATTCTAAGAAAACAACAAGTAAAATAAATTAGCTATAGTAGTATAAAGTTTCCATACATTACCTTAGTATATATAGTTTTCATCCCTACCTTATGATATCGTAAAATAAAAGGATAAAATCAGGAGGAACCAATGAATCAATGGTAAAGCAGACTGGTGTTTGGTGTAATTGATGATGATGACGATGACGCAGCCAAGACTTTTCAGCTGTCCCCGTGAAAACCTGTCGTCGTCTCTTCCCTCTCCCAATGAAATTTACCCAAACTACGAGTCCTCATCTCTCCATATTATTTTCTTTTAGTATAATTTCTTTATAAAAGTACCAAAATCACATTCACCTTTTTTTTTTTATTATTATTCATGAAAAGACCAATAATTCATCATCAAATAAAGAGAAAAAGACCCCATAATAGTAAACACATTTTCATGATAAAAGAAAGTACTAATTATCGTACCCGTTACAACATATACCTAACAAAAGATTACATATTATATAGAAATATAAAATGCTTATTTCTTTTTATATAAATCCCCTTATTTTTGCCTATGAAATTTTTTATTATTTATGAAAAAGGAGCTCTATGAGGAGCACCTTTCCTTCTATTACCAAGTAGAACCATCCCTGGCAAGTAGCTGTTGCTCTCTTGCTTCTTGTTCTTGTTCTTCTTCTTCCTCTCTCTCTTATTACTACTATTGTTACCTTGCTCCGATTGATCTGAAATGGCGACCATCATATCCTCTGAATCCTCCATCGTCGATATCTCTTCGAGATGATCTTGACCGTCCATTCTCAAACCCTCGAAGGTGAAATCAGATTCATCGATTCTATAGAGAATGCTTGATAGATCATCTCCTTGGTATGATAAGTAATCCACCTGCGTTCAATTATTTAAAAAACCATTGTTAGGCTAACATAATTGTGTCTTACTATAATAATATGGCTAAATATTGGACATGATAGTTCATAACCTAGGAAAGTGCCCACTTTTGTACTTGCACATGTGTTTAAGAATATTAAACAAATGAACACATAATCCAAGAATTTTATTAACATGATTACAAAGCATGGAGAAAGGAAAAAAAAAACAGCTGTTTCCCAAAGTTTTGTTTTTTCACCTTTAGAGTAATGATTTCTTATAAAAATACTTTATTTCATATGGTTAAAAGTTGAAGCAATCATTCTATTCTTTTATTATTTATAATTTTTACTAGAATAAAACAATCAACAAGTGAATCTCAAGAATTAATGGGTCTCACTTTTGTCATTCATTGGTCAACTATGCCAACAACTTATAACAAAATTTACCATGTTTTTATTGAGCTAGCATAGTTAAAAAATATTCAATTTTCAAAAGATTTAAGTTATCTTCTGTTGAACAAAAAAAAATATATACATATTATCTTCTTTATAAGGGTTCAACTAAAAGCAAAATAATTTCCAAGAGAATAATGTAATATACTGTATAATTTACCTTGCAGGAGAGTGAACAAAAGTGGAATGGTTCTTGGAGGATTCTATCACAAGTGAAGCAAACATTTGAAGACACCTTAGCTCTTGATTGTGGTCTTTGGTTTATGAATATCACTTTGGCTCCATTAATTGTATATGGCTGAATATACAAAATTCTCAATCAGTACCACAAATGAAACTAAAAAATCAAAGACTTCCAAAGAAAAAGAATACACTCCACCTGAACATATGAACAATCTATGAGCTTCTCAAGATCACTCAACCGAACGACGTCATGGTATACGTATCGTCTCACCTGCAAATTCATAAACGAAAGGGCTTAATTTACAAGAATGTAAACTTATGGGGGGTAACAACACAATTACTTCAAAAAAAATCTCATTTTCTTCTCTGAATCAAATACTCATAAAATCTTACTACTATATAATTTATCATTACTTGCACCAATAATGTTTTTTTGGGGAATAGTGGATAATGATTAAAAATTATAAATTGATAAAAACAAAAAAACCTGTGTGAAAGAAGTTAAAGGAAGTGAAGGAAAAGGGAATTTGGTCAAAGCTTTGATGTTGCTTGAAAGCAACAGCTCAAGAGAAGTTGAGCAGAGAAGACAATAAATTTTTAAAGGAAACCATAGCAAAAAATTTGAAAAAAGAAGAAAGAATAAATAAAAGATGTGAAAAAGATACATACTATATATAGAAACAAACCAAATCCACACAATAGACAATTCAAGTCCAATTACTATCATCACATAAATACATGTTATAATATATACATTGCTTTCAAACAACTATCAACAATTCTCAACATTGAATTAGAGAAATGATCATTACTGAAAACCTAAAAGGGTTAAATATGTATAATTAAAAACTTGTGTGAGAAATATTAGAAAAGATGGCTTTAAAGGGTCTTTTGAAGACGATGAACATAATTATTAAAAGAAATATATTTTTGGGGAGAAGAAAAAGTTTATGATAATGAAAGGTCCATTAAAATAAAACAAGAACAAAGCTCTTATAGTACAATTTCCAAAAGCTCTCTATAATTTGTATTTAAAAAAGATACTACTATGTGCATGTGAATCGAATTAAACTCGAATCCGAGGCCACTTAAGAACCAAAACCCCAGTAATTTGTTTTGGTTCTATGGAATTTAGAAATTTTCCGGGAAAATCACAAAGAAAATAAAACAAAATTTTACAAAAACAAGGGCTTGGAAAAATTTAAACTTAAATTGAGAATTTGCTAACGTGGTTGTGAGTATATATATATATATGGGTGCAAGTACAAACTTCACTACAATCCAAGCATGTTTTTTCATGATTATTATTTATTTATCGAAGTAACAGAATAAAACATACGTACGCAGTAACTCAGTGAATCTAATTTGTGTAGCAGTGTAATAATTATAAAAGTAAGTACAAATTTTCATCAAATTAAAAAAACAAAACTAAAACATGGGTATTGAAATTGTCAAGAAATGGAATCATGGGTCAAAAAAAAAAATCATAAATTTCGAATTGGATCAACCATAAAATTCAATTAAAATTAGTGAAAATTATTGAAGTTACCTGAAGAAGAGGATGAGAGCGATGGGAAGGGAGACAGTGAGGACAAACGCTGAGACAGCAGAGTAAGCAAAAGACGTTCTTCTCGCTTTTACGGCGAGTCTCGTGGATTCCACAGCTCGCGAAGAACGTTTCTGCCATCAATCCTTCAAGCCATGCAGGTTTCGTTGCCACCATCATCATCATCTCTTCTTCTTCCTCACCTTCTCTAACCATTTTCTTTAATTTTTTCACTCAATTTCAAGAACCCTATTCAAGAAGAAGAGCCCTAAGAGAGGTTGAGATATTTGTTTGATTAGGAGTATTTGGACCCTTAAATTTGGAGAGTGAGTGTGTGTGAAGAAGAAGAGAGTGTAAATGTTTATATAATATCTAGATGTTATGTGTATACACATGTGTGTGTATTGTGTATATTGGTTTTTTTTTTTTTGGTTTTTGTAATGTAGAGGAGGAGGTTTCCAGAATTATTGTCGCTACGTATAGAGAGAGAAAGTGTTGGTTGGGTCGTGGGAGAGAGAGAGAGAGAGAGAGAGAGAGAGAGAGAGAGAGAATGTCTTTATTGAGAAAATGAAATGTTCCCAAAAAGATCAAATCTTTTCTCCATTGGCCTTGATCAAATTTTGAGAGAGAGAGCGATAAGTGAGGTGTGACAAATTAAAGTGTCATCGTATAATTCTTGAAGTTTAATTAAATCTTGATATGCAACACAACAAACCCAATTCGAAATTCTTTAAGTGTTTTGATTACCTTTATTATTTGAAAAACAATATTACTCATGTATAATGAATGAATGTAATATATCTCTTTAATCTTTGTTTGTTTACTTGTTTTGTTAGTGTGCATTTAATAGGATCTAGTAGTTTGTTTACAATTTTGCGAAGGACAAGTGTCCGAGAGGAGGATTAGTTTGTCTGGACAGATCTCTACGGCTAAACTTACATTTTCCGGCTATGATATGACTCATGTTTTCACCGTCGTGAGCATCGATCACTCCATTTTCACACTTGTTACAATTTACAACAAAAGAAGAGGTGGTTTTATTTGGTCAAAGATTTTTTGAATTCACTTCTGAAAAAATGTATTTCATTTGTTTATATAATATTTTGCATATCATTTATAGCACAATTACTTATACTATCACTCCATAAATTTACATTGTATGATTGTGTTAAGATATAAACATGGAGTGTGATACTTTATATCTTATGAAGTTGAGAAGATTTGATTATGGAATATGGATCTTAAACATTAACACGAATGTGACTAGGTCCATACTAGTTATATTTTCACACGCCATATTTAAATTTGACTAAATATTTCAAGTCGTAAATTAAATACAATATTGATGTAATAATATATGTTTTTTCTGAAGTAAGGCATATAATATATAGTTTTTTTTTTTTTTTTTTTTTATAGTTAGAAACTATAGTACTAACTATAGTACTATAGAATCTCCACCAAAAGAAAAAAAAAAACTATAGTATAGAAATATGCCAAAAACAAATTACAGTCTGGGATTTAGTTTATTAATTTAATAAACCAGAAAGAAGAAAACACACACAAGAGAGTATGAATGGCAGAGACGTTGGCCTTGGCAAGAGTGCTCCTCTCTTTCCTTTTTAAAGCTTTTTAATTTTAAGTACTCTTCTTCACTCTTCCTCACCTCGATTTCTAAAAGCTTTCTCGTATTTTTCTATCTCTTTTGTTCTTGTTGTTACATATAATAAAACTGTCTTCGTATATAAGTTTTGGCTACCCCTTAGAATTATGTGCATGGTTACAGTTGAGGAACAGTTGAAGTGTTGAACATGCATATGATCGAAATATTAAACCGACTTTAATTATAATAAGCACTTTTCTTTTTGTTCTACTTAAAAAGGTAACTCTGTATAAAACTGATAATATTACTATGTCATTATGTTCCAATGAAACATAATCCATTCTACATGCGATTCCAAGTTGGTGTTTTAATTTAAATATCAATTTTTTTATGAAAACTTAAATTAATTTAAATTTTATGACTTGAGTTGTTTTTTGGTTCTTGAAAATGTAACATCGATTCTCTATTTGTGTCACGTAACAAAACTAATATTGTTACAATAAATAGAAAATACAAAAATCCATTGTTAAGGGGCACACACACCTGAAATAATAATTACAGGTTGAAACTAACTTATAATATTGGAGTTTTTGATGGAAAAAGCCCATATACTTATTGGGCTTGAATAGGTTCAATGTCAAGTCCACCAATGGCCCTTAACATCATCGATCTTTTAGGCAAGATTTCACATAAATCTCGCCGTCCGATAACCAAAACACGACGTACAAAAATGGAGAATTCGATCCCGATAGATCTCATCATCGAGATACTGTCGAGATTGCCAGAAAAATCAGCATCGAGGTTTCGATGCGTGTCGAAACAATGGAAGTCCTTGGCTCTAACCAGGTCAGGGTTTCACCGCGATGATTTCTCCGACTTGTTAACCAGATCCTCCGCTCGTCCACCGCGTCTCTTATTTGGGGTAGCAAAAGACCGTGAGTGGAGCTTTTACTCAACTCCTCTGCCTCAGAATAAGTCTTCGTCTCTCGTTGTAGCCGCCGCCGATTTTCACATCAAGTTCTCTAAAGGCATAAGCAGATTCAATTGTAGCTATGCCTCTGGATTGATCTATTTTCATAGAATGCGCATCCCAAGGGAAGATATGGATGAGAAGCGTGTGATCTGTAACCCTCTCACAGGACAGTATGTGATCTTACCTGAGCTTAGAGGTTATTCGTATAGCTATTTAGGGTTTGATCCGGTAGACAAGGAATTCAAGGTCTTGTTCATGAATACTAGTGACTATATAGCTTCTAGTGATACAGATCATTATATCTTGACACTTGGAACTGGGAAATTGAGGTGGAGGAAGATCTGTTGTCCTTTTACCCATGAGCCTGTGTGGGATAGGATTTGCATCAATGGGGTTTTGTATTACTCAGCGATAGGTACTGATGCACGGTCCTTTGTGATAGTTTGCTTTGATGTTAGAACTGAGAAATTCAAGAAGCTCATACGCGCGGCACAACGCAGTTCCTCCTTGATAAACTATAAGGGGAAATTATGTTTGATTGATTTGGCTTATGGTTATAGTGGTGGATTTCCTCTTAAGTTGATTATGTCGGTTCTAGTGGATGTCGAGAAAGAGGAATGGACGACATATGTCTACACTTTGAGGGCTGATAGTGAAGTCGTTAAGGTTAGCAAAAATCTTTCCGTTGTTGGGGTGACTGCTTCAGGTGACATTGTTTTGGGGATGCAGTATGCACGTACACCGTTTTATTATTTCTACTATAACCCCGAAAGGAACACTCTCCAAAGTGTTGAAATCCAAGGTGTTGGTGATGCTAATCGTGATTGCAGATTATACTCATTTATAGACTATGCTATGTAGAGGATCTTAGTGTTACTGATGCAATGCAACTCAAGTCAAGCCTTTTCTAACCAGTCCAAAATGTCGTTTCCAAGAGGCGAGAACCACAACGACTTAGGCATACATCTCCTGACCATTCCAAGTCTCCTCAAATCTGTGAAGTTGCAGCAGAACAAGTACGGATCATCATCAGCTAAACTGCTCTTTCGCACTGCTGGCTTAGCTATTTTAGTTTTTAAAAACTTTCTCACCTCAATTTCTATCTCATATTTTTCTATCTCTTTTGTTTCTTGAATATGCTCTCTACTTTATTGTTGTTGTTAAATATAAAAAATGTGTTTGTATGGTTATGTTAGAATTATGTTCATGGTTTCTGAGATTGTTGAAGACTAAGGGTTGAGGAGGAACATTTGATCGAACATGCATGATCGAAGTATTAAACCGATTTGAATTATATAGTAAACACATTTCTTTTGTTCTACTAAAATGTAACTATGAAACTGATCTTTCTATATTACTGTGACATTATGTCCCAGTGAAACATAATCCATTCTACTACATGCGATTCCAAGTTGGTCCAACATAGATGTTTTAATTTAAAAATATATATATATATATATATATATTTTCTTTAATGAAATTTCAATGTTATGACTAATTAAGTTGTTCTTTGGTTCTTGAAAATTGAATAACATCGAGTCTATTTGTGTCACGTAACTAAACTAGTTACTGTATGTTCTAAAAAATACAAAATTTCGTTGTCAAGGTACACACCTGAAATAATAAATACAGCATTAGAATATTTTCTGTAACGAATAGATCACTGTACTACTAGATCGAAACTAATTTATTATAATATTGGAGTTTGATGTTAAGAAGCACAAATACTTATTGGGCTTAAATAGGTTCAATTTCAGATCCACCAAAGGCCCCCTTAACATCATCATCTAATTCGTATACTCTCGCCGCCCGATCAGCAAAATACGACGGACAAAAAAATGGAGAATTCGATCCCGATAGATCTCATCATCGAGATACTCTCGAGATTGCCAGCGAAATCAGCGGCGAGGTTTCGTTGCGTGTCGAAGCAATGGAAGTCATTGGCTCTAACCAGGTCAGGGTTTCACCGCGATGATTTCTCCGACTTGTTAACCAGATCCTCCGCTCGTCCACCGCGTCTCTTATTTGGGGTAGCAAAAGACCGTGAGTGGAGCTTTTACTCAACTCTTTTGCCTCAGAATCCATATGACAAGTCTTCGTCTCTTGTAGTATCCGCCGCCGGAGATTTTCATACCAAGTTCTCTAAAGGTACAAGCGAATTCAATTGTAGCTATGCCTCTGGATTGATCTATTTTCATAGAATGTGTATCCCAAGGGAAGATGAAGATGAGAAACGTGTGATATATAACCCTCTCACAGGACAGTATGTGATCTTACCTGAGCTTAGAGGTTATTCGTATAGCTATTTAGGGTTTGATCCGGTAGACAAGGAATTCAAGGTCTTGTTCATGAGTACTAGTGACTATATAGCTTCTAGTGATACAGATCATTATATCTTGACTCTAGGAGCTAGGAAATTGAGGTGGAGGAAGATCCGTTGTCCTTTTACCCATGAGCCTGTGTGGGATAGGATTTGCATCAATGGGGTTTTGTATTACTTAGCTATAGGTACTGATGGACGGTCTTTTTTGATAGTTTGCTTTGATGTTAGAACTGAGAAATTCAAGTTCATATGCACCCCAGAACGCTATTTTCCCTCCTTGATAAACTACAAGGGAAAGTTATGTTTGTATGATTCGGAGTGTTGTAGATTTTCCCGTAAGTTGAGTATGTTGGTTCTAGAGGATGTCGAGAAAGAGGAATGGACGACTTATTCTTACAAATTGAGGGCTGAGATTGAAGTCGTTAAGGTTAACAAGAATCTAGAGGTTGTTGGGGTGACTGCTTCAGGTGACATTGTTTTGTCGACGGAGTCTGCTTGTAAACTGTTTTATGTTTTCTACTATAACCCCGGAAGGAACACTCTCCAAAGTGTTGAAATCCAAGGTGTTGGTGATGCGAATCGTGATCGCAGAGTATACACCTTTGCGGATTATGCAGAGGATCTTAGTGTTGATGATGCGATGAAACTCAAGTCAATCCCTTTACAACCCGTCCAAAATGTCGATCCCGAGAGGCCAGAACCACGACGACGTACGCATATATCTCCTGACCTCTCCAAGTCTCCTCAATCTGTGAAGTGCAAGGAGCAGAACAAGTGCGAATCATCATCAGCTAACATGCTCTACCTCTCTCTTGGCTTAGCTAGTGTTTGTTTAAGTTTTTCTTTCGTTTTCTTTTACCTCTACTATTCTGTTAGGCTTAGCTAAATTTCTCACATATGGGAACATAAGATCAAAACGCCTAATCAAGAATATGTATTAAAATGTGACTGTCAGTGATAAAATATGCATATATTATGTATACATACCACTCTTCCGTTCTACTGCAGAATCACCAAATGGTTTTATCACTACCATAATTTAATCAAATCGTTTTCTCATCTACACACATTTCTAGCTATACCAGTTGAACCATGCTAGCTCGTAATTAACGATACAAAGAACCTCTATACGAGGGACTCCAGTAGTCAGTTGCACTGTTATCGCGGTATGCTATTGGGGTGCATGAAATCGGAACCAAACAGAGCCCTCTACTCCTTAGGTCTAGATGTTGTCTTGGTCCTCTTTTGTTGTGATCTTCTCTGTCCCATCCTCCCCATGGATCCTATAAAACCATTATACAACTATTTAAACTTCCACTAAATGAACTACGTTTAATATTTTTAGAAAAATCTACCATGTTTACTCCTTTCAAGTTTCAACGGTACCTTAACTGATGAATTCTTCATATAAGGAGTGCTTAGCAGCTGCATAATCGTTAAATTCACCAACGAAATTAATTTTTAATTAATATAATCAATTAATGGTGTATATGTTTGCATATATAGGCAACATGAGTTATTATTTTCGTGATTTGTATCGTATTTGTAAAGCATATATTACCTTCACTTGCTCTTGATAGAAGTTTATATAAGTGATGGCTTCTTGAAGCACAGAAGCAGTGTCCGTCTGAAATGTTTTCAAACATAATGTTTCATTTACTTCCTTGTAACACATATATGTATGTTAAAAGATACATTGAAAGACAGAGAAATAAATAAATATGGTCTTATCTTTGTAGTACCTTTCCAAAGGGAGACACAATTTGCTGTAGAGTCGTGATCTTGTCTCGAAGCTTGGCTTTAGGTAATTCCTGCCATTTATTTTCGAAAATAATAATGTAAGTACTTTAACAAAAAAATAATTAATAATAATGAAGGTATTTTCTAATTTCACCATTAAACTTTTTAATCGTGACCAATTTTATATGGTGTTTTTCATTTTTAAACTAATAAAATCACGCGGTGAAAGAAAAACATAAACCAGTGTGAAACGTGAGAATTTCTTTATATACTATTTGTTTGGCAACAATACTAGCTAGGAAAATGATTACTTCAACATAAAAAAAAAATCCATAATATCAAAGATATTTATAAAGATTATTATCAAAACAATCTAACTATCAAAGTAAATGCATGCCAATTTGCTTTTATTAAAAAAAAAAAGAAAAAAAAACCGTACAAAGTTACTACGTAGTATGTAGATTCACTTGTTTTGTTTTATAGTTATCCGAAAGAACAAAAAACACATATTATGTTTTGGCATGCATTTACATGTACTTACGTGCTCAATTATGTCATGTAAAGATTACCTTCTCCGGTGAAAGTGTAGAGCCACCGCCGCACTTGGCCTTCTTGGATACCTCATCAGAAACTTCTTCACATCTTTTCTTCTTTCCGGCGTTTGTTGTTCCCAACCTCACAGTTGCCTACAAATAAAAATAGCTCCCGAGTTCGTGATTTAACGTCGGTCCATACTCAAATTTTCACATACATAGTAACATCCGTTACAAAACTTAAAGATCCAACAGCAATATATATATCAACGTTAAATCCATTGGTAAAGTGAGAAGACGTATTTACCAACATCGTTAATAAGCTATTGCATCACATATTTGATTATATGAAAAGATTTGGTAGCGTACACGTACCAGTGATGCCGTTTGATGTTCTTTCTTATTAAACTCGGATAAGTTTAAGGCCTTAAAGCATGGCTTAAACGACGGATTAATATCCGACAATGGCCGGCTTAACCTTATATCAAGGAAACCTCTAGAACTTTCAATAGGATCATGGAACAACGAACCAGCACCAGCACCAGTTGAGCCATTATTGTAACAAAGAGTTTCTTCATTTTTCACTTCCAAGGCTTGTCTGTACATAGAAACATCTTCGTTTGTCTGAGAATGATCATGATCGAAATGATGATGAAGGTTATGGTTCATGTCGGGATTATTCGGTGGCGCAATAGACCAGTGCTTCCCTACAAGATCTGTTAACTTTGACAGCCGTTGGTCACTACTTTGATCATACCTAACTTGGTTTGTGTCATAGATCCAACCGTTACCGTTATCGCAGGCTGGCTCGAATGATGGTAATTCTGATGTTGTTGATGAGTTTCTTGAAGGTGTTAAGTGGTGATTATGATTATGATGATGATGATCCATCATTTGATCTCCTAAGCTTCTACCAGGCCTGTCCATTCATTTATGTAATTATTAAGGTGAGTGTTAATAGAAAATATGATATTTTATCATTTCACAACTAAATGTAATTATGAACTAATTTTTTATATATATATAATGAATTTATGGGTACTTTACATGGTAGATTATTGTTTTTAAAAATTATTTTGCTTTCAGAATAAGAAACTCTACATTGCAAATTTGCAATACTTTCACTAAACTATTTTGGGAAATTGTAAACAAATAGAAAATGGTGATCCTTGTTTGCGGGTTACGTTTTCATTTATATTTTTCAAATAATGTCTACTTTTAGAAAATACTTTATAACAAAAGTTGTAAGAAATAATATTCTATGTAGTAGATACAAAAACAACAATTATGTATAATATACTAATACAGTACTAAAAACTTCTTTTACTTTAAGAAAAAAACACACAAATAAACTACATCCGGAGTGGCCAATAATAAAAAGATGAATCATAAGTGCAAAATTATAGGCATACCCTCACCAATCAAACGTTAAATCATTTATTGGGGAACAATAATTCAAAAGAGCTACTAATTTACTTTTATAAAACCAACTTTTAGACCTCTCTTTTGTTTCTAACGTTTTTTAATTTTATTTTTTTAGACCTGGAAGCACTCATTTTTTAAAGACAAACAAAAAATAAGAATATGATGAACTAGACAATATCTTTAAGGGATGGAGCGTAAAAACTTTAAACCTTAAACTAAACTTTAAATCTTGTGAATTGCAACTAAGACTATCATTAATGGCAAGCTCAATTTAAGCCTAAGAACTTGCCATTAAGGATGCTCTAAGAGCGTTAAACTCAGGTAAGAGTAATTCATACGTAGATAAGATAACATATAAAGTGTTTTTGATAGTACTTACAAGAAGGCAAGACTCCATAGTTGATTATGAGAAGAGACAACATGGTCGCGGAGCAACTCATCGGTGGAGGAGGAAGGAGCCGAGAGAGAGTGATGATGATTATTGGAGGATTCAGCAGTTAGGTCCAAACGATTTGAAGCGTTTACGTTTGAGATCGAGAGATTGTCTTCTTCACAGCTAACGTTTGCGTTTGAGTTGTTGTTACTACTCTTATGATAAAACGATGTCGAATTGATAGAGTTTGCATGATCATTATGATGATGTTGAACATCTTCCCACCATGAAGAACTCGGAGTACATTCTTCCCTTAACATTTTTTGTTCCTTTCTTCGAACCGTTTTTGTCTTTCTTTCTGCTTCAGCTTCTTTTGTTTTGTTTGGTTAAGAGTCTAGAGGATATGTGCATTAGAGAATATAAAGTGTATGTATATGATACGATCGGTGGTGGTGACAATATTATATGCGAGTGGGGTATGTCCACTAAGTTACATTAAAATTAAAATTACATATATGTATCTAAGCCACCGAAGACGTGTTATATGCGGTCTGCGTAAGATCGTACGTCAAGAGAAGATGTGCTTGACCTCTACTTGAACTTGTCACGTTTGTTTTTGAAAACTATAACGGATCTATAGGAATACTTTTTTAGCAAAAAAATCTATAGGAATACTTTTCAATCAGTTAAAATTCTATAGAAGCTAATAATGTATATGAGTAGCTATATATATTAATCTTTGGCCTATCTAGATGTACATGGAGAGTAACAACAACTAACAACAAACCAAAACATAGATTTCCTATAAAATAAATATGATATAAACTAACTGATATATACTAGTAATAATTATTTCTCAGTTATGTTAGATTCTTGGAGTTTAGTTTTCGTTTTAAAGATTTTAAATATCACTTTCATTTCCAAAACTTTAAGGTGCATATATGAATACAAGTTAGGAACCAATCGGGTTTCAACTTCCAAAACATGTTTTTGTCTCTGAGAAAGAGACATTGTCATGAGACTTGTTATTTGGCCAACCTATAATCCACAATCCGCCTATTACCAAAATATATCTTCACCTCACGTGAATGCGGCCTGGTGCTAAAACTTCTTGACATGAGGTAAAGGGTAAATGCATGGTTTGGGATTGTTATAGGCAACCAAAATTGTAAATTTCGACCTCTTGTTAGATAGCGCATTGTCACGAGAAGAAGGCGTGGCCATATACTAAAAGCTCTGCGTTTCAAGAGTGCACAAGGACTAGAATCAGACTCGGGGACATAGTCACTAGCTAATCTCTTACTATGATTAATTTTGGTTATACGTACATATCAAGACTTACATTCGTATTCTTTTCAATTAATTCCTTTTGAGCCAATTATTTGGCTTGATTCCCTTGCTACATTAGGTTTGACCAACTTCTATTCTTTTGCTCTCCTGCTTTAATAAAGATGTTCGTTTGCCGACCAAAAGGTTTTTCAAAAAAAACTTTCTTTGATCGATGACAAAATTTCTGATAAAGAAACTAAAGCTACACAATTTTTTGGCTCAAAATTGAAGGGATTTAGATGAACAAGAAATTAAAGCTTAACTAAAAACTGATTACGATCATATGTAGTTTGATTGCTTGCTACATGCATGTTGTATCAATAAAATTAGAAAGACTTGAGCTTAATCCTCATACCAAAAGAAATAACCTAGGGCGAAGGAGGAAGGTGTAGAAGGGGGCAATAGGGTTTATTTCTTTTAGTTCTTTAAGGGTCCAATTATTATAAAAAGTGGACATATGATGCCAAATAAATAAATTAAATTAACTTGGATATGTTAATTAAATAAGCAAGCGTGATTATTGATACACGTTATAATCGTAGCCAAAAGTAAGGGGCAATATGGAATACTTATTAAATGTTTATAATGTAAGGTTTCAAATCACCAAACACAAAAGCACTCGTTTTTCCAATTTACATATTTTCATGTAATATTCCTTAATATTACTCTTACTCTATTATTTGAGTTTTTTTTGTTTCTCTTTAAAACATTTCTTTGATGTAAATAAATTTTAATGAAAAAACTATTTTCAGTCTTCAAATATTTCAGTGTTAAAAGTCGAATAACGTGAATTTACAACTTGTTTGCATTGTGACATCTATTTACTTTTTTTTTTTGTGTGAGAGTTTTAGGTTTTATCACGCTTATTGAAATTTATAAATAAAAATTAGAGAGAAATTGACTTATTGTTATATCTTAAGCTTATAAGTTTTGATGGTTACTTGTTTGGTGACACGAAACCTAGCAATAAAGGGTTACGATTCCATATTGGCCCTAACTTTTTTTTTTTTTTTTTCGAAAAGATAATTTAAAGTATTAATCAATAATCACGCCTGTATAATTTAATCTATTATCATTTCTTGGTGCGCTATTTATTTTCTCAGGCATTCATCCCTTTTAATCCGAGTCCAACTCCACTCCAAAAGTTTCTTGTCTTTTGCTACTATCTTTTTAATTATTTCCTTTCTCATATTTTAATAAATACCAATTTATAAAATAAAATTAAAAAAAAAAGAGAGATTGAGTGGCCAAATTTTCTGAGGTTGACTTTTGTTAAAAGAAAAATAATTATCATTTTATATTTGACTCTTTGTTTGTAGTCAATAACCAATTGATAGCACCATAACCCAAGATGTTTCTTTAATGGATTTTTAAAAATGGAAACAATTTAATTGGTGATTATAAAGTTTGGTTACATGAAAACTATATAAAATGTAATTGAAGAGAAAGATTAGGCCAGTTGTGAAAGTAATCTAGGCCCATTTATTTATTTGGTGTTTTGGTCATTCCTCAGAAGCCCATTCATGCATGCAACGATAATTTTCTTTTCCTTTCCATTTATGTAACGCATGAAAAAACCAATCAAGCTTTCCATTTTTGTAACGCTAGTGAAGTTTAAAATTTGCTTACCACAGATTCTGTTAAACTATAAGTAACAAAAATCCGACAAAAGTGTATACAATTCACGTGAAATACCAACAAAACTGTGTATTAGCGACACATAGAACAACATAATTACTTGGCTATATATATATATATATATATATATATATATTTTGCTAAAGATGAGAGATGAGATTTGTGTGATTAAAGAGAGCATCAGAAACGGTTCTCTTTTCGGTGATAAAAATATAGTTATAGGAAAATACTTATCTTAAATTAGTATATCGAGTTAAATGGCAAGTTGAACATGATAGACCGTAGACAAGACATATTCAAAACACTTAGTTATGTATACATTTACATACTTCAGCTGCCGTTTGTGTACATTGATCAACAAACGAATACCAAATTAGCTAAATGATCATTCTCATCTTTATATAATAGAATTTTCTTACACCATATTGAAATTGTACCTTCAAAGTAAGACATTGTTGTCACTTGAGGGCTACTTCGGAAGTCCCAAGGGTAAGTGAGCTTGGTCCATTTTAAGAACCAGAGACCTAATTAGGGTGAAGTGTGATGTCTTTTGGTCTCTTTATCTGTCGTCCGTAAGTTTTCTCTATACATAGCGTGACCACTTTACTTAGTGCCAGGGTCCCAAATCGAAACGGAGCCTCAATTTTCCAGTTGTTCATGTTTTTGGGTGTAGAACAAATTTTAGAGCCGACACAAAAAAAAAACTATTTTTTTTTTTTTTTTTTTTTTTTTTTTGTAAACAAACTAAATTGTTTACTAGTAATATATGCCAAATTATTCGCCAAATATAAGTTATATGTGACTCTAAATGATCCATCCAAGTTTTAGGGATTTTTTTTTACTTATATTTCTATATATATGCATGGTTTTATCAATCTTATTTTTTTGTGTTAATAATTACCTAGTTGATAAATTATATGTTTTGCATTTTAGCTGTCTTTTGTAGGAGTATTATATATTTTCAAATTTTGTATACCGGAATGATTTTTTTCTTTTTGTATACCGAAATGATTAAAATATTTATATTATGAATAATTAGTATACATTACTCACTAGACTTCAAAAGTATTAGACACCCCACCAAAGCCTGTCTGAATTGATTAGGCCAAAATAAGCTGTGACCGTCGGCCTAACTAAGTTTGATGTAACAATTGAATAATCAACTTACCAAATATCTAAACTCTTGTCACCAGCTCTAGTCTTTTGCTTATAGTTTTTATGCGATTTTTTTCTATTACTTATTCGTAGATTATAAACAGAACCAATGATTAGTCGATTATAAGTCTATGACCAAATGAAATGATGGGCCAATGTTCAGAACACATAACTTCAGAATGCTGATTAAATATGTACTGTAATGATTATTCTTTTAAATTATTATCTTACTTTTGTTTAGCTGTCTTTGTTAAACTAAAGTAATGTTGGGTGCACTATGAGACTAGAGGCCCCAATTCAACTCATATACTCGATTTATAGTTTATACCTTCCTCCAATTTCTCCACCTTGAACTGACAGTAGTATTAATTAATGAATTAAACACCAACTAATTTTTTTGAAGATAAGAACAAAAATCCATAGAGTTTCGTTAATATTACCATACTATCCTTTTGAAATCTATGAATTTTTGTATATCGTTTAAATAGAGGATGAAGTTGATTATATAACACAATGTAGTTTTGAGATATAAAAATCCTTGAATATATTTGAAACTACCTGCCACGTGAACAAAAAGTCGGGCAAGATCTTAAGTTGAAGATCTTAAATCACAGTTTTCTTAGAATGTAATTAGCACGATTCAAATTGTTGATATGTATCCATGTACGTATTCACTAATCTCTTTATAATAGTTTCGAATATTCACCTAGTTTTTTTTATCAATTTAGAACGTCATAAAAGTGTTAGTTATAAATCAACCATATTAAAATCATACTATAAACTAAAGCTCTTAAAATCTAATATTTAGGTAGTGTGACAAATTAAATAGTAATATGTAGAAGAATGTACTAGATCTAAATAAGTTTTATGGGGTTTCTGATTTTTTTAATTTTTTTAAATTTTTTTTTTTTTTTGGTAGAGAGTAATGAAACCAACTAAATCCGTATTTTATATTGAAGTCCATGACCTAGTCATTAGGCATGGAACCGAAAGATTTAAGTCAATTCAATATCCATTTTATTATGAATCGACACACATCATCAATTAAAAAAGCAACTCGATCTACTCAAGACTTTGTATAAATTATAGGTCGTGTGACAATTAGGGTAAAGAGATGCGATATATATAAACACTCCAACAACCCATAACATTGCACCTTATTAGTTCCATAAATACGAACGACACAATTTCCCATACAAACATATGATTTTCCATCACGCAATTAAAACTTCCCATTATACTAGTCTACATGTCGGTCCTTCATATTTTAACAAAAAAACGGGAATTTACACCAACTTACCTAACTTATACTCTCTAACTAAAATCTGAATATTGCAATAACCTGTCCGAGTGAATTGAAAACTCATTACATAGATCCAAACTAGGAGTCAAATTGTATAGGTGGTAACTGTTAATGGTAACCACTTACCACTTACCACTACAATGGTACAATGTTTTTCCTTGTAACTGATGATATAAAAAAATTAACTCAGCTATTATACAGTTCTTTTTGTAAAATATTTCATTATTTTATACTGTTTTAAATTATTATTTCATTATTTTATTATTTTATACTGTTTTAAATTATTAATTTATTGCTAAAAATCTTTATACCGTTTTATGTTACTAATCAACAACTATCTTCAAAAAATCATTTGTAAATAACAAAAGTATTCGACTTTTAATTAGTTTTAGCTTAAACTCCAAAAATAGTAACAAACAAAAACAACTACGAAACAATTTTAAATACGGTAGCACAAGATAGATACTCCAACATGAGATTAGTAATAAACATATACTATATATGTTTTATATATATATCTGCTAGATTAGGATTTGAGATCTAATCTGTTGAAAAATAAATACATAAATGGGATCTAAATAAATAAATCCACAAAAAAAAAAAAAAGAAATCGAAACCCGCTAAATAAGCCAGAGGGGATACGCAACAAACTGTCGGAGAACTCTGACAGAAACGCATGAGACGAGACTATACACATTAAAAAGAAAAAAAGAAGAAGGGCAAAACAGTCATTTACACAACTCCAGTTGTTTGATTTGTGTTGATTCTTGTCTTCTTCGCCACTGTTCCGCTTCTTCTCCGCTCGTGCCTCCTCCCTTATAAAACACACACACACACACTTAGCCAAAACGTCACAACTCCAAAAGAAAAAGAAAAAAAAATCCCAAAATCGATTCGTTTTTTTTTTTAATTCCTTCATCCCTCTGAGATCTACTCATAATGACAGAACCGTCGATGGAGAGAGAGAATAATGGAACATTAACGGCGGCGACAACCACTACTACGACCACGACCACGACAACAACAACAACTTCTCCTCCTCCTACTACTCCTCCTCCTATGACAGTCTCTTCACCTCGTCAAGCATTAGTTGAGAGATTGAAAGATTACGGACAAGAAGATATCTTCGCTCTTTGGGATGAACTCTCACCCGACGAAAAAGATTTCCTCGTTCGAGATATCGAGGTTGAATTTTATGGTTTTAATTTTTTTTTCCAGATTCAGTAGTTACGATTTGGATCTCAGATTTCAAATTTAAACTCACAACACTATGATTTGTTTTGTCTCCCTTAGAATTTGGATCTTCCAAGAATAGATCGGATCATTAGATGTTCACTTCACTCTCAAGGTGATTATGTCATTTTTGCTTCTTCTAATTAACATGCATTGTCATTTTTTTTTTAAATTACTAATCTCGGTTTAATTCCGGTTTAAGTAGGTTTACCAGTGGCGGCGATAGAACCGGTACCGGAGAATTGGGTATCAACGGTGGATGGAAGAACAATGGAAGATAGAGAGAAATGGTGGAAGATGGGATTAAAAACTATCTATGAAGGCAAATTGGGTGTTGTGCTTTTATCTGGTGGACAGGTTCAAATTCTTACTGTTAATTATGACATTTTTAAAGCTTATTAATTTAGTTTAATATTAGTAATTAAGTAGAGCTAGCTAACTTAGAGAGGGACTAAAATGATTCTTTTGTTGATGGTTGAGATTAGTGGTTTTGGAATAATGCTGCTGCTATGACTACTACCTAACTTTTAAAAAGTTGGATTAATAATGGGATGATAATACACTACGACTTTAGTGTAGTCTTTGTACTTTATATATGGTTTTGAATTGGAAATAAAGTGTTGTTTTTTAGATTAGTAGGGTTTGTTATTATTAATATTGGCAAATTATAATCATGATTATTTTCAAACAAAATCACTGTCGGTGGTGGTGCATTTTAATTGTGAATTCCTTCTAGGAGGAACCTTCTGCTTAATTATAAGGATGATGATCACGTGATCTGAAAGATGCTTTTATAGGATTCCGTAAACTTTTTTCAATTTATTGTATATTGTATACATTTTTTTATTCACATTTAGGATGCTCTGTTTCGTGTGATGTAAGTAAGGTTACTTAGATTACTCAAGTGATCTGATAATGAACATGGTTTGGTTATGATTTATGAAACTAATGCAGGGAACAAGGCTTGGAATCTCAGATCCAAAAGGATGTTTCAGTGAGTGCTTCTCATTTCTAGTTTTGTGTGTTTCCTCTGTTTTCAGAATGCAATGTAGTTTTCATTAAACCAAAGTCTCTGTGTATCTTCGGTTTACTTACATAGTAGTTATTTCTGTCTTAGATATCGGACTACCATCAGGGAAATCGCTCTTTCAGATTCAAGCAGAGAGAATCTTGTGTATTCAGAGACTTGCTGCTCAAGTAGTGAGTGAAGGTGAGTGTGAGACTCATGGCTTCTTTTACAATTCCAACGCATATTAATACCGGTTTACACCATGTTTGACACTCTTTTCCGCAAACTATCTTACGTGTAGGTCCAGTTCGTCCAGTTACAATACATTGGTATGTTATGACTAGTCCATTTACTGATGAAGCGACACGAAAATATTTCTCGAGTCACAAGTACTTTGGTCTTGAACCAGATCAAGTAAGATGCTTCTTATTTGTATGAACATTCTTTGTTGCTCTTCGTTTCTTAGACCAATCTTGATTAGTACTTTTACTACAGATCAGTTTTTTCCAACAAGGTACTTTGCCTTGCATTACAAAGGATGGGAAGTTTATCATGGAGACACCTTTCAGTGTATGTACTATGTGCACTAAATAAAAAAACGAGAAGTACTCATTTTTATCTTCAGTTCGTTTAATTTGTAGAAAAATTGGCTTATTCAGTTTAGTTACTTGTCATTACCAGTTAGCTAAAGCTCCAGATGGTAACGGAGGAGTATATGCAGGTATGTCTACCAAATCTTGGTTCTGTTCTTTACTATTCAAACAGTTGCTGGTTCTGATCCGAGGTTCTTACAGCGCTAAAATGTTCAAGGCTATTGGAGGATATGGCCTCTAGGGGGATTAAATATGTGGATTGCTATGGCGTTGACAATGTCTTGGTTAGCTCTCTAGTATAATCTTCAGTCTTGACATGTACTTGTTTTCTCAAGGTTTTCTTGGTTATAATGTGGAATCTTGGAAAGCAGGTTAGAGTAGCTGATCCTACTTTTCTTGGATACTTTATCGACAAAGGGGCTGCTTCGGCTGCAAAAGTTGTGCGGAAGGTATATACATAACATCATACAATCTCACTGGTTCAGAAAGATTTCAAGACTAAAACTTCATCTTCTTTATATTTCTTTATGGGAAAAAAACAGGCATATCCACAAGAACAGGTAGGAGTATTTGTTCGGAGAGGCAAAGGCGGACCGTTGACAGTAGTTGAGTACAGTGAGCTTGATCAGTCTATGGCTTCTGCTATTAATCAAAGAACAGGCCGTCTTCAATATTGCTGGAGTAACGTAAAATCCCTTTCTCTTCTTTATATTCTTATGAATACTCATCCAAAATGGTGAAAAGCTAATGAAACGTTTTTGTTTTACATCTTGGTCAGGTGTGCTTACACATGTTCACTTTAGATTTCCTTAATCAAGTCGCGACCGGCCTAGAGAAAGACAGCGTGTAAGCTCCCTACAAATCACAATCGAATGCCGCAATCAAAATGTTATTAAATTGTTGTATTTGGCATGCAGCTACCATTTGGCGGAGAAGAAGATACCATCTATGAATGGATACACAATGGGACTAAAACTCGAACAATTCATTTTCGATTCCTTTCCATATGCTCCTTCAACCGCACTCTTTGAGGTATAGTATCACATTCATTTACACTAAACACTAACTAAAGAAAAGACCAAATATCAAGAAATTGGATTGAGCAATGTGTAGGTGTTAAGAGAAGAGGAGTTTGCACCAGTGAAGAACGTGAACGGGTCTAATTTCGATACACCCGAAAGCGCGAGGCTTCTGGTTTTAAGGCTACACACACGTTGGGTTATAGCAGCTGGTGGATTTCTAACACATTCTGTGCCTTTATATGCAACTGGTAACTCTCAAAACAAATCTTTGTGTTTTTATTTATTCATTTTACTTACAATGCAAATGTTAAATGTACATATATCAAATGAATGTTAGGTGTTGAGGTTTCACCATTGTGCTCGTACGCCGGAGAAAATCTTGAAGCTATCTGTCGAGGAAGAACGTTTCATGCACCTTGTGAAATTTCCCTCTAAATGGTTTTTTGTTTTTGGGGTATTAAAATGTTCTTCTTCATATTCATAATCAAATCTTTGGCTTTTGCTTCTTTAATTTTGTATTTCCTTTTTTTTTTCCCGGCTTTGGTTTATATATAAACTTAGTATCTTCCCATTTGAGAGAGAAAGAGAGAGAGAGAGAGAGTCAAAGAGGTCTTGCCGTTTTGTATCCATTGTAACATATCTAATAAAATTTTCCTGTTGATTTTTTTGGAGATGTCTCATCTATATCTATCCAACGAACTCTTATAATATGCTCGAAAGCCTTAAACATCACATAATTCTTAATGGCGGAAATGTCTGACATTACTAAAGAGCAAAGTGACTACATAGTACTTTTGATAACATACTAGGTTGTATAGACCAAACCAAACCAAACCAAAAATGTATATAGCTAGATCGCGAACCAATATTTGCCCTAGCTATATAATGGAGTCTCTCCGTCTGATCTAACAAAAACATCTATCATGGATAGTGAAAACACTTTAGATTCCATCCCAATCGATCTCTTTTTCGAGATATTTTCGAGATTGCCTGCGAGGTTAGTCGGGAGGTGTCGTTGTGTTTCCAAGCAATGGGAGTCCAAACTTGGACGTCCAGATTTCATGGAGTTGTTCCTGACCAGGTCCTCGACTCGTCCACGTCTCTTAATTGGGGTAAAAATACGAGACAACAATGGATGGCTCTTCTTCTCGTCACCTCACCCTCAGAATCCATATAAGAAGTTTACTGTAGTAGACGCCGTATTTCATACCAACTTCTTTAAGAGCAAACGTGATTGTTGTGTCCTCTATGCATCTGGTTTGTTCTATTTTTCAGATGTGCTGATCTCAATCAATAAGGATGACGATTCAGTGCCTGTGATTTGTAATCCACTCACAGGAAGGTATGCCATCTTACCTAAACTGATTTTGGGTTTGATCCGATTGACAAGAAATTCAAGGTATTGATCATAAACAGTATAGTTGATAATGAAACGGTTTGCTATATTCTGACACTAGGAACTGGAAAAATGAGGTGGAGGAAGATCCAGTGTGACTTTACTCATAAGCCTTCGGGTAAAGGGATTTGCATCAATGGGGTTTTGTATTACTCAGCGCAAACTGATGATGGAACGTATGTGATAGTTTGCTTTGATGTTAGGTCGGAGAGATTTAAGTTTATTAAGGAAAAATACTGTTACCATCAGTTGATAAACTATAAGGGTAAATTAGGTGGGATTATGTTGAAGTATGACAATGGTATACCATTGGGTAGTATGTGGCCTACCTGTGAGTTACATATGTGTGTTCTAGAGGATATCGACAAACAGGAATGGTCTAAATATGTCTATCCTCTTCCCGAGACTGAAAAGCACAACCATTTTAGTGTTATTGGGATGACTACTGCTACATGTGAAATTGCTTTATTGGAGTTCTCCTCGCCATTTTGTCCTCATGTTTGTTACTTTAATCCTGAGAGGAAGAGTCTCCGTCGTGTTACAGTTGAAGGTGTTGGGAATGAACATGTTAGTGTTTTTACCTTTGTAGACCATGTAGAGGATCTTAGTGTTAATGATAAGTATCTCAAGTCAAGCATCTATGATCTTAGGGACATTGAATCGTTTTAGAGTATCAACAACTTTGATGCTTTGAGTCGTTTAGATGATCACTAATATACATGTGTCCAAACGTGATTGCTTCCCTTGCTCCTCAAGTCAGCTAAAGAAGCTCTTTATTTAATACAAGTTGTATTCTCTCTATGTAAAACATTAATTTATCAAAGAAATTTAAAGTTTTAATATATGCAAGTCAGAGGAATGGCTGAAATTATTTAAAGTTTTTATGCAAGTGAAATTATTTTGTCCATGGTCTAATGTTGTTGGGATGACTGCTACAAGTGAAATTGTTTTGTCCATGGACCATACATCCAAACCATTTTGTGTTTTTATTCGTCTGTCACAAAAGAAAAACTCTCTGAAGTGTTGAAATCCTTGGAGACTACCAAAAGTGGTTTAAAACTAGTGATGATATAGTTTACGCCTTCGTAGACCATGTCGAAGATCTTAAGTTTAATATCATGTAGGCAACATATACGCTGCAACAACTAGAAGACAACCAAAACAAAGTGTAAACCTTCGGGGACATCAACATCTACATGTATATTTTTATTGAAGAGCAAAATGACTTACACATCTGAAACTGGATCCCAAAAATTTTACTTTAGACATGACTCTTTGAGAGTTAGGACACTGGAAGTTAAGACACTGGAGAAGTTGGATAGAAATTAATGTTACAAACATCCACTAGAATATTGTCAATTTGTCGTATGTGTACGGGTTAATATGACACAGGACACTTACTCAAGAGAAACACAACTAACTTTATGTTTTCCTTTCTTATGGGATTTTGTATAACTTAGCGCAAAATCATGTGATAGTTTGTTTTGATGTTAGGTCTGAGAAATTTAAATTTATTAAGGAAAAATACTATTATCATGAGTTGATAAACTATAAGGGTAAGTTAGGTGGAATTATGTTCAAGTATGATAGACCATTTGATAGTAGTATATGGCGTACATGTGAGTTACATATGTGAGTTCTAGAGGATATCGACAAACAGGAATGGTCTAAATATGTCTATCCTGTTCCGACTGAAAACCGCAAACGTTTTTCTGTTGTTGGGATGAATACTGCAACATGTGAAATTGCTTTATTAGAGGGCTCCCGGACATCTAGCCTAATGTTTTTCACTTCAATCTTGAGAGGAAGAGTCTCCATCGTGTTGAAATTCAAGGTCTTGCGGATGAATATGTTAATGAGTATTATACCTTTGTAGACTATGCAGAGGATCTTGGTGTTAACGATAAGCATCTCAAGTCAAGCATCTATGATCTTAGGAATGGATCGTTTGAGAGTATTAACAAATTTGATACATTGTGTAGTTTCGATGATGAGTAGTATACATGTGTTCTGACGTGATTGCTTCCCAAGTCAGCTAAAAATATCTCTCTATTAGCTACAAGTTGAATTCTCCTCTCTTTATAAACATCAAGTTATCAAAGTTGTTGTTAAAGATTTTAAGTTTTTATTCAACTCAGAGCCATGGCTGAAGATACTTCCATGGCTTTTGAAGTTCATTAAACATCAAATCTGAAGATTCTTGAACGAGCTTCGCATGAGTCACCGCTTTTAAAATATCCACTTCCGTTGTTTTCTCTGTTTGGATGTTTATTAAAACCACATTCTTCCTACGTGCAAATCTAAACTGAGATGCCTTGTTGAGAAAATCTGGTCATTTCTATAATGTACAAAACCGAAAACCTAGCAAAAATGTGTCCATACAACATTAGATAAAACTATTATTTAACATATGTTTCATCGAGTGAGTATGTATATAATTACCAAAATAAGTTTGAAGTTAAACGTTAAAGAAAAACATTGTCTATTTTTGTTAACCAAAAATATCGTAAACTGACTCAAGAATTATAAATCACAATTGCGTAGACAAATCTCTTCTGCGTGGTAGTGATTTTTATCGGTGACCAGAAGAGTCTTGGGTTCTTTGTATTCATCTCCGTCCGACAATGATGCACAAGAGAAGATTATCAATATGTTGAATGTGTACCGGCCAATATGACAAAAGCTGCATGCTAATCGGTTTCATGTCTTAAATAAACCGAAATAAACCACATTAAACCAAACTTTTGGTTTGGTTGGGAATAAAAATGCCCTAATCCCCGACCTCTATATAATATGGGAAGGGAGTCTCTCCGTCTGATCAACGAATAAAACAATACAACGATCATGAATACTGAGAAAACTGTAGATTCCATCCCAATCGATCTCTTTCACGAGATCTTCTCGAGATTGCCTGCGAGGTTAGTCGGGAGGTGTCGTTGCGTTTCGAAGCAATGGGCGTTCTTACTTGAGCGTCAAGATTTCATGGAGTTGTTCCTGACCAGGTCCTCGACTCGTCCACGTCACTTATGGATCAAGAAAGAAGACAACGATGAATGGCTCTTCTACTCGTCACCTCAAACTCAGAAGTCTACTGAAGTAGCCGCCGAATTATATACCAAGTTCCTTGGAAGCAAACGTGATCGTTATATCTGCTATGCATCTGGTTTGGTATATTTTTCAGATGTGCGTATCTCAAAAGATAAGGGTAAGGATTCAACGCCTGTGATATGCAATCCTCTCACAGGAAGGTATGCCATCTTACCTAAACTGATCTTACCTAACATGAAAAGAAACAAAGAGCCGACCAGCTATTTTGGGTTTGATCCTATTGACAAGAAATTCAAAGTATTGCTCATAAACTATTCAGTTTATAATGAAACTGTTTATCATATTCTGACACTAGGAAGAAAAATAGGAATTGGAAAAATGAGGTGGAGGAAGATCCAATGTCCCTTTACCCATGAGCCTAAGCCTTCTTGTAAAGGGATTTGCATCAATGGGGTTTTGTTTTACTCAGCGCATACTGATGATGGAACATCTGATGTGATAGTTTGCTTTGACATGAGGTCTGAGAAATTTAAGTTTATTGTCAAAGAAATAATTTACAGTAAGTTGATAAACTATAAGGGTAAATTAGGGGCGATTACGTTGAAATATGAGTACGATACACCAAGGGGTACTAAGTGGCTTACCTGTGAGTTACATATATGGGTTCTAGAGGATGTCGACAAAGAGGAATGGACTAAGTATGTCTATCCTCTTCCGAAGACTAGAAACCGCAGACTTTTTTCAGTTGTTGGGATGACTGCTAGTTGTGAAATTGCTTTATTAGAGTGCTCAAGCACATACCTCAATCCTAATGTTTTCTACTTCAATCCTGAGAGGAAGAGTCTCCATCGTGTTAAAATTCGAGGTGTTGGTGCTGAAAGTGGTAAGGTTTATGCCTTTGCAGACCATGTAGAGGATCTTGGTGTTAACGATAAGCATCTCAAGTCAAGCATTTATGAGTCTTAAGAACATTGGATAGTTTGAGAGTATTATCAAATTTGATAATTTGTGTCGTTTAGATGATGATTAATATACATGATTGCTTCCCCTTGCTCCTCTAGTCAGCTAAAAATCTCTCTGTTTGCTAGAATTTGTATCCTCTCTCTATATTCACCAATTATTCTCTTTAAATTTGCTTCATGGGTGAAGTTGTATCCATAATATTTATAGCATATAGTCCAGCTATTTTTTCATGTGAGTGTAAAAAAAAATATGTGACTGGTCTTTGTGAGGTTTATCAATCTTTTACTGTCTATCTTGCTAGATGAAATCAACCAAGAGATTGTGGACTTATTTCTATTTTTTCTTTCACGCATGCAAAGAGTAGTTAATAAAATACGTTGAATCAACGACAATCATAAATTGTTCAGGGATTCAAAGCATGATCATAAATCATAAGGTCTCAAATACAATCTTTTCATCTAATTTTTCTAGCGAATGTTTTTTATATGCTTTAGAACATTTTAACAACAAACGATGGCGTCTTGCTACTGGCTCTGCAATACTCCTATATATCCCTTTTTCACACCCCTCCTCCTCCACAACATGCTCCTAAGCTGATATTATAAAGTCGCACATCAGTCAACTGAAATAAAGCATGCTGAAATCATCCAAAAAATTGAAGGATCTTCTCTAAAATCTTTAATTTCTATTGATGGCATGTATGATTGCAAAGAGAAAGAAAAAAATTGAAATGATAATATCAGAAGCTATGGATGGTGATCGGTTTCATGACTTTAAACCGAAATCATGCATCAAACTGAATAAACCAAACTTTGTTTTGGTTGGGAATGAAAAAGCCCTAGCCCCCAAACTCTATATAAATGGTAATGCGGTCTCTACGTCCGATCAACAAATACAACGATCATGAATAGTAAGCAAACTTTAGATTCCATCCCAAATGATCTCATTCTCAACATCTTCTTGAGATTGCCAACAAAGTCAGTCGGGAGGTGTCGTTGTCTTTCGAAGCAATGGGAGTCCATACTTGGCGGTCAATATTTCACGGAGTTATTCCTAACCAGGTCCTCGACTCGTCCACGTCTCTTAATTGGGATCCAACAAGACGGTGAGTGGTCTATCTTCTCGTCCCCTCGACCTCAGAATCCATATGCGAGGTCTTCGTCTGTTGTTGTAGAAGCCGACTTTCATTTGAATTTCGGTAGAGACATAGGCTTCGAAGATTGTAGATATGCCTCTGGTCTGCTCTATTTCATTAGTATGCAGATGTCAAGTAAGGTTAATGATACAGAACGTGTGTTATGTAACCCTACCACGAAACAGTTTGGGATCTTGCCTAAATTGAGATTAACTTACAGAACCTATAAAGAGAACGACTAAACCATAACATGACCACCTATTATGTCAATTCTATCCTCGAAGCTAACTCCACTGGAATTAAGCATGCCACGTTAATCATAGAAATGATACGTACAAAAATTCACAACTACCACATCAAATGTACCAAGAAAATAAAAGAGAAACTCAACATTTTTAAAAACATGTAAGCATCTCTCAAACTTCTTCTTCACTGATATAAACGTATTTGATTTGCCAAATCTGTTTGTGTATTTGATTTAGGGAATGTTGACTCTAGCAAAGGTTACTGATCGGTCTGAACTCGAAACGAACCGAGAACCAAACAGAATAACAAAGGTTCGGTTTATGCCTTTAAACCAAAATCGAGATTGTTAGAGTTTATCTAATTAATATGATTTAATAAAATAAACTAAGATGCGAACATGTGCTTTTAGTGAACATACACATCCATTCACTCTAAGTATGCAACGTTTGGCAACGAACGTACGTACACGTCGGTTGCAAAAGCACCGTATGAGTGAGTATATAAGAACTTCACTTGGCATGTACGAATGATGTTGATAAAAAGAAAGTAGATTAAAGTTTGCTAGGATCTTTAGAAGATGTGTTAACGAAAAATCGATAGTTGGACCCTCAAGATAGACGTCCATGAAACTACACACTGGTGTAGGGGCGAATTTCTGTCTTAGGAGATTGCTAAAAGCAAGCCTCTATCGTCCTACAATTTGTTCAAAGTTTGAAAAAGAAGAAATCATTAAGTAGGAACTGAAAATATATGATAGACTAGCAATTCAAGCCATTAATAATTAAGAATCCATAGAGGTGTAATGATGATCATGAAATTCTGACAGTAGGAACTTAAAAAATGGGATGGAGGAAGATCCATTGTCCCTTGACCCATTATCCTCTTTCTGAAGGGATTTGCATCAATGGAGTTTTGTATAACTGCGCTGTCCAAATTGTTGAAATGTCTGGTGGTGATGAAAATTATAACAAGGTGATTGTATGCTTTGACGTTAGGACTGAAAAATTCAAATTTATTGATGTAAACTTCGTCGAGTACATGATAGAGTAAAGTGTTGAAATCCAAGGTGTTAGAGTAAAGGAAGAATGGTCTCATGATGATTTAGTATACTACTTTGTAGACCATGTCGACTTGTCGAGGATCTTAGGTTTGATGTTATGAAGACAACATATGCTGCAAGAGAAGGTCAGGGGCCGTAGCTCGCATGCAACAATACCTCTAAGTATCAAAGAAGTTATTGAAAATAGTATCGGAGATTGAAATTGAGTTCAAAGATCAACGTAATGATATATATTAAAGCTTGATGCAAATTCTATCATCTCAAAACTTTTGAGGGTATCACAATGGAAAAAAATAGCTTTCAGCATGTCGTAAGATTACATATAACTTGAGCTTCTTTTAGTTTATATAAAATATCAACACTGAACAAATGGAAAACATGTTGCAAACCAGATTCCATGAAATTCTTAAAATTAATGGAGTGAGAAACACACACAAACACACACACACACACACTCACACGCAAAAATTTATATTTGATGCAAGTTGTATTATCTCTTTGTAGGTATTAAGAAATCAAAGAAGTTCCATCAATTATTAAGATCCTGTCAAATTTGATTTATCATAAAAAGTCACGCCAAGACCGAGTATTAAGAAGAACTAATGTTTTTGCACTGTGTATCATGCAATAGTCAGATAAAGAAGCGCACACACAATTATTCATTAGCTATACTCTAGCAAGCAGAGTTAGGCTGCGAAGCAAATTTATATGTTTTTTTATTTCCTTGGCATTTTCAGCTTTCTTCCGCTTCATTGCCTCACAGTACTCTTGGATAACATCAAAACCGCTGCATCAAACAAAGAGACTCATTAACATCATGTGTCTACGAACGTTTTCTTAAAAACAACAAAAAAAAAAAAAATAGAAAGATGCAAAATTATATGTTCTGTTTATAGAACTTACCTTAATGGATACTTCAATTTTTTGCCTCCTCGCTGAAGTCCAGCAGCCTCACAGTAAACACAAGGCTTCTTACAAGCATTACGCCTTGCATAATCAAACCATAGAGACTCATGATCAACACCAATTCTACAATATATTTAAGAAAAAAAAAAAGAAAAAAAGAAGAAGTTGAAGAAAATATATTTATTTGATAGCCTTATTACCATGCTGGAGTCCTCCAATTATTTTCTGCCCGTGGTCTACAACATATCATCATCGCAGGAGAACATCTACTGCATAATCAAACACAGAGTCTCATCAACAACAATGTCTTGCAATATAAATATAAAGTAAACAAACAAAAAAAATGCATAGCCTTACGAAAAAGGCTTCTTCCATTCCCTTGCCCCTGGGTCTATGACCATGTTATTACAACGTCGATAAATCTGAAACCTGTTGATCTTGCGCCCAGCTCTCATTTTCCTTGTTGTTATCTTACTGTAACAATTCATCATCATCACCAGATACAGCATTAGATTTAGAACAATAAAAATTAATTAACTAAATGTTATTAAAAAAAGACCATAACTTGACTCTATAAACCAAAGTAGAAGCAATCATCATATAAGTATTCACAAGAAGATCTTAAAATTCATCAGCGCACACAAATTAAGCATAAGCGGTTTAGAGAATATATATCTGTAGGATAGAACAAAACCATAAGCTTTCATAAATGAGGCACACATAAACTCAAATACCAATTCATCTATATATCTACCCCATGTGTTTTGTAATACTCTAGATATTAGCTATTATATATCCCTAGCATTATAAGTTGTTCTCAAATCAAGAATTGAGCTCAAGCAATAACAATTAAACGAAAAAGGCGAAAAGGGAGAAAGGAGAGGAGAAACGTACTCCATGTTTGTCGACGGCGGAGAATATTATCAAGCAACGAGCAAAGAGCTATTTGCAATTGCAGCAGCAGCAAAGCAATATGAAGCGGCTCCTAAACCCTAAACCCTACGAGATGACTCTATGCACTGCAATATGAAGGGGCTTCAAAACCCAAAACCTACTAGCTAGATGATTAACTGTTTATTTAATATTTATTTGGATATAATTGTTTTTTTTTTAAATAATTGTATTTAATTGACTACGTATAATTTACGAAACATACATACGGCCCCCATACAGTATTACTAATTTACTATTTTATATTTTAGAATAAATTTTGTTATATATTATAGTAGTAAGTTAAAATGCTTTTTCAGACCCCTATATATATTATTAAATGAATATATTTTTTATATATAATACTATGTTATAGACAAAAAAATTAAAGATATAGCAACGAAAAGTAATATTGTTTTTAATATTTTTTTAACAATAAGTTTATTTATGTTAACAACCAAAAAAAATGAAATTGTATATAATTCGGAATCTAGGTATTCATGTTAGAATCCCAAAAGTAAAATTGCTTGCATAATCTATAATTTGTCATTTTTAAAATTGTTTGTAAAAAATCAAATTTTCAACTATTTAGAGGTATGAAACCTTATTTAAATATTATCATCATATAATCTACCCGCCATCTTTTCTATCATATAATACACTATATTTAACCTGCTTGCTATAATTATTTTTTAAAATATATCTGTTTAAAAATTAGAATATTTATTATAAAAAAAACTGATCGATTAAATATTTATGATATTCTTAAAAACAATATCAAATTAAATTATTATTAAAAGTTCCCAAATTAATTTTTTATTCATAAATTAAACAGTTTATATTTGTTTATAAAAATTCAAGTCATGACATATAGGAAAAAATCAAAGTTTTTTTTGTTATATGGATGATATAATGTTTTTTTCTCACAAAAGTAAGATCATATAAAGAAGAGAGGTGAAATATAGTGATTAATAATATTTTAATATAGTTAATTAGATATCAAATCTTATATACTCAATTTTATTGGTTAAAGTAGATATCAAATCTTATATACTCATTTTTGATTGTTTTTTTTTTTGAAAAATTAATAATGCCTTTTTCGTTTTTATAACTTAATTAAATTACATAAATTAGTGAACATTTTCATCCATAATGAATTTTTTTTTGAATCTATTTATGTAATGGCATCTATCTTAACATTTTTGAAGTACATTTTGTAGTAAAATCTAATTTAGGTTATAACCTTTTATTTTGTAATATTTGCATAATCAAACCCTTGCCATTTGAATAAATAACAAAACTTAAAGTAAATTTTGTAATTAAATCACAAGCAAATCTCAAAATTGGAAATAAATATTTATTACATCAAAAAAATTTCCTAAAATATCTCTCTAATAATTTGAATCTCTTTCCAATATATTTATATAATCTTATTTATTTTCCATTTATATTATTACATAAAAATATTTATAATAAAAATACAAATTTTTTTCACATATTTTGCAATTTAAATTTTTGAAAACGGACGTATATAACTCAATTGATAAAGGGAAAATGTTTATATAAGAGTTCAAAACCATTATAAATATGACTAATATGTTTCCAACTACAAATGCGCATGAAATTTGGTTTCTTAGGCATCCAAATTTTAAAAAAAATATTCTGTTTAATCCGGTTATATATTTAAGAAAACTAAATTTTTAAAAAGTTTCAAATATTATAAATTTTAATTTCTTAGAAAGGTTTAAAATATTATAGAAACTCTTACTAATGCCGTAATATTCTAACATTTAATTGAAAGTATTATTAATATATGAACTCTAATTTTTTAAAAATATAATAATATTATACATAAATATGATTGGACTGATTTGAGTTTACATAAATAGTATTATATTTTTCTTACGGGTTGTCTATAATAAAAGATTTTTACGGGTTAAGTTAAAATATAATTTGTTTTACAACAAAATTATTCCGTGGTGTACTGTGGGTTGACCACATATATCTATAAATCTACTTATAATACAAATTCATAATAATATGTAAAATTAAATGAAATAAACACGTATAAAACTAGACTATATAAATCAACTACAAAAATGACCAACCAAACAAATATATTAAATTATATACCTGTGGTATACCACGGGGTAAATCCTACTTCTAATGTAATTATTTACCCTTAATAAGATTTATTCTATAAATTTACTTCTGAATTAATAATAAGGAAATTAGCAAGTTATTAAAAAGAAAATTAAGTTTTTATTTAAGTCATGGCTGAATATTTTTTTATTCATAATATTTCGTATGAGTTTTTTATTTTACTCTGTTGGCGTAGCATTTTGTTTGTGTCCTAATTGTGCAAATTTTCACATTAATTGAGGAAACAAAACTAGACTAACCCAAATTTAGAAGTTAATTACTAAACTAACTGATAAAATATATGGGTTAATTGAGTTATTATCATGACTAAAATACCCTTTTTGCTTTGTTAGGAAAAAAATAAAAGTCAATTTTACCTTTAAATCCAAGTTTAATACACTAAATCATAATGTACGAATTTTGAGGGAATTTCAGATTTCAATCCTTTTTAAGAGTTTCATTACATAAACGAGTAAAGTAGCTTCATTACATGGAATTAGCAAGAAGGAAAGTAGCTTCATGCAAGAAAATCCCAAGGATTGTAGTACTTTTCCGGAACATCCTCTTGAGTTCTCTAATGGTAGAGTCTTTATCCAAGCCTTTTTTGAAGTTGCTTATAAAGAGCGTTTTTGATGGTTTGTTTGATATAGAATCATAGACTCTTTGGTAGATTTATTTTTCACAACTATTTCAGACTTATTTTTTCGATAAAAATCTGTTATATTGTGACAGTTTATTTAACAAAAATATAATTACTAGTTTGACGTATAGTGATAATAGATTTGTTTAAGGTTACGACATAGTTTTAAATTTAACAAAAAATCTGTTGTTTGATAACAAATTTGTTTAAGTTTTTTAAAATTGCTAGAATGACCTACGTTAAGACCATTTGTATGCATGTTATGACAGATTTATTAATCTAGTGACACTTTTATTTCAAAAAATTTGTTGTTTGATAACAGATTTATAGATGTGGGAATAGTGACAACATATTTGTTTTATCTACCACAGATTTGTATATTAAATATAATCATGAGAGCTTTTATTTCTTTTTTTCTCTATGATTTTTATATATTAAAATTATTAAAAACCTTAAAAAATAATTACTTTTAAATGGTGACTAAATGGAAGAATAACAAAATTAGTGAGACTAATAATGATTGATTATTTTTAAGTCCTTAAATTATAGATTTCTAGGCTTTAAAATTTATTATAATTTTGAAATTCATTTTTCTATTATTTTTATTTTATTATTATTAGTAAAAATTATTTAGATTTTTAGATATTTTATTTTATAAATCTAGTGAAAGACTTTATAAATAAAATAAACTTTCTATTTTGTTTAATTTTTTATTAGTATTTTAGAACTGTTTACAAAAGTTTTATTTCTATATATCTAATTTTTATTTTATGTTTCATTTTTACTAATAATAATAAAATAAATTTGATTAGCTTATTATGACAGACTTAATATGAGTGTGACAGAATTTCTGTATTAATTTTCATTTTTAAAGTTTAGGTATTTTGGTCTTTTACATTAATATTGTGTCGTTCTAGTAATGATCAAAATTAAAGGGTTAATTCAGTTATTTTTGACAAATTAGTGTCAAACTGATTAAATTTCACTTAATTGAGAGCAAAATAATATTTTCGCTATGAAGTTTGTATTCACAAATCACAACTGCTTATATTAGTTTCCAACTTGAACAAATCTCCTAATTGTAAGAAAAAATCGGATAATCCAAAATGATCAAGAATGTAACAACATATTCTTATACAAAAAAATTTCCACAAAAGATTCAGAAAAATTGAACTTATACAAATTTGTAACAGCTAATTATTCTGCCCTTAATTTTTTCCGCAAATGATTCAAAAAAACTGAAACTATACAAAAATAGAACCAAAAAAAAAACTACCAAAGTTTAAATTAGATTAAATTAGACAAGTTAAACTAAATTTTGACATATTTAACAAATAAATTTGAGATATTTTGATTATTTTGGTGTAAATCTAATTGATATATTCAAAATTGTAATTATAATATTGGATAACTAAATGTTATTAGTCGAAGCTCCTTTAGTCTAGTGGTTGACGAATGGTTGTTTAAAGCTTCTACACCAAGCGGTCTGGGGTTCGACGTACAGGTAATGCGATTTATTTAATTTACAGATGAAGGAAATAAGCTTCAAGGAGGTCTATAACAATGCACAATTAGAGGGTGTAATCTGTGGTGAATCTAAAAGGGTCGGACAGAATTGTCGGTAGTACAATCGTAATTGTAACAATTCTCATAATTTGTAATAAATAATAAATCAAGAGTTAAAAAAAAAACTAAATGCTATTAATGTTAATTAGTAATAATATTTTAGATATTTGTATATTGTTTAGATAACGGGTATTAGTTTAACCCTTACTCGAACCCACAAGTTTACCAATATAAAACCCAATAGGGTTATTTAGACATACTCGACCCTTACCCGAATCGGTTTGTTTGGGCCGGGTTCCGGGTTGGGTATTCGAGTTCGGTTGTTTGCCCAGCCCTAAATTAATCTAATTTGTAAACCCTATCTTCTCTCCTACGCAAAGCACACAAAACTATCTCAGATGAAGAGAAAAGTTCCCAACTCGATCGACTCAACCGATCTCATCCTCGAGATACTCTCGAGATCATCAGCTAAATCAGTTTCTAAGTTTCGTCGCGCCTCCAAATTCTGGGAGTCAACGCTTCGCCATCAATATTTCACAGAGTTGTTCCTAACCAGATCATCAGCTCGACCACGTCTCTTATTCTCCCTTGAAAACTCCAATGACTTGATCTTCTGCTCATCTCCTCAGTTTCAGAATCCTCCTCACGAATCGTCTCTTGTAGTAACCGCGGAGTTTCACATAAGTTTCCCTGCAGAGTGGCGCTTACAAAACTGTTGTCCTGTCTCTGGACTGGTCTATTGCCCTAGCTCACGGCTCTCAGTGGATAGGTTACCTGTGATATGTAACCCTAGCACGGGACAACAAGTAAGTTTACCAAAACCTAAAACTACTAAGGCATTGGTGCATAACTTTTTTTGGTATGATCCGGTTCTAAAAAACTTCAAGGTCGTGTGCATGAGCCATGATAAAGACGTTGCAGTCGAGGAGTCTTGGATCTTGGCACTAGGAACTGGAACGTGGAGGTTAATAAAAGGGAGACTTGGCCATTATCCTTTATCTAAAGGGATATGTGTCAATGGTGTTTTGTACTATATAGGTCGCCGAGTAGCAGTTAATAATACTGTGGTGATAGCTTGCGTTGATTTTAATAAGATGAGATTAGCATTGATTCCGGAAGTTAATGGCATTTCACTTTGGTCAAGGCCTAGCGTTTTGGTTAATTACAAAGGCAAGTTAGGAGGGATTCAGAGTGAGTGGAGTGGTGGTAATAATGTTGATGGAAGGCTTAGCCTTGTGTTGACTTTATGGGTTTTAGAGGATTTCAAGAAAAGGATGTTTTCGAAACGTGTTTACAATTTGCCTGAATTGTGGGAGAATCGAAACGTTAATGGATCAGTTTCCATCGCTGGAGTGACTGGTACGGGTGAAGTGGTTTTGTCGAGGGGGTATACTTCTAACCCATTCTATGTTTACTACTTCAATCTTGATACCTACACTGTTCAAAGAGTTGAGATCCAAGGATTTGAAGCGCTTGAGAGATATAGAGTTCAAGCCTTTGTAGACCATGTTGAGGATTTAAAGTTTCTAGCAGCGAGCTAGAGTTTTGGCTGCTAATGCATTAGACCATGTGCATCGGTCAGTCTTGTACTCCAACAAAAAATTACTAAAAATAACAGAAGATAACCAATCGCGGGCCGCCACGTGTTAGTGGGGCCTGCGATTAATGAAGGAAGAAAAACGGGACGGTCGCGTTTTAGTTGACGTCCCTCTTTTTTTTTGAAAAAAAAGCTGTAGGACTTGTTATAGAGCCGCAGATGTGCGTGCCCTTAGATTCATATTTGTGTTAGAGAGCAAATTAATGTTTGAACCAACATTGTTTTTCATAAAACTTCTTTCACGATATTAATTCTAATTTTATCCCATGTCTTTTATTGTATCATATATAAAATGTTTCGTGAGTACTTTCACGATATTGCACATGCAGAATCTAAACTTGACATCCCGGTCAAGCATAACAACCAAACATGCATGCTGCAACCATTGACGTCATGGCCTAATGGTTCAACACGGCAATGCAATATCACAACTCGGATCCGAGGTGACTTGGATTCCAGATTAGCAAAATAAAAAACTTTGCATAATACCACATTGCATGTATAATGTGTATATCATATCTGAGTTTCCCTCTATTTGTACCTGTCAAGAGAAATGAAATATCAGGTGAAAATTAAGGTAATAAGTTTATCTGAGAGAAGTGGGACAAGTTCAGTCTAGTTACTAATATTACTAAACTTAAAAGCATTTATATATATGTTCGATTCTTGACTTGGTTGTCTTAATCTTAAAAGCATATATACAAGCGAATTAACCCTTCAGACTTTTGTTGAAACATCTATCTTCTTAAGCTTCTCCGGCAATTCATCGGCTGCCGAAACCCTCCTTCCCCGGTTCCATTGGACACAAAATTCTTCCAATCCTCTAGCATTTGTCTTAAGTCCTTGATCTTATTATCCTGTCCAACGCAACAATTCCCATGCATTATGCAAACTTTGGTAATATCCCACTCTCGTTGGCAGAAATTCCCAACGTGTGTCATGTCGAGAAACCTCATTTTGAGCCCGGTTTTCTTCACGTATTGATCAGCTTTGATCCGGTTAAGCACGTCCTGCTCGTTATCCCCGGGGAATCGTAGTCTGGATTCATACCAATAGTTATAGAACTTGATTGTTCTGCGGTTTGATTTGACGAATTTAAATCCGCCATTGGCTGCATTGCCGGTGTCGCTAGAATTTCCGTTGAAGAAGACATCGCAAGCAATCTGAAAATCTGCGTCCGCGAAAAATCGAGGAAATGGATCTCTAAGCCAAATTGTATCCATGTCCTGCCACAACACAAATATATACAAATTCGGTTTCAAGATAGATCGGTATACATACATATAAAGTATATTCAAATATCAAACAATATAAATCAAAGCCAAACGTAAGTTTACAAGTAGATTCAAATATCAAATGATATAAATCGAACCAAGAACTAATGTAAAGCAATTCATAAAATTTTTTATAAACCGTATATTACTTAATCAGATTAACCTTAACCTAGTTGAAGAAACGAATGTAGATCCTAAATTAACAAAGATGCAAAGCTTAGAGAGTTACCGTGAAAAGGAAGTTATATCCAAGCTTAAGCATAGAACCTAAGAACTCTGTACGGCGCCACATCATCTTGAGGTAATCCGGTACCATGAACCGCTTCTCGCCGGAGAAATCAACTCCAGTAGTCCTCAGAAAGAAGCAACGGTGAGGTAAGACTTCCAAGCACCTTGTATAGGCTTTATCGTCTAAACACACCACCACAACGTGGCGGAGTAGCCTCTCCGTCCCTATGCCGATTCGAAAGCTCTCAAGAAACACATCAAACGTCGAATTTGCCTCCGCCCAAGCCTGATTCATTATCGTCACTATCACCGTCTTCTCCTTGGTCGCTGCTTCTCTTAGGATTCTTGCCAAATTTTGCCTATCTTCTGCCTCAACCTATCAATCAAACAAAACTATTACCTGATTGAAAATGCTCAAGTAGGATTCAAATTCTTAATTATATATAAATCTAAATCTGTAAGACTATACATTAATATATAACAACTATACATAGTGTCTCGTATTATAAATGCAATATATATCGTATTTTTTTGTGCATATTGGTAATATACGTAACTACAAGAAAACAAGGGTAATATACGTAACTACAAGAAAATTTTAGCATTTGTTTTAGGAATAATGTTAACTACATTGATTATTCGTTATTGATTAGAATTTTGTAATTTACGGTTTTTAAAAAATTTCTTTTTTTTTTGTTTTAAATAAATTCAGCAATATTCAGTATTGCATATTAATGAAATTTTAACAAATAATTGTAATACTAATTTTAGACAATTCTCAATTATTTTAATTTTAATTTTTTTTTAATAAAAAAATTCAAATCCGTCGGTAATCCGTCGGTAATGACGGAGATTTTACTGACGGATTACCAACGGAATACTAAACGGTTATCTGTCAGTAATCCGTCAGTAAATTGCCCGTCGGAAATCCGTCGGTAATTACCGACGATTTACCGACGGAAATTTTTTTACCGACGCTCTAGAACTGACGGACAGATCCGTCGGTAATCCGTTGATTATAGCTGTTTCCGACGGATTACAGACGGATTTGCCCCTCGGTTCTAGGCTCTTTTCTTGTAGTGCGTAACCTTGATATATGATAAATAAGTAGATGATCATAATGTGTAGATAAAAATGTAAAATCAAGGTGACGAACATTATCAGTAATGTTAGAACTCTGTTTGGCTGCGATCAGAGGCGGCACAAACGCTGAAAAGCTTGAAATTTGCTGCAGCGGTAGAGGCAGTGGCTGAACAAGAGACGCCAAATGGTAAACAGCTAGAGACAGCACAAATGTCAAAACCAACAAAATTACAATCCACTTGACCACTCTCCACTTTGCTTGAAGTTGCAGTAACATCTGTTTCAGCGGCTGCGACTCTAGACCGACGCAGCTGTTGATGGTGGTGGAGCAAATGCTGGCTGCTGTTTTCTCAGTGATGATCATCTTTCGAATATGGTCTTTTTAAGTAAAATATCTTTCGATTCTTCGTCTTTTTTTTTTTTTATGTATTTGTAGTCTCATGCAAGTGTTCCTTTTATATAACATGCATGATCGGTCATTTTCATGTGAAATATCGCATCCTTAATTTAACCTTTTACCAAAAAAATAAAAAAAATATCGCATACTATAGATTAGTTAATTACCTTTTCATCAAGTTCATTTTTTCTTTAATTTTTTTGCCCAAACTTTTTAAAAAAAAGATACAATTCTAAAATTTTTCGTCTGATATAATCTGACACCTAAATTGGATATTGTTGTGAAATCAGGTTAAATGGTTAATGCGTCACTATATGTATTAAATTTATTTATTAACTGCAAATGTAAACGTCAAAGAGACAAAGACAAACGACCAAAAAAATTTATGTTTTGCAAAATAAAATTCATATAAAATTTTGAAAATTTCCGGTTTTATGATTATATTTTCTCGCAAATACAAGAGACGTGTATTATACAATTTTCCTTTTAATATGAGATCTTAATTGAATGTTGTTGCGGAAAGATACCTCTCTAATTAAATATTATTTTTTTCTTGAGTAGTGACTAATACTTAATACAATTTGCTAAATAACTCAGGGAAAAAATCTAAAAATATATGAATTATTTGAGAATTTACTACCTCGTTTTTTTTTTCAAAAAATATTCATATTACTAAAATGTCTAATATAATACCCAAAAAAATAAATATTATTATTTTTGTACTTACGTTCTCTTAACAAAAAAATATATTTTAATATTGTAAACAATATATATTTTATTTTTGGATCTCTTAGAAAATATTGGATGAAAATGAAATAAAATATATATTTCATTTTTGGATATGAAATATATAATTCAAGATATATCTTTCATTTGATCTCTTAAAATTTTTGAATAAAAATAAAATATGAAATATATATCTCATTTTTGGATCTAAAATATATAATTCAAATAGATCTTTCATTGGATCTCTTATAAAAATTTTGGATAAAAATGAAAAATGAAATATATATTTTGAGTTAAAAATATAGAGTTATACAATGAAATATTATTAACATTTATACTTTATTCAGATAAAATTAAAGGTAATTCTCTGTTAATTATTCAATAATAATTCATAAAAATGACTAAAGATAAAATTAGAATATATTTTTTGTTAAAAATTAAGCAAATAACAATAATTATTATTTTAAGTATGAAATTACATGTTTTTAATTAATATGAGTATTATTATTGTAACGAGCAGATATCAAATGTCCAAACAAAAATATATGCTGTACTTTAGGCTTTGGTAGTAAGTAAAAAACCATGTGTGACTTATATCACACACACGTCTTCTTCTTAACATAACAAATGACATCAATTAACTAATCAAATAGAAGAAGTATAAGACGTTAATCAAATATGGCCTATTAGCTCAGTTGGTTAGAGCGTCGTGCTAATAACGCGAAGGTCACAGGTTCGATCCCTGTATAGGCCACTTTTTATTTTTTATAAATCTTTGATTGTTTTTATTCATGTTTCATGTGAGTCAGGACTCAAGGTTTGTTAATAAAGAGAGATATTTTCCATTTGTATTATACTGTCATTATTTTCTTTAAACAGCTTCAAGCAACATAACATTATTTAATCAAATCAATGATGCCTAACATTTTACATGATCTTTATATGCATTGTTGTTACACATAAAAAATCTGGCCGACATTTAAAAGGCTCTCCTGAGGAACATTGAAAATGGCGCTATTCTCTCTACATATCTTCCTAAGAAACGCATAAACATAATCAATGGCTATCCTCTTGTAGAACCTTGCCTCTCTTCTGGCTCGAACCACTGTGTTTCCCATTATGTGCACCACTCCAGCGTCTCTGCACCTGTTTATGAACTCCATTTCGTCCCCTCCTCCGCTCATCTGGCTCGACCTTGTTATGGTGTTGCTCGACCGTTTCGTTGCACCTGAGGGAGCTACAACCGACTCTATAGAATCAAATGTATCAAACGTCGATATGTTCCTACTCTCATTCCCATTTCCGACCCCGTCTCTGTACTGTTGTTGTTGGCTTCCACTAACACTGTAATCTTCGGAATCCGAGCAACCTTCCATCATTGATTCGAGGCGGACAAAAAGAAATAGGCTTTCGAATAGCCGTTTCTCAAAGTCGTCGTCTTTCTTGTGCAAGTCTCTGTATCCATACCTTGCGACGCAGCGGAACATGTGGAAGTTTTTGGGTCCGATTCTTTTTACAAGGAACCGTTCTTCCTGGGGGACGGTGTAGACGGGCAGGTTCTTGACGCAGACAAAGACCACCACAGAGTGAGTTGCCGGCAGGTTCGTGATGAAATGAGAGAAAATGTGAGGGACTCCACTAGCTAGCTCTGTGTAAACAAGGCCTACTCCAGGAACACGGACAAGACCAAGGCTAGGACCGAGCCCAAGAATCCAAGCCATGGAGACTTTACTATGCATTTCAAACTCATACCTCTTGAGAGTTCCATAGTGCCAGACATACATGACGATGAGAAACGCCGCAGCGATGACTAGCGGAACCCATCCACCTTGGTTAACCTTGAAGAGCACCGCTGAGAAGTAAGTGCATTCCACGACGAGGGATAGAACGGTAAATAAGAAGACTAGAACCCAATGGCATCGCCAAACAAGTATCATGATCAGCACCATGAGAAGCGTTGTGACAAGCATGACAATCACAACTGCAGTCCCATAAGCATTTCCTATCTGGTTCTGGTTCTTGAATCCGGCGGTGACAGCTATGCAAAGGATCATGAGGATCCAATTGATGTCTGGAACGTAAATCTGACCCAGGAATTTTCGAGAAGTATGCACGACTTTAACTCTTGGGAAACATCCGTGAGCCAGAGCTTGCTTGATCAATGAGAAAGTCGCCGATATGGTGGCTTGGCTTGCAACTATTGCAGCAGCAGTTGCAATAACGAACATTGGCCAATATACTTTTTCTGCAACAACGAAAACAAAAACAGAAACTTCCATCAGAATTTATTGACCACAGATATCCCTCAGATAGAACAAAAACTGATAAAAGGTATAACATACTTGGAATGGATTGGTAAAATGCGTCTTCCACATGATGAGGGTACTTTCTAAGGTACGCAGCTTGTCCGCTATACGCCAAAAGGAGGCAAGGAAAAACAATAATAGTAAAAGCGATTTGAACAGCCGAGACTGGAAAGTGCGATAGATCTGCAAACAGAGCTTCAATCCCTGAAATTTGATAGACAAATAAATGAATAACAGAAAGTGTAACAAGAAGAAGAAGACTATAAATAGTTAATAAGTTTCTTTACCTGTGATACTAAGCATAATGCCTCCAAGCGAGGTCCAGCGATCTTGACCTCCTCTTTTAAAATACCGATATATATAAACCGGGGAAAAAGCTTTCAAAACGCTTGGGTCATGTTCCCATATATTGAACATACCGATACTTGCAATAAAGAGAAACCAAAGAAATACAATGGGCGCGAAAAGCCACCCAACCCTGTCTGTTCCATAATGTTGTACACTAAACAAGCTCACTAATATCACAACCGCAACAACAACAACAACACCTGTAACAACGATTAAAACCTAAGATCATTTATCAACACTCGCATCAATGGGTGCTGTACAAGAAAAAAGAGACTAAACATAGCAATTAATACCGTTGTTTAAATTCGGAAGGTTTACCCTCAGCCCACCCGCAGCAGATAGAACTGCAACAGATTAAGCACAATGAAATACTTTCCAGATAGAGAAAACAAAATGTATACAATTGGAAGGAACAATAATTACCCGAAATGGCGGGAGTAAGGATTCCATCACCGATCACCATGCATGTACCGACAAGAACGAGAATAAGTAACGAATTTTTCCTAGAGGTACCTTTCTCTAACCATCTCTTGGTTTTTGCAGCAAAAGAGTGCTCATGAAATGTAGTACGGCTATAAGTTGTAAGCTCTTCATCAGTACGGTGTTGGTTTGGAATTGTGCTCACTTTTGCATGTCTACAGAGTAAAGAATAGAGAGCAAATGTTCCACCTGCTCATCAAACAAAAGATAATTCAGATAAACACGATATGCATAGCAAAACATCCAAATGAAAATATAAGAATGCATAACATGTAATACTACCTTGACCATTATCGTTTGCTTTGCAGACAACAAAAACATATTTGAGGAGAGGGATGAGTGTGAGGGAATATATGATAAGGGATAGAGCTCCAATGATATCTTCAGGGTCTTTGATCCCTCGAGGAAATGTATTATAGAAAACATAGAGAGGAGAAGTTCCCAAATCTCCATAAACAACACCGAGACTCTGAAAGGAAAGCTGCAGAAGCAAAAACGCCGAGAATTTCTGCACAAAACCGAAACTACATTATATCCCCAAACAAAAACTTCTCTCCTTATGTCTCTATACCAATGCAGGTAGCAAACTAGCAGCAGAGTAAGAGCAACTAAACAACCAAAATCAACACAAGGCAACACTCTGAGGCAGCTTAATTTCGATAAAAACATGGCAATTTCGGAAAATATTTGATTCACAGAGCAACTAAAACAACACAAGATTCATCCAGAGTTATGTATTTAACCTTTTCTGTATACATGAACCTGAGCCGACCAGCTTCTTCATCCATAGGTTGATCAAGTGTCTGATCCAAATCCCACATACCACCTCTCTCATCACCTTCTTCATCAATCTCACCACTACCCATTGATGTTTCTACTCTTGACGCCATTTTAACCTTCTTCTAATCTTTGATTCTAAACACACAAAACCCTTCTATTGCTATAAACCCAGAAACCCTATATCTCCCCTATATTCTCAAAAACCAGATCTTCACTACAACCCAAACCTGGATTTACCCTTGAATTCTAAATTCTGGATTCCTATCAATGAAGCTAGAGATCAAAATTTTATAAACTAAACAGAGAATCTACAAAAAATCCCTAAAAAGGAGAAATTAACACTTCAAAATAAACGTCTACACAAAACGGTAAACATCTACTTATGTCCTCAATCCCCAATTTGAACTAATAGACAAACCCAAATGACTAAAGTTCCAAACTTCTATCTGAATTTGCAAAATCAAACCCCAAAAAAGTTTTGGTTTTTTAGTTTTGGTTAAAGAGAAGCCCCTAAAAACCCAAGCTTTAATCTATGGAGGAAAGTGAAACAAATTTTGAAAATTCCTCAGTAGAGAGGGACAAAAATGTTTTCCACGTTCTGGAGCATTAACGTTGGTGGGGGCTCGAGTTCAATTATGTGACTAATTCACACAGAAACCTTCGAATTACCTAACCCCAAGCTGGAGCAACAACGACGATCGGAAAAGAAAAAAAAAGCAGAATTTTTGGGATTTTGAATTTTTTTGTACAAAAAGAATAAATTTTTGATTCTTTTAGCTGATGATGATGATGATATGATTAAGAGAAACGGAAGAACTAATTGATTCCTTATTAAGTTTTATCAGAGAAGTTTCTCTGATTTTACAGAGTAGAGAAACCAGTTTTTATTTTCTTTTTCTGGTGAAAGAGAGAGAGAGAGAGAGAGAGAGAGATAGAGACAGAGAGGAACCACTGGGGTGGGGATTATATGATTACGACGACGACGACGACGAGGAGGATGTGGAGAGAGTGATTACTTAATTACCTATTTTTTATTAATCACATAATTAGGCGTTACAACTTTTTAATTTTATTTTTAATATATTTCCCTTAATGGGGAATTGTATTTTACTAAAACTGTCTTTTGGGGACATTACCTACTTTATTTACATGTGTAATTTACAATTTAAATTTAATTCCATGTTTAAATTCTTATGGACTATATTACTGAGGAAGGGATGAAAATTGGAAATGACATGTGTATTTTTTTTCTGAAGTTATTATTAAGATTACAGAAAATACAATTCATTCCTATTATACTATATATATACATTCTTAATGTGTAGTTGTCAGAAAAATTTTCATTTATGGTTATAGATATGTATACTTAAAGTATTAATTACTGTATTTATAATTGTCATTAGTAAAAAAAATACAAAAATCTTTCCTAATGATTATTGTACACAATCAAATTATACTATGATGGTCATTGTTGATACTTAAAAAAAAAAAAATCTATCCTTTTTTTGTCAAAATCTATTTACAATTTATCATTCACATATCAATATACATAGTTAACCTCTCTATAAATGAAATAATCATCATCAACAGTCGAACTTTTTTCACTGTCTATATGTTCAATGATGCAAAACTCAACAACACTAGTTACCTCATGTGTAACTGTCGAGTTTATGTTCTCTTTGATGGCTATGAACTAATCAGCTGTTTAGACAGATTTGTTCACATCCCTAGTTTTTCAAGGACAGTAAATGGAGTCACTTCCTCTAATTCGGACATTCGTTTGACAAAAACAACAAACTCATATTAAATGTGTTAGATATTAGGAGTCATCATAACTACCACACTGTTCACTTAGAATGGTTGTTCATATATATAATATCCTCTTTTTATATATGCAAAACCAAACCGGAACCATGTTCAATTGCTTTGCAAAGAGTGATTAACTAATCAAACTTCGTGTTAATTCCTTGTAAAGAGTATTTTAACAGGACAAAAACATAAATTTTATTAAAAGAAAAGAAAATTAATTTTAAAGAACATATTATATATCTCGAGTATAGTTTTGTGGAATAGATAATTTCATAGAATTATTTTTTTCTGTGATAAATCATTTAAAATGAAAAAATATATAAATCGATAATAATTGTGAATGAATATTAAATGTTTAGTCACTCTCTTTATAATTTACTCATTGGCCATCAAAAGACAAGAAAATAACTCTAGTGCAAGGAGAACTACATATTCGAAAACCATATAAAGCATTTTAAATGTTTTCTTCTAAAAAAAAAAAAGCACATCTATATCTCAACTACGTTTAATCTAGTCCTGGGCACGAAGCGAATATTCGGAAAATCTGTGATATTTGTTATTCGCTTCCCTTCGACCGAATAGTTGATTTTGGTATTTGATTCGATTCGTAAATTTTCAAGTATTCGGAACTTCGAATATTCGAGTATTTTTTGTAATATTCGCGAACTATTCGCTTCGCCTCGACCCATATAATTTTTTTTGAAACTAAAAATATGTAGTACATTTACCAACATTTTAAGAGCAACATTTAGCAAAAAACCCATATAATTTTTTTTTTGATATTATTTTTTTTTAATAAATTTTTATTTGTTTAAGAGCAACATTTAGCAAAAAGCCCAACATGCCAAAATATAACAATATGAATAATAAGCCTATTAGATATAAACATAAATCTATAATACACATATTATATATATTATATAATGATTTATATTTATACATATATATAAATATACGAAGCGAAGCGAATATTCGGCACTAAAAAAATCAATATTTGTTATTTGTTTCGGTTTTTACGAATACTACATTTTCATATTTGTTTCGTTTCAACATCTTATAGATATTTGTATTTTTCGAATCGAATCGAAACGAATATGGAAGCGAAGCGAATCTAACGAATATTTTGCCCTTTAATCAACGCACATTCTTAATCCCGACCAAAAAAAAAAATGTTAAACCAAATGTGGAACAGACTTGATCACATGCATCACAAAGCTGAAAGCACTCTTACATATATATGTTGGTCTCGTACGACCACTTCAAAAGATCCAAGTAGATTCATTATTTAATTATCTAGTGAAAAAGTTTTGCTTAAAAAGGCTGATTAAAAACGTTGATTAGTTCATAGGACACTGTTCGTTTTTAGGCTATAAGACTTAATATAGCACGCGGTCTCGTACTTACCGTTTTGGGGTTACCAAATTAGATCTACCTCCGAATTTTAATTTATTCAATTCCTTAATTATATTTTGTATATCAGATCATATTATATTATACGTACGCCATTATTTATATGTTCAAACATTAGACTTTTTGACTCAAAGACAAAGATGTTTACAAATAGATTCATCGCATCCAAGATATGTAATACTTGTTTAACAATATACACACATCTATATCAAACACAAAAACAAATATATATTTTCTATATTAGTTTTCCAAAAGACACGTTACCTGATAAATTATTTCATTCAATAAAATATCTAAACATATAGGATGTGCAGTTGAATATTGTAATCTCTTTCAAATTTTTTCGTATATTGGATAACGTTTTATAATTTCTTACTCTATTGTTTGACGGCAATCAAAAGTCAAAAACAGTCGTCATATCTTTTTCGTAAATTGAATTAATTATAGTTTTGTTGTTGTTACATACCCTCTAATACACATCATAAACCGAAACCAAATTTGTTATCATAAAAACAACTTATTGACTATATTAAGATCTTAAGAGACTTACTAAGTTACTATATAAAACTTGAACACGTACGTTACTGAATATATAAGCTTACAGAATACCCCATTACGTTGCATGGATATACATATCTCAGTTACAACTTACACGTATTGGTCTTCAATTTTGTTACAACCCCTTTGTTATTTATATATAATAGTTAGAAAGTTAGAATAGAAATGTTTTTTTTTTTGGTCAGAATACAGAAATGGTTTAAAATGACATTTTCATTATAAGATCAATCGATCGCCTATAGATGAAGTGTTCCACTTGTTGCCTACATTTTTCTCTCTTCTTCTTCTTATGAAAGAAAAAAGACGATTCAAAGTAACAAAATCTGGCCTACAATGATGATGATCATACATCGACGTGTTTTAAAAAAAAAACAATATTCGTATGGCCTCATTTGATACTGAAGGCACGTGAGTGTACCTAAATATAACAATAAGACAGCTGATACGGTAACCAAAAAAAGTGGTCCTTTCCCGGAAAAGGAAAGAAAATACAAAAATGGTCCAGTTATTTTTTGTATTTTTGGTTATGGTTTTCTAATTATAACTCTAAGAGAAATCAAACTAAGGCCGTTTAATTACCAAATTGAACAAAATACTTAGTGTACTCTTTTTGGTTGTGAAGCCAAAGGTGAACCCAAACAACCTAATTCACTTCAGATAATTCCAAATTTTTATAATAAAATTACTACAGATTAAATCATTGTAGTTACTCAATAAGTCTAATAACACTTAACTAGAACTAAATCATGCATGAGAAGCCTGTTTCCCAAAAACAAAACTAACTCATGCGTGAGTTCAAAACATTTGGATCAACTTCAACTCATGCTTCTCCGACAAAGCGACACGTAAATCGTGTTTAGTGTTTACCAACTTCTCATATATTTTTTTTCCACAAATGACACCTACACCAAAGACAAATCACATTCAATAAGGGTCTTCATACATTTCAAATCATATAACATTACGTTCTTTTACACGTATTTTAAACAAATCACATTTTTGTAACGAATTTTAAGCTATCTAGCCAAATTAGTCCAAGTTACAGACTGCCATGACGTGTTGGTACGTGATTGGTACTAATATCCATATATATGCGCACATTTATCACGTGCTGTGCATAACAGTATGATTCAGAACCAAAGACACAAACAAACAATGGCATGCAAACAAATGAAATTGATAAAACGACTTCTGAAACAAAACGACCCAAAAGAACATTTATCGTTTCGGGGTCACCACTTAAAAGAGACCAAGCATATTTAACTCGACCCTAGCCTCCATACGAAAAGAGGCATTTGAACCTGAGTGGCCAAGGTCGAGCAATTTCTCTAGTTACCTATATAATTACCCATATATATATATATATAAAGAAGACAAAAATCTGCGGAAGAAAGAAACGTGCATTTAAGACAGTTCAGTGTAAAATCGTTCACAATGTAGAAAACAAACGAAGGTGAGCTGTCTCTCGATATATATATATTTAGTCATGGTCCATACAATATTATAAAAAGTAAAAAAAAAAACTGAGATACAAACGTTCTATTTAGTACCACATGAATGTAAGCTTAGGTTACCTACTAACTAAATATATATGGTCTTTTGTATATATAATGTAGGGTGAGTTAAATATTTGTGATCAGTTAAAGGGAAAACAAAAAGTATAGCCCAGGTAAAAAGAAAATTAGTTTTTCATACCAGACTTATGTAAAGTTACAAGTCACTTCCTATTTTCATTTTTAAAAAAGAAAAAAATCTTTTATGTTAAAGAAGGATAGTAGGCGAGTAGCCTGCATTTTATATATTGTCTGCTAAATCTCTGACACATTTGTAGTGTATAGTAACATCTTTCACACGCACAATTACAAACAGTTAACCAGAAAAATTAAATTGTGGAAACATGATAAGTAAATAAGTACTCGATCTTATATATTTTAGATGCTAACATATAACTTAACTCACCCTATTTATACTCATCTAACCACCTACTAAATTAAAAGTCCCAATAAATTAAAATTATCAGATATATTTCCCATTATCTATGTATTAATGATCTCCAAATGGAAATATAATTTTGTTTAATTACAAAATCTAAACCCTAACCAATATTTTGTCAACCCAAACGAAAATATAATTTTGTTTAATTACAAAATCTAAAACATACTTATTTACTAACTAACATATTATATATAAGATTTACCATATGCCACAAATAGGTAAACCAACGCATATATACCAATTTGGGGATATAAATTGTTTGTGGATATTAATGGTTATCCGATAAGTTATAAGAAATCAGATAAATTATGTATTAACTACTAACTTACATTTTATATCGAATCTATACCCTATGTCACAAACAAGTCAACCCAACCATTAATATAAACGACAGACTGTGAAACCAATGCAAAACCAAAATAAGACACACATCTTAACCGATGTTAAAGTATAACCCTTGGTGACATAAATTGTTATCTGATAATTTACGAGAGATGAGATAAAGTATTTATTAAGTCCTAACTAAATATTTATAACAAAACTATACTCTAGGTCAGAAATCAGTCAACCCAAACAATAATATAAACTACAGGATATGAAAACTAACCATAACCAGACCCATTCAATAATCCCTACCATGTATATATACATTGGTGATGATAAAAGTATAATATTTGGCGATAAAATTTGTTATCCGATAAGTTATTAGGAAACGGATAAAGTATTTATTAACTACTAACTTACAATTTATATCAAAACTATACCCTAGGTCACAAACTACTCAACCCAATCATTATTATAAACAACATAATATGAAACCAAACCAGAACCAAAACAAAATACACGTCTTAACCCCACACATTTATGTATAGATTGGTGATGTTAAAAGTATACCCTTTGGTAATTTAAATTGTTATCGGATAATATATGAGGAATGAGATAAATTATTTATTAACTGGTTACTCATATAGATTGATATGGAAAAACAGTAGAGATCTGAGAGAAAAACTCAGAAACCTAATATACAAATAAAAACATTGCAAATGATAACTTTATTGGGTGATGGAAACCACGATTCAATTTTAAACCCTTTTTTATTTTTATTTTATTTTTTTCTTTGAGTCTAGATATAATCATGCTCATAGATCTTGTTCTAGATTTTTTAACCGAAAAAATATCTTAGGCTTTTAGAGTGAGTATAGGGTTAAAACAGTCTAGATAAAAAGGAGCTAAATAAAGATTTTGGGATGCTAGATACTTAATTAATCGGTCAACAAAGTACATGAAGTGTAGTTTCCCTATAATGTATGAGAAGTTTCTCTTAAGTTTTATAACGAAAATTAAAACTATACTCCAAAAATATTTTCTTTTACATTTATAACAAACTTTCTATAAATTAATTTTGTCAAAAATCTCGATATTTTGTTCTTGTTTTGATATATATATAATTTTTTTTTGGAAATTTATACTATATAACTGCAATGATTTTCTTATGAATCATCTTCATCTAACCATATATACACCAAGTTACTAGTTATGTAATCATGCAAAAATCACGATATATTACTGTGATATAGTATAACAAATAACTTGAAGTGAATGAATTTGTCGGCATGATTCCTTAGGGCAGCTCCACTCGAGCTTTTTATCAGGGTACTTATATTTGATATGGACCCAAATTAAATGATAAAACATTGAGTAGGTCCCAATTGTAAAAGAATCGTTACCTCTAATATCAACTTAAGAAACCAGTAAGTAACGGGTGACAGTATGTGGCAGTATATAATTGGCTGATGAGAAAATATATATATATATATAATTAATTATGTTTTGTATTAATTTTAGGTACCTCACACGAGGTCCTCCACTAATGATGGTCTTATGTATCATCATCATATCTACCAATACCAGTTTATTAGTTTTATATGTTACAGTTCTCTTGCTTATCATGTTTCTCTGTCTTATCAGTTCTGTTCCAAAATTAATAATAGCCATGCCGATATTTACGGAAACTTTTATACAAGAGAAGACCTCCTAACACATGTTTTGTGCAATCGATCAAGAGAGTAAAAACGAGTTCGGAGTGTTCAAACTTACAAATTCGACTTAATTATTACTACTTTTTTTTTTGTAACTAAACAAACTTGATAAAACTATCTCTATATATAAAGCCATTTTAATTTGTTACTCAAATAAGTTTTTGTTCGATTCAGTTTCAGTCATATTATATACACACCACATATTTGCTGACTAAATATATATATATATATATATTAGAAAATGCTAACTAGTAGTAGTTCTCTACCCTCTAGCATGTATATATCGACTATCGCGTACACATATAATTTGAATAGCTTTATACGGTTATACCTATATGTCTTTTTCTTTTGGTAGAAATAGATTATACCTATATGTCTTAAGAAAAACAATTAGTCTCTAATGAATGTCATTAAGAAAGTTAGGTTTAGTCTTCATATTCTGAATATTAATTTATGCATATAGCAATCGATCGAATAGACCATAACCTAACTATGAACTGTCACAAACATAATAATGTTATTATATGAAACGAATCAATATCGCAATCTAATCTACTTTAGGTTCTCGATCTTGTGTTTTAATTACTGTAATTAATAGATTTCATTATTTAGATTCGTAAGAAAATTACATGGACACTTTTTTTTTTTTATGCTTAATGATCATAAAACATTGTTTTTGTTTCCAACACTTTGGGATATCAAGCTAAGCACTCACTCGCGTGTTCGCGGACATCTAACAAATATGACAATTTTAGCTTCGTTTTAGTTTTCAAGTATGGTGTACTAGACATATATATAGGAACACATATGAACATTTTTATATGAACAAATTTATAGGACCACACATTGAAGCTATTTTGTCTTTCTGAGATTGCTAAGATATTTTCTTATTGATAAAGAAGATTAGCTATAGTATATAACAAAAATTGGATCCTTGGAATATTCCTCTAATCAACGGCTGCTTAAAAAGGTGATTAATATCTTCTGTCGCACCTAGGTTAGACAAAAGTGACATTTGACAAATGACAACAACTTCATCCTTAGCCGAGAAATTAAAAGAAAAAAAAAAAAGATGATTCACTATGCAAGTACTATTTTTAGATTTACGTAGAGCCTTTGCTAACTGGTTATATTTGGAAAAGAAAACAAACTCATAAATTACACTAATTATGTGATCATTTCAATAGAGACATATGATCTCTTAAGAAATATAATATGTTCTCTCATTAGTCTTATTTTATATTAACGATATAAATTCCTTGAGTGTTTTCTCTTGTTTAGTAAACTAATCCATATTATAAAATTAAAGTCATTAACTAAGCACTAAATCTTTTTTTTTTTTACATCAACTAAGCACTAAATCCAGATTAATAGTTTGATGACTTTGATCAATGATGGCCAGCCACGGCCACGGATGGTTGTTTTAAAACATACAACCTTAGTCAACCAAATTAAGATAGAGAGATAGAAAGATACGTTACAAAGAAAATTAAAATCAAGTCTTATATGAGGTGGGTTCGACCCTGGAATTATATTTTCTACACGTTCAAAGAGAATCTATAAGAAAACGTCTCTACATTTGTTATTTTCTTTTGATAACAAGTCTACATCCTTCATTTTAATAAGTCTACATCATTTCATAACTAATTTTTTAAGCATGATTGTTCATTTTTTTTTCATAATTCTGGGTCTGATTGAACATAACAACCTTGAGATTTGTATTATTTTTAATTGAAATTTGTGATTTAATCATATTTAATTAATAGTATTGTTCACGTATAAATAATCCACGATTTCAATGCTAACTATGTGAGGTATAAAACCAAATTCTATGTTAGTGTATTTTTCATTCCAAATGTATTGGTAAAGGATTTAAATTTAATCAAGGTCAATTATATAATTGCCATAATTAAATCCTAGTAGAAGTAGTATTATGTTAGTTGAACATTTGAACCTAACGTCCAATTTTACAATATACAAATATATGTACTTCACAAAATCTATCATATCCTTGACTATATCATAACGTCCAAAAGAACTTTCGACGCATCAAAATAAGTCAACAATTTTGACAATCACGATATAAGAAGTTGCAATTTCTTAAAGAAATATTTTGTAAGTGATTTTAATTTATTTTTCTCTTCGTTCTTGACGATAATTAAAAAGAGCTAAAGATGTTCTTGTTGGGCTTATTCACCTAACGATTTGAACGCACTACAGAAATAAATGGCCCAATTAGAGTTCAGGTTTCGTAACCGTGTGTATATCCTCAAAACTCAAAAGCCAAGTTACCTTTGGGACATGAACAAGAACAACATACATTTGAATCTTTTCACTTTGTCTTTGCCTTTGGTTTCGGGTCTTATTAGACTCTTAGACATGACATGTTAACTCCCATTGCTAACTTTTATCTTTATAGATTCTTTTCTTTCGATTTGGCTTGCTTATATCACATTTGATTGATGCATTTGGTTGACATGTAAAAAGAGTTAAGTTATACTGTAATCACAAGATTTTCTTTGGTTGAGGTTTCATTGATCACTATATTTAGCATAGTGATTTCGAGTTAGATGTTACTACATTACCATCAACCTCGCATCCACAACATTTTGTCAACAAAACAAGAATTATGAACATAGTTTTTTTGGATTTGCTTCTAAATTTGGTTTTCATTCGGTTTAGTATAACATATCTAAATCAAACTTCCCAACAACGTACAAAAAATTCAAACTTATAAACATTACACAATTACTCCTACGACCTAACTTGGTGTAGGTTCCAAGGTCAAAATTCTGCAGCCTTGTTATTCCATTACTGGTCAACTTAAGCATCTACAAACCAACCTTGAAGAGTCTAATTTTCACAGCTAACAATGATCATCAACATCAGAAGCATCAAAACACATCTTCGAATCAATAAACTCAAAATCCTTCAAATCATGGATCAATAATCAAAACCAAAGCCAACAACAAAAGAGTCTTGAGTCTAATACATACACATGACATTTAGAACTAATATTCCAAATTCCACATTTCTTCTTCTTCTTCTCAAATGTTTACATACTAACAGAGAGAGAGAATGATAATAAGAGAAGAGAAAACAGTACCAGAGAATCACCTTGCCTTCAAATGTCTAAGTTCTCCAATTGAATGTTGCTCTTAAGAGGCACATAATCTCCAAGATACCCACCAAGATGATCATACAAAGCGGTCTTATCAATCGTCTGATGATGATAACTCTTGCAAACATAGTAAAACACACTCTGAACCAACAAACCCACAAGATTGACCATGACAAGAACACCAACTAGCAAACCACCAACAAAAGTCCTAGTAAAAGTTCCATACTTGCCTCCACCATGAACCACAACAGCTCCAAAACTAATCCCAATCAACCCACAGAGGAAAAGGTAAACAAAGACTAACCCCATAGCCATCTTAACCTTCCCTTTAAGCAACTCATAAGCTTTCCTCATAGCTGCAATCCCATAAACCGGTTCAAGAACAGAGATCACACTACCTAAATGCCACAGAGCAGTGAAATACACATGGACACCAAAATACAGAACAGAGATTATGATTCCAGCAACAACAGCTAAGCCAACACTGTTCAAATCAAGAGCAACGAGGAGAATCACAAGGAAGACAAAGAAGACTGCGTTGTAAGCAAACATCAACAGAGCAACCCAAAGGAAAGTGATGAAGAGTCGTTTAAAGACTTTGGGAATCGCTGAGAGAGTTGAAGAGAAAGAAACAGGCTTTCCTGTGTAGAGAGAAGCGACGGTGAAGACAACAGCAGCGGTGGAGAGAAGAGAGAAGGCGAAGAGGAAGATCAAGTAGCTGAACTGGAAGATCAACAGAACAGTCCAGTCGTGTCGGGAACGATCTGAGTTTGGTGGGTCGGTTTTGTCGAGTTTGGCGAGGATTGGCTGAGTGAAGAGCGAGTGAGCGAGGATGGCGAAGGAGAGAGGGAAGATTAAAGATAAGGTAATGAGGTAGAAGGTTCTTGGAGATCGTTTCTTGATTGAGATTGATTCTTGAAGTAGTTGAGGAATCGTCAAGAATTGGAGCTCTTCTGGTTGGAGATCCATGGGTTAGATCGGAGAAGAAAGAGAGATGAAGGATCACCGACGGGTCAATTTGGAAATCTGAGAAAGATGAGATTTTTTTTTTTTTTTTTTTTTGGTTTCTTGAGTTATTGTTTGTTAAGACCAAGAAGATGAAAAAAGAGAAATGAGGAGGAGAAAGACTTTGTTGGAAACTTCTGGGAAACTCATAAAAACACGTTTAAGTTTTTGACTAGTTTGTTTTTACCAAATCTTATTATTTTTTTTTTTTTGGGTTGCTAATTAAGTTTTTTTTTAATGATATTTGGAAATGTTATTATAAGATTTAATTATATGGAATAATATGTAATTTGGTCAAATTTTTAGCACAATTCTCTTTGCATGATCTCTGAGACGCAATCATGGAATCAGGCTTGAAGACTTTTTTTTGTTTTTCTTTGGTTTTGAGTTTTAATATTAGCATGGTTTAATATGAAAATATTAAAAGTATATATGTGTTTTTTCATGGTGTTTATCAGGAATTCAGGATTAAAGTTTCTTGAGAGAGCAAACAGATCAGAAATTTTTAATGATGTTAAAGTTTCTTTTTTTTATTTTATTTTTTATACGAGCTTACTTGAAAAAGGATTTGATAAATATCATTAATGAAGTTATTATGATTACTTAATACTAATTTTAGAAGAGATACTGATTAATTCCGAGGTATAATGTTTTTACCCTATTTTTACTGAATCGGAGGTGCAGAGAAATCACATGGGCCAATGGTCCCAATTGTTAAATGTCGATATCAACTTTATAATTAATCTCAGGCTTTAAATGAAAATTTGCAAAATTTAATAACTGTGAAATTTTACTTTGAGATCATTTTTGAACTTGTTGCATTTTAATTTTTTTGGGTTTAGTTGATTTTTTTTACTTTACGTAAGGAAATAAAATTAATAGTCAAATATTGGTGTACAATGCACTATCCTAATTACTACACACAACACATACGATATTTTGGTTAAAACTTTGAAATCTAGTGAATAGAGTTAAACTTTGATTAAAGTTAAACACTTTTAATCTTTGTACAAAGAACCCTAACAAAGTGTAAATTAATTGAACGTTTTCTTATATTTTTATCAATCGGCCATATATAGTGTAATACTGTACTTAATTTTGTTATTCAAATGCAAATCATGACTCGGCTCACTCAGACCACGAACGTGCTAGGTGGGATTGCGTTTTTATGTCATACTACGAGAAAATTTAATAAACCTAATAACAATTAGTTCTTCCTAAATCTAAGCATATCCTATATAAACTTATGAAATTATATAATTTCAAGTAGTACTAGTAGTAAGAAGATTATAACTAAGTAGTAGCAGTACCATTCATAACGTATAGAGAATATATAACTAATTAAAGTATCAGTCTGTGTATAAATTAAATTCCCCATAAAATACCGTAAACATCACATCACGTACGTATTAAATAAAGTAGCAGTCTATGTATAAATATAGCAACTGTTCATCTCAAGGTTTCATTTGCTAAAAAGAAAAAACAAAGAAACCACATCTCTTCTACTTCGATCTCTCTTTTTTGGGTTTAGCATATTCTCATGAAATTAGGGTTTTAGAGAAAGATCGAGCTATTGAAGAGATGAGGAAAGGTAAGGTAGTGATAAAAAGGATAGAGGATAGGATAAGGAGACAAGTGACATTCGCAAAGAGAAGAAAGAGTCTGATGAAGAAAGCACATGAACTCTCTGTTCTCTGTGATGTCCATCTTGGTCTCATCATCTTCTCTTACTCCAACAGGCTCTACGATTTCTGCTCCAACACCACAAGGTTTCATTTATATACTTTTCACATTACTTGTTTATATATAGAGACTCATACATATGTGTACGTGTTCTTGTTTTGTTAAAACAAACAAGAAAACGCAATAATCTTCATCTTCTTGTTATCATCATCACTTGGCTTCATTTTAGTGTTTTTTTGTCACTCGTATATACGCTTGTTTAAACTCTTTTTCATAAAAAAAGAAAAGAAAGTTTCATATAAGTTGGTATTATACCAAGTTCATACATGTTTTCTACTTTTCTTTGCTTGATTTTATATTTTGATTTATAATTAAAAAAAAAAAACTCAATCAAAGAAATAAGAGACATTTTCTAATGTTTAGTTAGCTATTATGTCTCAGGTTTTAATTCTAAGGAAAGCTCTGAATTTTATAATATTGATCCCAAAGAAAGAAGTTCTTGTTAATGAATTGTCAGAAATTTACACATATTTATTAATAAATTGTCTGTTTTATAATTAATTTTTATAAATTTTGATTTGGTTATTTCAACAAATCAGCATGGAGAATCTCATCATGAGATACCAAATGGAAAAAGAAGCTGGTCATACTCATACCTCTGCAGACCACAGTTTCCATCCTGCAGTAATTAAATATTCTTTCCAGTTCAATATGACTATTAATTACCTTCACATGTTAAAATTCTTATATAATAACAATACTATAATAAAATGAAATTTCGTATATGTGTATATATATAGGATCAGTGTTCAAACTGTGCGAAGACAAAGGAAACAATGATGAGAGAGATCGAGAATCTGAAGATGAATCTTCAATTGTACGACGGACATGGCTTGAATCTCTTAACCTACGACGATCTCCTCCGTTTTGAGCTCCATCTCGAATCTTCTCTCCAACACGTTCGAGCTCGTAAGGTATATATTCATAAATAAAGTACAATCTCTATACATGCATGGCATATATTTATTTAAACGTATGTTTTAAAATTCCTTTTTTTCGTGAAAACCACACACACTAACATAGTTAAGTCCCCAAATTTAATAGTGTTCTTGTCTTTTGTGTTTATTATTTATGTAGTGTGCGTTCATGCAGCAACAAATAAACAAGCTTAAGGGAAAGGCAAAGGTGAGTTCTTCTTGGCATTGGTATTTTTCCAACTTAATCTACTAGAAGTCATAATTGTGTCACATTCGAAGGCTTATAATATGAATAATAACCATATTCAAATTTTTCTTACGATAGGAAACATTCATGGATGATTATGAAGAAACCCAACATTTTTCCCTTCCGGTACATGTCTTTGTGTGTGTTATAAATAAACCCTATAACAAGTTTTCAATTTGCATATATACTTATGTTAGTGTACGCTTTATATTTCTGTATTCAATATACGAAGGTGCAACAAGGAGGAAGCTCTTGGGAGCAACTGATGTGGCAAGCAGAGAGACAGATGATGACGACGTGTCAAATACAAGACGATGATGACGTCACACGCCGGCAAGTGAAGAAGGAGTTCCTCCTTTTTGACCGTGAAGAAGAAGAACACCACCAACCCATCATCGGCGCTCTCCAGCTCGTCCAGCTGCCACAGCCTTCACCACAACCAGCCCGAACCCAAGGCCCAGTATCAGGCCCATAACTACTACCATCATAGCTCTACACTCATAGCGGTATAGGAACCTACTCGGTTCGGTTCGGTTAAGTTATTACCAGACAGACAGTTAAATTTCGGTTATTGTCTATTTGCTGTTTTCTAATTAACACATTGAACATGCGCTTTTGGGTTATGTTTTAAGGAAAAGTTTGTCTGTTTAATTCCGAATACTGTATACTAATAATTACACTTGATTGCCACTAATCACCTCCAAACAACCGTTACTGTTCGGAGAAACCAAAATCAGCATTAAAAAAATTCCGATGACCCGGAAAAAGAACTCAACCTCTTCCCTCGAGATCGACGGCGAATAGACATAATAGACAACGACATTGCCAAAAATCAAGATCCCACGACGTCGAAAGGTAAATAAAAAATGTCTTGACAATGACATCTATCTTTTTTTTTTTTTTTTTTGACATTCTAATGTTATCTCATCATTTCCAGTTCCGATGAACCAAATCGAAGAAGATCCAAACCCTAATCTACCGGAACGTCTCTTCGCCATTGATTCACATCCCGACGGAGCACGTCTTAACATATACTCAAGACCCGAGTACCTTGGTACAATCGCTACCCTTCTCAAAGGCACTAAAGAATGGGACCGAATCAGGAGTTCACAATTTGGGAAACTCTTCGAGCTCCCTGTCGCTCGGTGCTCACATTCAGGCAAGTTGATACATGGTTTGTTATTCCGACAGCTCGTCACTCAAAAGAAACACGAGCTTTGGTTCGTCTTTGGTGGACACCCTATGCGTTTCTCTATACGAGAGTTTCACATAGTGACAGGTCTTAGTTGCGGTGAATTGCCAAAGATAGAGAAGAATCAGGAGGAGGATCCTGAGTACTTGTCTGTGTGGTATAGGCTTTTCGGAAGTAAAAAAACTAGTGTTGTCACAGTTGGACATGTGTTGGAGATGTTGTTACAGAATGATAAAATCACTGATGAGAGAAAACAGTTGTCTTCTTGGAAAAAGCTTTGTCTGGCTCTCATTGTGATTGTGGATGGTGTTGTTGTGTGTTCGGATAAAGACTCAGTCAGTCCGGATTTTGTGGAGATGTTAAATGATATCGACTACTTTTTGAGTTATCCATGGGGGAGAAGAGCTTTCACCGAGACCATTCGTCGTTTTGGGCCGCCCAAGGACGAATCTAATCCGATAGGAGTACTAAAGAAGCGTATGAAACAGAAGACGAGCGCTTGCTATGGCTTTCCTCTAGCTCTTCAGCTCCAAGCTCTTCAGTCTATTCCGGTTATATTGGAGAGGATAAATCATATAACGGATATTCGGGACTTTACTGAGAGGTCAGCTGAGGGGTTATCATCCACGCGTCTGCTTCGTAAGACTGACATACTTGAGGCTGAGGTTGATGACAAAGTAGGCAACTAGTTCAATTCTCAAATATAACTATATTTTATCAATTTTATGTTGTAACACATTGCTTTTTTCATGTCCTAATTGTAGCTTGTGGTTGCATACACATTGGAACCTAAGGGAATGATTAACGAATCTGAGTTGGTTTGGGACACAGAGGTTTCTGATCCTAAGGTGGATTACATTTTGAGATTGATCAACGAGGGACATATTTTCAAACCGTTTGAATGGCCACTCTTGAAAGCAGCATATCAAGCAAGGCACAAAAAGCCTATTCCAAATAAGCCGAAGCATAAACCTCTTACTAGGTGTTCTATGAAGGAGAAGGAAGTTGCCAAGCCTCCTACCATCCACAAACATATTTCTCAGAACAAACCAACGGAAAAGGTTCATGTTGGCAGAGAAAGTAGCGACCCGAGGTACGTCACGCTTTCTCACTTGAATGACATGAAGGAGTGGATACTGAAACAGAATGAAGAACTTAGGAGCAAGATTAGGGAGGACATTAAAGAAATGGTTGGTCCCAAATCACATTCGCAGGACGACACACCCGCAGGAGGAGCATCTAATCTGCGCCGATCAAACAGGCTTAACACCAACTGTAAGGAAAACATGGCTAAGACTGATGCACTCTCTAAGAAAACCGGCAACACAGAAACGCGAAAACGTAAACGGGTAGAGGTTCACTCCATATCAAGTGGAGGCGTGTCAGGCAATGACAACGAAGGCGTAGAGGATGTTCAGTCTTTAAGGAAAGAGTCTAGAGTAAGTGGAGAGGATGTTCAGAGTCCATGGAATGAGGACGGAAATGCGCAAAGCCCGGGTACATGTTATCAGTGGGATGATTATGGAGATGCTCTAAAAATCATTGAGGAAGAGGATTTGATGCAGGAAACAAGCTACTTTGTAAGAGTTGTTACATTCTTATTCCTCTTTGTATCCGTTTACATCCCACATCCTCACTTATGATTATAATTTTATTCAATTTTCTTGTAGGATCACTGTCCAAATTGTGTGAAGACTAAAGAATCAATGATGAGAGAGATAGAGAATCTTAAACTGAATCTTCAACTGTACCAAGGACATAGCATGAATGATTTAAGCTACGACGATCTCCTTCGTTCAGAGCTCCAACTCGAATCTTCTCTCCGTGGTGTTCGAGCTCGTAAGGTACATAATACACACACACACTATAGTATTGAGTCTATATACATATCCGAAACTTTACACTTTTGATGGTTCATGTCTCTTGTTTATTTATTTTGTAGTTTGAGTTCTTGCAGCAGCAACAACAAACAGACAAGCATAAGGGAAAGGGAAAGGTGAGTTCTTGGCCATGGTATTATTTTTCCATTCAATCTGACAATATAGCTGATGCCCAAAAAAAAAAAAAATCTTATAATAGCTAAGATAAATAAAGTTTTGAAGCTTTATAACCATTTTTAACTGTTTGTGTACTTGTTCAATAGGAAATACTCATGGATGAAGAAAGCACACAATTTTCCAATCCGGTACGTGCCTTGGTGTGTCAAAGGCAAGAAGCTGATGACATCAACCGGCAAGTGAAGAAGGAGTTCCCTTCTTACAGCTAGGAACCCGCCGGCTGCCACAACCAACCCCGAGACTAGGCGCAAACTAAGGCCCATAACTTCTCTCTGTCTAGCTAATATCAGATAATAACTTAAGCAGATCGACTCAGTTTGGTTCTGTTCAGTTGTTATCAGCCCCTACCAGACTTGTTGCGTTGCTGACTTCTAATGAACATTGGCCATGCTTTGATTGCTTTCGTATAATATTAAAAGGAAAGCTTTGTCGACAAAAAAAAAAAAAAAAGGAAAGCTTCTCTAATCTCTGATATAACTTAACGAATATGGAGATCTTTTATTGCAGCAGAAACTACTCAAAGCTGTGTTATGTTGTGTTCTCTTAACTCTATAGAACTCATTAATATGTATAGATCCTTCTACAGTAATTGTAAAACACTATTAGGAGAGAAAAACTCCTACATCATATAAAATGTTGATAATTATTTCTAACTATGAATAGAGAAAGAAAAAAAGTATTTGATTACAATTGGAAATGGAATCTATCTAATCTCTAGGAACTCACAACTGGATAAATCCGACAGTGGTAAGAACTCATAAACCATACAAGACAGGATTGGAGTTGACAATTTTGGAGCTCCTTGTCCATAAATTCTTTGGTTAAACGAGAATCTTTCTTCTTAACCGGGTGGCCATTTCATCTGTCGCCCCCCGAGGACGTGCAGATGAAGATGGTAAACAGATTGGCCTGAATGAGATGAAGTTAATTCAGTTAAGTGGATAATGATAATAATGGTGTTTGGTTAAATGGAAAAAAACGACTTACAGGCTTCAGCACCGTTGTTGATAACCACACGGAACCCATCGAGGATTCCTTCCTTCTCAGCAACTATCTTGGATGCATGTAGAAGTTTCCCAAGAACATCTACGTGTCTTGGTTCAGCCTGCGATGACATGATATGTTCAGGTAAGATCTTAAACTGTTACACCAAAAGCTTCACACATGATTTTCTCATAACTTGTTCCTCTTATTATCGGTGTATAATCACAGGCAAACAAAAGATGAGGCAGCATTTATATTGATAAGAAACACTAGCATAAAACTAGTCCTTACTCATTGGTCATTACAGAACACAATACTATTGGCGTAAAGATAGATTCTATGAGATCTTAAAGGGCAGACTAAAGTAAGTCACAAGAGGAAATAGCAAGAGAGTAAACATTAGGCAAAATGAAATACAAATAAGCTATCTGCGGGCATGATATAAAACCAAGCATGCATAGGAAAGAATCACACCATCCTATCTGTTTTCTGCCTTTGCTTTCAAAGGCGTAACCCAAGAGAGACCAACATTTTATCGCGAAATCTCGATTTGTGACTGCTAAAGACAATTCCAATTCACCAGAAACATACTGAATGTTAAAATCTAAAACAGACTCACATTGCTAAGCATGGTCAAACCATCTCTCAACTTGGGGATGACCAAAACATGAACAGGAGCCTGTGGGTTTATGTCTCTGAATGCCAAAACATTCTCATCTTCATAAACAATGTCAGATGGAATCTCTTTAGCTATAATCTTGTCAAATCTAAAAACCACAAAGATATATACATAAGAGCCTTTAGCATAAACTTCCAAAGGATCACACTTCACACCATTTCAAAGACATCTCCAGAAACATTACTAAAACTCCTCAGATTTCAACTCCACCATTTCATAATTCAGATGTTAAATCTCAATTCGATTGTGAAAGAGAAATCAAAACTGAAGAGAAACCATACATGGTCGGAGCTCCAGTATCAGCAACAGCAGCCGCAGCTTTTGCAGCCGCCTCTTCATTATGCGCAGCACGAGTAGAGCAAATGAATCTACCCAATCGATTAAACCAACATCAGCTCAAATCCCAATAATCCACACAGCACAAATAAGAACAGAGAGTATTCTCACCTTGAGGAACGAGTATAAGGAAGAACCCTAATCAATTCTCCAGTGGAGAAGACAATTCTCGAAGTCGCTCTCACAGACTGAACAACCTTCCCCGCCGTAGAGAAGTTCCTGAAAACACGAACAACCTCAACGCCATTAGCAAATTCAACAAAACCCAATTCCTCATAACTGTATCAAGAGCAAGATAGTTTCATACCGAAGCAGCATAGAAGAGGAAGTGACAGCCATTGAAGCTCTCTGCTTCGTTTTCGATCAGAGACCTTTTCTTCTAACATTTTTTCAACAAACGACATCGTTTTAAGTTTTACTCGCATACGACGACGTATTAGAACTTTATATTTCGTTCACAAATATTTCATTATTTTTAGAGATTTGAGAAATTGAGAAGAGGAAGGAGACGGAGACAAACAATGGCGATGATGAGATTACCAATTAGCTCGAGGAGCTTCTCAGTTTCAGCTTCTTCATCCAACGGTAACGATCAAAAATCACTAATCCTTACCAATTAGCTCGAGAAGCTGAATTCAAAACAATTTGATTTTCAGGTTCGCTGCCGGTGATCGGAGGATCTAGCGGCGGTGTAGGTCCGATGATAGTGGAATTACCGTTGGAGAAGATACGGAGACCGTTGATGAGAACCAGATCCAATGATCAGAACAAAGTGAAGGAGCTCATGGATAGTATCAGTCAAATCGGTCTACAAGTTCCGGTTAAGCAACTCGGTTTATCCAATTTTCTGATTTCAAATTTCTTCGATTAGTAGTAATCCAACAAAACTGAAGAAATCTTGTTTTTGGGATTGTGAACAGATTGATGTGATTGAAGTTGATGGAACTTACTATGGTGATTTTTTCTAAATATTTCATTTGTTTCTTTATGATATCTGTAATCAAAAAGCTTATAAAATCCTCCATTGTTGTTGTTGTTGCAGGGTTCTCGGGTTGTCATAGGTATGAGGCGCATCAGAAGCTAGGGCTTCCAACTATACGCTGCAAAATCCGCAAAGGAACAAAGGAAACACTAAGGTAAGAAAGATGAAAATGTTGTTGTGTTGTGTTCTTCAGATTTGTTGTTTTACATTAAAAAAAAGCTTCTTTGTTTGGTTTCCCACAGGCATCATCTTCGCTGAGAGAAGTTTAGTTTTTCAAAGCATAAAAGTTTGGTATGGTATAGTGAACTCGTGAAGAGTGTGAATTGTATAAGAGAACTTTGTATAATCTCTGTGATAGATTTGGTGATTCGTTTGTGTTTAGTGATTAAGTGCCAGATGAAAAGTATTGGATATTTAGAATTTATGAAACTTATTTGTGATCACCAAATTTAAAAGGTTGCAAACAATCAAACTTGCTATAACAACTGGTCTTATGTGTACTGCTTCCTTCTACTTAGTCTGAAACAATGTCGAAGCTAGTGATGGCCGATATGATCAGTAAAGTGGAAGCAGAGGTTCAGTGGCATTCAGTACGAATCATCGTTCGGTTATCGGTTATCTTAAGGTTTGTGTTGAGACTTGAGAGAGTTGTTTGCGTCAAGAATTTACTTTAGCAGAAGCAGAGAAAGGACCAGTAATGCCATTAGCCCTTCGATAGCATTGCTGAAATGCTAAGAGCTTATAGAACATGTATAGGATGACTTAATGGATTTATCTTTGGGCTAAAAACAACTTGGACAATACTATTTCAACACATTCTCACGATAGCAAATTAGATATTGTTGTCTACTAGCTAAGATACGAGTGTTTTGTATTTTACGTATTGGATGTTTATAAAAATTTTAAGATTTGATTTGTTTTTTTTTTTAATATAGTAGTATAGAGGTCAAATGTATAAATGCTAGGTGGCAGATGTTGATTGATGGACACAAAATATATAATCACGTCACTGATTTGGTTTTGGTTTTGGTTTGGTTAAACGAATCTTATTCACAAACTAATTGTCAAACCAAAACAAGACGAGTGGGGAAGATTTTCTAACGTAAACACTTAATAAAATCTAATTATCTTTTGCTGATTTCAATCATGGGAGACATTAAAACATAATCACGTTTCTATGGACCCAATTATTAAATCATTAACGTCAATTATAACAAACAAAAACAAGAAAAACAATTAATGGAGTTATCATCATAGACTCATATAGCATTCTACTTGTTTTTTTTTTTTTTTTTTTTGGGTTTTTGTAGTTATTATGAAGACAAGTGATGCACACATTTTATATTATTAGTCTCTTACTAATGCCTTGGTTTAAAAATTTTAACTAATAACAGCGATTGATGTGGATTATATATTTTTTCCAATGTTGTTTATAATTGAAAAATTAGAAATGACTATATATATTTTACGTACAACTGGAAATGTTCGATTTATGTAAATATGGAAAACAGAAAACAAAAAGACACTAGAGATGACAAGAGACAACACACAACTCAAGACAACTCCATCTTCCAACTAATCTTGTCATGCCAACGTCCATTTATTACTACTTGTAAGCATATCCATTAATACACTTATTTTTGTTTTGTTTTTGTCACACCAATTGATAGTACCCCTTATTATATATATGCACTACTAGTAGTGATATATATTGTATCCGAACATGGTCAGTTTTGTGAAATTTAATTCGATCGAAGGATATGGTGTTGAAATATGATATGTTTACTTAAGTCACATAATATATCAAATTAATCTTAAGTTTCTACCTCGAACATTTTTGATTTGAATGTTTCATTCGTGCAAAAACTTTCCAAGCTTTTTACATAATAGTTTATAAATATATGTATATGAGTGGTTTTTGTGTATGCATGTGTATATTATATGTGAACATGCATGTTGGATGGATTGTGATGTCTGAGGACAAACGAAAGAGGAGATGCAATAAGACAGAAGACGCATGCAATGAAGATTTCCGATTTGGTCGTATCCTTTTCATTTGTCTCAGCCATTAATTCTCAAAACCCTATCTTCTCTTCTTTGATCTTCATCCATCTTTTTCGTTTTTCTTAAAAATATTTTCCAGCATATATAATTGCGTAAATCTGTTTGGTTTATATGTATAATTATGGCAAACTTATTCAGTTTGAGCTCAATAAACATTTGGAGATCAAAACTTAATTTAAATTTTAATAAATCAAAAATATGCAAAGACAAAAACAAAAGTTAGATTGGAGAGTAGGTGTGTATGGCCACTATATTTTTGTAGTAACGTTTTTGGTTTAAATATATATAATTTAGGTTGAAGTGGTAGGTTATAATTATGAAGATAGGTAATGAAATTTAATGTTACTCTCTACTCTCTAGTATACATAATCTACAATGCTATGGTATTTATCGTTTAATCAATATTATTTTTAAAATAACAAAAATATCATGATCATTCCAATTGTATAATTTATATTCTATACCAAAAAGAAATACGCATGTTGACAAAACAATAAAAAGAAATACACATTTGTGGTCCATTTAATTATATATCCAAACAAGCATCTGTGTAACGTGTGTTGTTATCATATTTCTTATTAAATAAAATTATTCAAAGTTTCTGTTGTTAATACAAAAAGGATTGTTATATACATGTGTCTGTGTGTGAAAGAAAGAGAAGAATCTCAATCAAGATTTATCAAGCTGAGACATTTTTTTCCATTTCTCTTTTCTTCTTGTTAATGTTTGCTCTCTCCTTTAAACCAAAATCTTGAAAATGTCTCTTTTCTCTTCTCAAAGTTCTCTTCCTTAATGAGTCAGTTGGTTTTGAGAGGCTGAAGCTGCCAGCATGATCTGGTAATCGCTACATATACGCCACACACACGCACCTCTATACATGTATACAGTTTGTTCTTTGACTACTTTGTTGTATATATTTATGGATTCATGCATGTGTATATACATATAGTTCACATGCATGCCTTTTGTGTATGGTAAAATATATACTAGTGTAGATATATATGCGTGTGTGTGCAAAGATAGTAGTAGTACTAGGTCATCCTGCAGCTTCAGTCACTAAATCACCAACAATGGCAACAAACGATAAACTCAACTTCATGAGAAAGGCGATTCCGGGTTTACTTTGTACGATCATTCAAGGTAAAAATTATATATTTACTTGTCTTGTTCTTGTACTTGCTAGTAAATTCAATAATGTGTGTGTTATTTTCATAGTATCACATCTTCGTTCTCCGGAATATACGCATTTATGTTTTAGTTACTGTGTATATGAAATATGTCCACAAGATCACAAGTCCATGTTCGTTGGTAGGAACGCGTTTACATGTGCCTATGTGTGTTCTTTTCCCTTGACCTATTACTAAGATTTATAATTAAATAAAACATAATATATATTATAAAATGACAAGACGCATGATCTTGATATTTAGCTAGTAAACATTTTATCTTATTCGATATATATATATATATATATATATATATATATATATATTTTTATGTATAGACTTTAATTAAGCATATATATACTACTTAAATTGACCAATCTAGCTATTGCTTATTACATGTCAATGTAGCTTTGATACAAATGATAGATGTTCTACATAGTATAGGTTTTTAACATGGAATTTTATGATTTCATGAGTATAGTGCAAGGAGAGATAGTTCGGTTTTATAATCTCTTCCATCCAATCCAATGAATAGATATTTACATCTTAAGAACAATCTTGCAAATTACTATTACATTTTTATTTTGTTTTTTTTGCAGACTCATGTTATTTATAATACATGCTGTGCCATAAGTAACCAATACATGGTCGACATTGAGATTCTGTTTTGTTTAGCAAACTCAAGTTTGTTTCAAAAATCTTTGATTCAAGAACGCATGCATGATATAGATTGTACTAAGATCATGAAGATATCTTCCTCATACTTTCATCTTAAAGATGTAATTGTAATTCATAGCTTTCTGATGTCTTTCAATCATTTGTTAGGATTAGGGGTTTATACTTTGTACAAACAACATTAGTTAGGATACATAAGTATTTTAAGAACACTTGCCAAATGGTCAAATACAATGTGTTTGAGATTAAATATATATATTTTTTTTGGAATATGTAACTAATAGGGTTCCAAAGATTATAGATCACATTTCATATTATGATAGGATATGTAATCAAATCACCATATTAATATGTTTTAGCAGAGAAAACACCCAAACCAATATGTTCGAGTACCAAGTGCAATGGTGCTGGAGTAACCCATCATATACTCCGAGGCAAACCTCGAATCACACCTTCAACATAGTAATTAGGTTTCTTCTAACATTTGATACGAGGGACTCTTTTACATATAAATATTCAGATTTTAATATAACCACTATGTTTGCGAGTTGGTAACTAAACATGTTCTCTGATCCAAACAAAGTCACTTATGACAAAGATTAGTAACTTTTGATTAGCAAAAAAAAAATGTATAGTAATAAATTAGTTAAATCAAACATAAGAGACTAATCATAGCGTGATGTCACTCATCTAATAAAAAAACATAGTTGGTCTAAGCCAATGGCAAGTAGTCACATCGACAACCACTTGTACAGTCTACCCAAGAACCTACCAACCTTGGCAAAGACTACAAAAAGTCACAAAACTTTTCTGACGATTAAGTCATATAACCACCACATGTGATTTGATTGACTTTAAAACCATGAAAGATTTTAAAAAGAGTGATATGTATATTTCTAATATCTTGTTCTTAATTACTTTTGATTTCGTGGTATAATAGTTTGGTCTTTGGTGTGAAGTAATAATAAGTGGGCTTCATAATAAAAAGGCCAAGCCCATATCCAAAATAAGAATAAGTCCAACGGCTCATCAAAGAAGATCAATGTAAGAGAAATCGATCACCGGGAAGATTCCGGTTCCGATGAGATCTTGTGATCGGTTGGAGGAAGCGCTGTTGCAGTGCCACCGTCGGATGCCGGAAGGACCGGCGAGGAGATCAGGTTGCAGACATTTGAACAAGGCGTTTGCGGAGTGCGTGGTGGGGGAGGCTTGTCCGGAGGAATCAGAGGCGGTGAGGTCACTTTGCTCAAGCGGCGGGACAAGCCTCAAGCGTAAACAGTGCGAGGACGCTCAGCTTTCACTTTCTCTCTGTCTCTCTCGTCATCAGAGACAATTTGAACAGCGGTAGATAAGAAAGGAGTTATTTTTATATAATGGTGGTCTTGTTGTTGAAGCTTCTTGGATGTGGTAAGCTTTGTAATTGGGAAATTTAGGGATTACAAAGTCTGATTCTTTCTGCATCTGTTGGAGATGAGATCATGAATATCAAATGGTCCTTATATGGGTTTGCTATAATGAATTGGGTTTAGTTTGTAAATGCTGTAATGAAGCAGGAGACACATGATGGTGGGAACTTACTGCAACTTTGTGGTTTTGGTTACTTGGTATCTCAATCTTCAATTGTCTAATCAATTATGATACATACTTGGATGCTGCTTCTAATGAATTGGATTGGATAGTTAGAATCATTTCCTTTTGCTAGTCATTACAATGTACATGTATTCAGAAATGAGACTAATTCTGATCTCAGTAAGATAGATGTTGGAATCAATCAGTTCAGCTTCTGTTGCTTGCGAGTGTGATCAATCAACAAACAATCTCAGGGTCTATTGGTAAAACACTACAGTATAACATGTTGTTCATACATCATTTACCTTTGTTTTCTTTTAGTCCTGTGAATTTTCATGATATCACCACAAAAATTCCATCTTTGTAATTTTTTTTAGATAGTGTTCAATAAACTATCTGTTTTTTCCGTCTTTATTCTTTATATCAGCTTTGGGACTCTCTCGGCCGTATATACAATAAAAAACCAAAACCTGACAAAATTTGAAGTAACTGAGAAAATTCTCCGGCGACACCGATGGGAAGGTCTTTAATATTCTCGGGAAACATGTCAATGAGAATCTCGAACTTACACAAAGTCCCATCTCTTCCGTTGCAAAACTCATTTTCATGCCGGACAGTAACCAGGAATTTCCGACATGGGTGTTCGAGGATTTTGTCTAATAGCTTCAAGTCCACGACGAGGCTTCAAACAAAAGCTGTTGTTTCTGAAGTTTCTGATCAGACGCATTATCCAAGAATCGGAGCTAAAACCACCGGAACTATATCGCCGGCACATCTCCTTGAAGTCGTTGAACTCGCCGCTAAAACCGGTGCTGAGGTTCGAAATTTCATGTCTTTACAATACAGTAGCCAAATTTATGTTTATTAGACAACTGATTTTAATAAAGCTCATAATAAGAGTCGAAACTGTGTTCAATGGTATTTAAATCGAGTTCTTTAGGTGCATAGAGCAGAAGGAGAAGAGTAAAAAAGCTGACTTGAATTGAATCATCTGGTTTGGCAGGTGGTCATGGAAGCTGTAAATAAGCCAAGGAATATCACTTATAAAGGCCTCACTGACTTAGTAACTGAGTAAGCACTTTAAACATAGGGGCCTTCAGCTTTTAAAGTTGCTAGCTTGTGTAGTAGATGTTGAGGTTTATTTGTGTTCATGTTGACTTCATTGTCTGAAGCATTAAAGTGTTAATATCTGGTGAATTTGTAGTACTGATAAAGCTAGCGAGGCTGCTATTTTGGAAGTAGTGAAAAAGAATTTTAGTGATCATCTGATTCTTGGAGAGGAAGGAGGTATTATCGGCGATTCGTCTTCTGATTATCTCTGGTGCATTGATCCTCTAGGTTTTGCTCTCTTTACGAATCTCGTTGCTTTCTCTTCATGTGTGTGGAATCTCTGAGAATTGAGTAATCATTTCTTCCGTTTATGTGTAGATGGAACAACAAATTTTGCTCATGGGTATCCTAGTTTTGCGGTTTCTGTGGGTGTTCTGTATCGCGGGAATCCCGCTGCTGCTTCAGTGGTAGATCTAACTTTATACTTACACAAACTAGCTATAACTTATTACAGTTCCTCTCTGCTGATTCTTTGATCAATATGATAAGTAAGAAACCGAAACTTTCATCATGTAGGTAGAGTTTGTCGGTGGTCCAATGTGTTGGAACACTCGAACCTTTTCTGCAACTGCAGGTACAATGTGACCAGCTTATTATGTTCGTCTAGTTTGGTTCTGTATATAAGATTCAGCTAACTTAGTTCAGTTCTTAGGTGGTGGAGCATTGTGTAACGGGCAAAAAATTCATGTCAGTAAAACCGATTCGGTAAGTAACTTATCAGGAATTCAATTTAGTTTCGACATGGTGTGTGCAAAATGGTTTTGGTTTTATTACATATCTATCTATACGGGTTTGATTGTAGGTGGAGAGAGCACTTCTTATCACAGGGTTTGGGTATGAACATGATGATGCGTGGAGTACTAACATGGAATTGTTCAAAGAGTTCACTGATGTGAGTCGGGGAGTGCGAAGGCTCGGTGCTGCAGCAGTTGACATGTGTCACGTGGCACTCGGGATTGCAGAATCATACTGGGAGTATCGTTTAAAGCCATGGGACATGGCTGCTGGTGTTCTTGTAATCCTCTATTCCTTTTCATCGTACTTTTATATCTTCTTATGAAACTACATATGTTGGAGAGCTGTATCGATGTCTTAATTCGGACGCAGATAGTAGAGGAAGCTGGAGGAGCTGTGACTCGGATGGACGGAGGGAAGTTTTCTGTGTTTGATAGGTCTATTTTGGTGTCCAATGGCGTTCTTCACTCTAAGGTTTAATGAACTGTTAATACTTTTGTTAATGCTTTTAATATGTTATGTTTAGAGATCAGGGATGACATATTTCTTGTTGAATCATTGTAGCTTCTGGAGAGAATCGCACCCGCAACTGAGAATTTGAAGTCGAAAGGAATCGATTTCTCATTGTGGTTTAAACCAGAAGATTATCACACTGAACTTTAAAACTTGTTTAAGAAAGGTACCTTTTTGCTACAAGGCTTCGCTTTCATTTACATAATTATGATCTAAAGAAATAAATCGTCGAAATTTGAGGTATAACATTTGTGTTCGGACTATTAAAATCGACAATGATCATATATTCATATTCTGTTACACTTCGTGAACAAAGGCTTCATGGATCAACAGACCAGTCTTCCATCGTCCAGTCCAAACCTCATATAGACCAAACTGAAGCTTAGTATCTTGGGTAAGCGTTGTGGGACTAACCGAGATTTCAAACCGGCCATCGGACTCGTCAGGTATGTTGACGGGTTCTGATCCAACTTTCAGTTTACCAAAGTTCTGTTGAACGGATTTGATTCTTTTCCACATCGTCTTGCCTTTCTTCCCGATTTTAGCAGACATACAAATTGGTGCTTTGTCCCAACCTGTCGCATCCGGTTTAAACGAGATTTTAAAACCGATTTGGTATGTTTTTCCGGGTTCAATCTTCTCGAAAGAACCGGTTACCTCTAACCAACTCACCATCTTCAGCTCAGCAGGCATCCTAAAACCAACAATAAAATACAAATTAATCGGTTTAAGACTTTTCGATATCAGTAAGCCGAAGTTGGTGTATCGGTTTGAAGATAGAATGAATCGGAAGGTACCTTGGTTCTTTAGGGATAACCCAATATCTCAAGTCACCTCCCCAAACAAAGTTAAGACCCCTCGGTTGTAAAACCCATGCTTTTCTATTGCTCTGCACAATTTAACAAGAAGTTGACAAACATTTGGTTATTTCTTATTTAAAAAGATTGTCTTCAGGAGCAAAAGAAACTCACATCCTGTTCCATTTTGGAGTCAGCCTTATGGTGCGAACTCTTTTGTGAAGACATTTTCTAGTTTTTGTTTTTTCACTTAAAAGAATATATCTCTCGACTCTTGAAATGAGCTTTATATAGACTTTTATTTCATGTCGAGAAAACAAAGAATGATTGAGACAGAAGAAGGTGAAATATAAACTCAGAATCCTGAGCTTTTCTTTAACCGGAGGGACAAAGTAATAAAAAATGCTTGAAAGGCCAATATAAGACAAAGCATATATCAACAACTTGTTGCACTTCATCTCATTAAGAATCATACACAGTTATGTTTCTGAAACCACTTGACACTCTTTCTTTATTCTCTAAAGGAATGAATCTCAAGTCACTTTGGAAGGTCAACTTTTGGTTCTGTCGTGTGAGGTTTAACGTAAAATTGTAATTTAACAACAGTTACCGGAATTATAAATTTTGAAAGGATTCGTTAAAGTCGAACTTTGTCTCTTTCACAAAAGTATTCAGCATTCACTAGTAGGCTTGTAAGTAGCTAACCCAACAAGGTAACAGCCACGACTCTTGTTGAATCCCAACGAGAGCCCGGTATGAGTAAAATTTCAACATAATCAGAACAGATTTTTAAAGAAAAAGCTTCAAAAGAGAGTTATCAATCTCAATGACCACCTCTGTTTTGAGCTCCGAAATGACTGAAACTCCACTAGACACTAGTCCTATAGTCAAAAGCAAAAAATAAGCACTCACAGGGACGAACTTCATTGCCGTTTTATCTTTCTCTTTACTCAGTCGCATACTTTCTCCCAGTCATCAACCACTGAAGTCTCTTCAGGTTGCTTACCAGCAGCTTCCGAACTACTTGTCCCTTCGGTCTGAGCTAGCGGCTCCACTGAGACAGCCTTATCTGACTCGAGTATGGTCCAACGGTTGGGAGTGATCAAATCGCTATCCTTTGCTGTTTTCCACATAGACCCTCCAATGGGAGAATCCTCTGTTTCCCAAGAGTCATCTAATTCCTTAACCACCGCCTTATTCCAAGGATTTCCTTTCTGAACCGAGCTACCCGGTATTCCCCATGCGTTACTGAGAGATGGAGATTGTCCTGGGTTCTGTACAACAACAACCGCTCCTTGGTACACAGAACCGTGTTCAAGCCTTCTCATGGCAGTGGCTGCTCGAGCTGGATCGTGGAAGACGGCTAATGCATTCTTGTCATTCAACCAAACAAGCTCGCATTCACCTCCAAATCTCAGAACCAAGGCACTGATGTTAGCTTCCCTTGGGAGATCAAAAAAACAAACCACGAGTCGAGAATCCATATCAACCAGTGGATCAAAGGCTGGTGCATGGGGCGCGCCTACTGAGATAACACCTTTAACTCCAATGATCCTTGTAGGGGGTTTTGACTTCTGTGTAACGTAAACCACTACAAAGCGTTTTGGTTCCCACCCGGCATTGCTTACAGCAAGTTTCCACCTTTCAGCTATCAACCGTACTGCATCTCTTTTATCCTTTTCCATAGTACAGAAGATATGGAGCTTTAGGGAGCTAATTGTGCTACCTCTGGCCTTTCCAAGTACCAAAAACTTGCATCGCTCCTCAACTGCTAGCACCCACTTGGGGTCACGTCTATAAAGATCTAAAATTACCTCAGTCATGGCAGTATTCTCACCAAAATGTAAAGCGTCTAAATTTGGAGGAGTGATATCAAATGCATCTTGAAGAACCCGCTTACGCTCCAGCTTAGCACACTCCTCATCACAAGTAAGCTTTCTCTGCCCAAGAGGGATCCTATTCCCATTTGACTCGACAGGTTGGAGCGGCACTGGAAGCTTCTGCAAAATGGAGGTTTCATAGATAGAGTCACCACTAAAACCACCAGCACTTCCTCCAGCATCACAAGGGACGGTAGCTGTTATGCGACCACATGAACAAGTAATTTTGAGTGGAAACTCACATCTCTGATCAGGGCAAGGCGCAGAAGGATGACACAGCGCTGCACATGTGTGTCTGCAGTCTCTTCTAGGAGCACCACACGTCTGACCACAAGTTACACGCAGACCAGTTACAGATGCGTTACCACCATTGTCACAAGGTTCAGGGTGACACGTCCTGGCACAAGCATGCATGCCACAACACCTTGTTTTTCCGCATATTTTGTTACACCTAATGTCTTTTAACCCACACGGTATATTCCTGAGAACCACATGACCACCAATGCATTTCTTCTCCACGGGTACTGAACAAGGCATGCAGTCTCCAAAATGGCAACCATGCGTCGCGGAATGGCCACAAGGCTGAGGAACTGAGCAAGGAAGCTGACAACTCGGGACAGGTGTTCCACATGGTAATGGAGGAGGTATCGAAGTTTTTCCGCAAGCACATGCAAGATCAGTGAAAATCATCTCAAGGCAAGGAGGACAGTGACCAGTGTGACATAGAGTTTCACAGGAATGTTGTCCACACCTTAGCCTCTTTCCACAAGGTATATGGCAAAAGTGGAGATCAGAATCGCCTGACAAATCATCATTCTTTGGGTGGTTCAAGAGAGGGCAGCACCGCTCACTACATCTATGCCTCCCACAGTTTTTCTTACGGCCACATGGTTTGGCGCAAATGAACTTCTCGGTCTCTGAAACTGTTTTGTAGCATTCCACAGTTCGGGATGTTGAACCGCACCGACATTTTTGCCTCACTTGGACTAAACAAGGCGAACAACCACCTGGATGGCACATCTCATTGCAGTTATGCAACCCACAAGGAAGAAGCTTGCTGCAAATGTTTGAGCAAGAAGGAATTGGATCAAGGCAACTCTGCCTCTCCTCTTCCAAACTCGTTTTCCCACAATAGCATGCCTTAATTCTACTAGGCAGGAACTCACAGTCCCCACAAGGCCCAGGATGGCAAACATCACGACATTCATGGTTTCCACACTCAAGCTGTTTTCTGCAGTTTAGTTTGCATGAAAAGACGCCATCTTCTGCTGTCACCTCTCCTTTCACATTCATTTCACCACAAATTACACTCTCCACCGTTTTCTTGCAAAAGCAGGAGGCATTGACTTGTACCTGACAACTATCACAAGGGCCTACATGACATGCCCTTTCACATCGATGACGACCACAATTAAGAAGCTTATCGCAACTCTGCCCACAAGTAAGATCATATTTTCTTTCGGAGCATCTAGTTCTGATCATCTTCTTCCCGCATGGACAATTACGAGGTGGGGCAAACGCCTTGCATGGAGGGCATGGACCAGGATGACACTGCAATACACAAACATGAGGACATGTATTTTCTTTAACAGTTGCAGCTGTCGCAAATTCTTTCTCCAGCGGCTTCCCACAGATATCTCCACAAGAGTGAGGAGTCAGATACGGATCACTAGGTGGGTCTTTCCTCTTTCCACAAAAGCATCGATATTGTATCTCCTTTGACGATGTTAACTGAACAAACTGACAACCTGGACATCTCCAATTACTACCTTGGTTTTTATCCGCCAACAAATCAACCGAAGTTGGTGCTCGAGCCCATTTCTTAATACAGTTCAGATGGAATATAGAGTAACAACTGGAGCAAGACCAGATATTAGCAGACCTTCTAACCATGTCATAACAAATCATACACTCAATAGAACCCTTCATTAGCTTATCCTGTATCTCTTGCAGAAGTTGAGGCAGATTTGGGTCTGTCATCATAGTATTCTCGTTATGTTTATTCCTTTCTCTATCCAACCCTGTTCCCTCATTCCCAGTCCGGGGCAAGCGACCCCTATCCCCACCTCTCTGACGGTTATCCAGTACAGGTCTCGAAACATTGTTTCTCCTTTGGCGGCTATAAGAAGGAGGACCTGGGACATTACTCCTTTGACGCGGGTCATTGAGCAGAGGAGCAGACTCATAGTGCTGCCTTTGCTGATAAACAGGACCAGGTCTAGCACCAGCATCATCAAGGTTTCCCGAATTTGTATTTGCATCAAGAGGAAAGGGAGTCTCATTTACAACCACGGAGGTAGAGGAGGTTCCTCTAGGAACCCATGTTTGCTGGGTAGTTCGAGAAGTGAACCTTGGCCTTTCTCTCCGATCCCTCCTGACTTGAGAGCTCATTATCTTTCACTCCACAAACAAAACAACAGAAACCAGAATCTGTACCAACCGTCAGCTCATGGATCATGAAATCCCTAGTTTCTGGACAACAAAGACAATGAAAAAAGCTCAGGTTTTTCTCGCAATCAAAGCAATCTCGAAACCCAGAAACCAGAACAAATCATAATATCTACAACGATTTGAAAGAATCTAAACGAAGTACATCGGCGATAAAATGCTGAAATGTTCCTCATTCTTTGGAATCTCAAAGGTAATACACGAGAGTCCCTTTCTAGTTCCTGTTTTCTAAAGAAATTTCGGAAATCCATAGCTACCAAGGTATAATCTCGCTTCAAATGCAAGCATTGGGATAATAAAACAACGCACACACAGAGACCGATTCACAGAACCAATGGTGAGAAAAGAAAAGGTACCTGAGAAGACGACGGAGAAGAAGAAACACACAACGAACGAAGACGACAGGAGACAAAATTAGTCTCTCGATTTCTCAGAGAGAGACAGAGAGAGCGAGACGTAGGAGAAAACGGAGTGAAGAGTAAGGAGATCTTTCTTTGTTGAACCGTCTCGTTTCAATTGGGCCGTGTTGAGCCAATGGGCCTTGTGAAATCGTATCGCTCTCATTGGGCGCTGTTTTTTTTATGCTAAACGGCACGCAGTATGGTAATATATTTCTAAGACGGCACGGTGTTTTCTTAAAATCCCTTTTTGAAAGCAGGACTTCAAATGCTTGAAAGTTGAAACGGACCAGTCTCCGTCACTTGTTCCGACAAAAAACTCCGATTAGAGCGTCGGAATTTCAATGGAATCACGGGTTTTGTTCTCGAGTCAACTCTACTACCCGGCGAGTCCGCCAATTCAGACTCGCGAGACCTCTTTTGCTCCTTCGTTGGCGCCTTCCCGGAATGTTCTCTCCTTCTCTTCCCCAAGTCCCGCAGGCCGATTTGCGATGAGGATCGGACCACTTGTAAAAGCTGCTTCATTTGCACCAATAGTAGCAGAGCTTGATGTTTCGAGAGATGGAGTAAGAAGGAAGAAGCTTGCTGTGTTTGTGTCTGGAGGTGGTTCCAATTTCAAGAAGATTCATGAGGGATGCAGTGTTGGTTCAGTTAAAGGGGATGTTGTTTTGTTGGTCACTAACAAAAAAGGTTTTGCCTTTCTTCTTTTTAAGTTTCTCTGCGTTGGTTCTTCGAGTCAATAAATCAGTTACAAGAGTCATGTGCATCTATTTGAATAGGTCTGTGCATCGATTTGTATGTTTTTGAAGCACTGAGTAAGCAATACTTGTTTATGTTCATCAATTCCAGATTGTGGAGGTGCTGAGTATGCAAGAAGTAATGGCATTCCTGTTTTAGTATTCCCAAAAGCGAAACGAGAACCATCTGATGGACTCTCTCCTACAGAGCTTGTGGATGTTCTTAGGTTTCATCTCTCTCCATATTTGTTTGTTAACTTCATCACCCTTATGGATGGTGTTACCTCTTTGTCGAAACTGATATATGTCTCTTAACATTGGCGTACTTAATAGGGAATATGGTGTAGACTTTGTTCTTCTAGCTGGATATTTGAAACTTATACCGGTTGAGTTGGTGCAAGCTTTTCCTAAACGGATTCTAAATATTCATCCTGCGCTTCTTCCGGCTTTCGGAGGCAAAGGGCTTTATGGTGAGAGAGTGCATAAAGCTGTTCTGGCATCGGGAGCTAGGTAAAGTCGCATACTCATACAATGTTACTGATGTTTAGTTTCATTCTTTTCTTATGTGCAAGAAACTATGAAACTGGTTCATTATGTAGGTATTCAGGTCCGACAATTCACTTTGTCGATGAGGAGTATGACACAGGGCGTATACTTGCTCAAAGTGCAGTCCGGGTGAATGCTAATGATACAGCAGAGGAATTGGCCAAAAGGGTTCTTCATGAGGTACTACTAAAGAATAGTTGTGAACATTACATTTCACAAATTAGAAACTTCAATTCGTTTTTTTTCCATTTTGGGCTTAGGAACACAAACTCTATGTCGAAGTGGTGGCTGCGATCTGCGAAGAACGGATTAAATGGAGAGAAGACGGGGTCCCTCTCATTCAAAGCAAAGAAAGCTGTGACGAGTATTATTAGATCCTTGACAAATGAACTTCCACCAAATTGGATCTCAGATTAGTTCCATTTTCAAAGCAGAGTGTTTCAACCTTAGGTTATAGTCTTCAGGCTGTAGAAGAAGTTTTTACCCAGAGTATAGTTTGAGAAATGTTTCTGAAGCTCAAGTTTTGTTTCAGTTGGGTCGGAATAATAAGGAAGGAGCTGATATTAGAGCCAAGAGACAGCATTTCAATGCTTGTGTTGTATAATGCCAAAAGCCTTATTCAATTTTTACCTAAAGTGTTTTATTACCAAATAGGTTTATTTCATCTATAAGAATCAAAATCTCTAAAATCCAAATTACAGACTCTAGCATGTAGAAACAGGGTTCGAACATTAGATTTGTTCCTAGAAGAAATGATTGTGTTAAGATGGAGCCCCCAGATAGAATGCAAGACGAAGAATGTCACTGAATATTCCACCGGCTGTGACTTGAGCACCAGCACCAGGTCCACGAATAATCAGAGGCTGTTCTTTGTACCGCTTGGTCGTGAAAGCAATGATGTTATCCGCACCCGAGAGCTGAGCAAACGGATGATCTTTCTTATACCTTTTCAACTCGACCGTTCCCTTTTTCTCTACCGCGTCTACAACTCCTACATATCTCAAGACCTAAAAACAGACAACACAACAACACAATCTGAAATGAGTTCTTTTCGAGGTGGTGAAGTCGTTTAACATGAGTTTTGCTAAGAGGCACTACTTACTTCTCCAGCAGCTTCAGCCTCTTGTCTTTGTTTGGACAATTCTTCATCAAACTGAGGTAGCTTCTCCATGAACTCTTCTGCTGATGCACAAGCCTGTGATGAACATTGGAATAGAATACTGAAGTGTGAAAAGGATTATCTTTATTGATGATCAAATTAATACTGTGATTATACAGAGACTTACTTGTAGAGGCTTTGGCACAAGACTCTGAACTGGGAGGCCGTCAAGATCCAATCTTAAGCCTGATTCTCTGGCAAGAATTGTCACCTGCAGAAGTAGAAGGTGTAATACAAGAAGGTTCAAAATCATTTAAATGGTAGACCAGAAGGTGTGCACGATATGATGACAAAAACCGTACTTTTCTGGCAACATCTGTTCCAGATAGATCATCTCGTGGATCTGGCTCTGTGAAACCTGCCTGCTTTGCTTCTGCTACAACTTCACTGAAGCTTCTGGTGCCGACAAAATTGTTGAAAAGGTAACTTAACGTACCACTGTAGGAAGGCATCAAAACAAAATATTAGTGTGAAGATGCAAAGCCAGCTAATTCTTTTGTTATCGGAACAAATTGTTGTGGTACCAAGCTGAACAGGAGATACCTGAAAATGCCCTCAATCCGCAGTATTTTATCCCCTGTTTCGAGCAGGCCACGTAAAGTGCTGATAATTGGAAGACCAGCTCCAACGGTTGCTTCATAGAAGTAATGTGTGTACGATTTTCTTTGAAGATCTCTTATCTTTAGATACTGCATTTACAGGAAAGTGTTACCAACTAGCTAGTGTCTCTGTTCATAGAATCCCATAACCTCAACAGATATATACTCAACAAGAACAGATTTGAAGCTTGCATTTTAACAGTCACTAAAGCAAATATCAAACTCTTAACCTGATCAAGTGGTCCTGAGTTAGCCTTTTTGTTCGGAGTGACAACATGAATTCCTCGTAGCAACCAGTCGTAGTAACAGCTAGCGATATCAGCATCGGCCGTACAATCAACCAGAACAGAGTTTGGAATGAAATGATTTCCCTTCACATATTGGGTGAACTTCTCCATGTTAGATGTTTCTCCCTCTTCTTTCATCAGTTCTCTCCATCTTGATAAGTCAATTCCCCTAAAACATGATGATTGTGTAAGGATTACAGCAGTGATGCAGTTCACCTAAAAATATTGAATCAATTTCGTTGACTTACGATTCACTCATCAACATTTTACTTGAGCCAGTGATCCCTATAACACGCAAGTCAATTTTGAACTCTTCTTTGAGCACTGCAGCCTGTGAAAAGAAATTCAAAGATGATTCAGCTTGAACCTAGGTCCATATACAGTATAACTATAATCTCACGTATACACATCAGATACTCACCTGGTCTCTAATCTGATCAAGTAAGGTTCCACCAATCAATCCTGGTCCTATGATCCCCACAGCCAAAGTGGTTCTCGAAAGGTAAAATCTTGAGTGCACAGCTCTTAATGCCCTAATGCAATCTTCACGCTTGACGACTACTGTAATATTGAATTCAGAGCAACCTTGAGCTATAGCACGAATGTTGATATTGGCCTGCAGGTATTTAGGAATGGCAAGGTATCATTAGAGCTTCTAAGCACAAAAAGGACATGAAATGGATGATAGAATAGTCGTTCGATTTTCTTTGCAAACACTACACTTCGCTTACCTTTGCTAATGCATTGAAAAAAGTGGCAGACACACCAGGAGTGCTCGCCATTTTCTGGCCAACTGCTGCTAATATGCTACAATTGGGGATGATTTCAATCTGAAAAGAAAAAAAACAATTAAATCATAGGTTGAGAAAAATAGCCGATGCCTAAACAAGAATCCTGTTGATTTGCTAAAAGAATAGCTATTGGAAATCCTACAACGAACAAGAGAGATCTAAAGGCACCTGGGAAAGGCGGCCACCAGTCAAAGCTTGACGAAATCGGGAATTCAATGCTTCAGAAACAGCTTTCACTTCCTTCTCAGGTACAGCAAAGCATACAGAATGCTCGCTACTAGCCTGCATTTATGTATATTATTAAGAACCTACAATTGACAAGGGAAAACATAAACAATGAAAGAAGTCAGAAAGTTAAACTAGATAACCTGTGAGATCATAATCACATTAGCTCCAACTTCCTTAACAGCAGAAAAAATGGCACTGGCAGTACCAGGAACACCAGCCATTCCAGTTCTATAAAAAAGAAAGCAAAGTTTGTATAAGATATAAAATAAGCAGCGATGTGTAACACAATATCCACCATCAGCTCACCCTTCTACATTTACAAGAGCCAAATTGTCAATCGTCGCAAACCCTTTGACAGGAGCGTCTAATTTATATCCATCTTCATCATCAGTCTGCCGACATATCATTGTTCCAGGGGCAGAGAGGTTGAAAATATTCCTTATTACAATTGGGATGTCATATTTCATCACTGGAATAATGGTCCGGGGATGCAAAACGTTTGCCCCAAAGTAAGACTGCGCAGGCATATCAACATACATGTTAGGTGTAAACAAAGACTCTGGAACACTAGGCATTTAAACAAGTACAAGAGGTTGGAAAATTACCATTTCCCAAGCTTCTTGATAAGAAAGAGTCTTCAGTACAACAGCTTCACTAACTGCAAAATGTATTCATTAGTATAATAATTGACAAACATAACACATGACTGTCATGGGTCAATAACTAGTCCTCGATATATGGCAATAAAATGTATGCTTGCACAAACCTTTCCTTGGATCTGCACTGAACACACCATCGACATCTGTCCAGATTGTGAGTTGGTGAGATCTAAACAGTGCACCCATTATAGCTGCAGAGAAGTCACTCCCATCCCTCTTGAGAGTTGTAGGAATGTTTTGTGGTGTACTGGCTATGAAGCCAGTTGCTATAATAATCTTTGCCGAGTTCAGGGAAAACCACTTTTCCAGTCTCTTTTCTGATTCCACAAAGTCAGGATCGACTTGATTAGTGCTTGTTGGACTAACAACAAGCACATCCCTTGCATCCATCCAAGTGCAGTCTAATCCACTCTTTAAGCAAAATACACACAAGCATGTAAGAAAGGTAAAAGTACAGACCAGCTAGTTTTTCTTAATCAGGATTTTCTCGCAGCATATGATATAGGACTTCATACCTTTCTCACAACAGCAGCTAACATCTGAGCAGACCACAACTCTCCATGACCCACAACAAAGTCTGAGAAAGATTCTGTGGCATGACCAGCTGCAGAGATAGAAGAGTTCATAACAAGAGGAATAAGATTTCAGGAGAACATATACCAAATCTAATTCAACTACTTAAACTCAATATGCAATTAGCATTGAAAAGGAGAAAACAAAACCAGTACCTATATAAATGGCACGAAGCATTGCTTTGAGATTGTTTACATCATCATTTAACCGAACCAAGAAACTATCGAGTTCATCTCCATCAAGTAAGTCAACAGCCGTGGCTCGGTGCTTTTCAAGAACACCGCTCAAAGCAGACAGGTAGGAATCATCCCTAGACTGTGCTCTATGAATGAGATCATACATCATATCAGTGACTTTCGCCATTGCTGAAACAACAACCAACTTCCTCTCAGAGGCATCCTTAACTACAACATCAGCAACATCCTTTATCCTCTCTGAGTTTCCCACACAAGTTCCTCCAAATTTGTGTACAGCCCACGAATCTCCTTTGGGAAGATGACCATTCTCCACAGAATTATCCAACGCTAAATCTATTCAAAGAAAACAAAGAAAACGCAAATCACCATCAACACAACAACAATCACCAATTCTCTCAAATAACAAGCAAAATCAACGTCGGAATTTCAAACCTGTGACGGAACCTAAGACACGAGGACTCTGCAATTCGCTTCTTACGCAATGACCTATACAACTCCGGCGCCTCAAATTCCCGAAAGAAACACGATTCGACACGAGTCGTTTCCCATAAATGAACGGAGCACGAACCGTGAAATCTCCGGCCACCGCCGGAGAAGTAACAACCTTAGCCAGAGAAACCACCGGCATATTCTAAAAAAGAAATTCAAATTCGATTGCTTAAGTCAAAACTCAAAACCAGTGGATTACTCACTTCATACAACGACTAATTGAAAAATTAAAATGACAAAACAATAATCATACCGTAGCTCAGTCAAACACTACCGGAGGTTTATCAAAACGAACCGGAGAAGAAGACACCGCCGAGATCGAAGAGCCAACAAACTCGAAAACAGTGGCAGTTTCAGTAAATTTTGGGAAGCAAGGCGACTTGTTTTTGTTATATATGAATCACATATAGTGGGGACTGGTGGTAATGAAACAGTGGTACCTCTCAAAACTTGATAGCCAACACGTGTACGTATTGGATTACTTCTTCTAAAACATGGACGGTGAAGATCAATTTGAATCTTTATGAAAATGAATGTTAGAAAAAGACTGCACAAATGCGTCTATACAAGCCACACTAGAGTCAAGTGGCTTATAAAAACTTTACAAATAATTTGGTGAAAAGAAAAACACACGAAATTTCTGCTTTTCATTTACATTTTCTAATCCACCAACCTATAGTTTCCATTATTTTTACTTTTATAGAGGGAAAAAATGTTATTTCCCTATGCAATTAAGAAAAAAAATGAAACAAACTAATCTTTAATAGAAACACCTAATCAAGTGCTCAATAGTATGAAAATAACCATACTATCAAATTATTATCAATAGTATAAAAAATATAGTAACCACAATATCAATAGTATATAAAAACAGCAACTGGTGCGCTGAAACTTTCAGAGATGCAGCTCGTGCGGTATAACACCAATTAGCAAAGTGCACGGTTCCTCAAAACGTCTCCGGTTCGAATCCATCTTACACGTCTCACGGGTTTGTATTATTTTTAAACTTAAATCGGCCACTCGCCGGCACTGTAAAAATATTCATCTATAATTTTCTTCTTCACCTCAACATCACGGCCAGATTCACCACCGTCATTATCCCGCCACCTCTCAATTCTGGTATCACCACCACCAGGTCCACCACCACCAATACTATTATCTCGTTCCATTTTGAATCTAACTCTCGCTCTCCTCTGTGGTAATTTTCCGGCGCTTCTACCACCTCTAAAACTCTTAGATTTCAAACTCTCACGATCAGTAACGGAATCAGAGTTTTCCCACAAGTGATGATATTCAGATCTATCAATCTTGGTACACCGATCGGAGTAGAGACTAGCGTCAGGAAAAGGCGGAAGCCAAGCTGGAACATACTTCACCTCCACCGCCGCGTGATCCAAATCTCTTCCCGATGATCCGTTTCTTTCCGGCTTCGGTAACGGCTTAGCGAAAGGGATCTCAGGAGCATACTTGACGAAATCGGAGAGGTTACGGAGAACAGCGGATTTGATCAAACACTGTGATTCAATATCGTGGACGGTAGAGCCGCCGGGGAAACAATCGGAGGTGGATAAAGCGATGTCTTGTAAGCCGTTGACGATGTCGAAGAGATTAGCCTCCGTACGATTAGCGGCGTTCGAGAACGACGAAGCGAGTCCGGCGAGGGATTGTAAGAATTTGGCTGTGATTTGGGTTAGAGTGTTGAGAGCGGATGAATCGGCGGATTTGTATCCAGTAGATTGGCAGATTTGACTGACGGCGATTCTGGTGAGTGAGAAGGTGAAATCCGCCGTGGTTGTCGGGGATTGGTCGGAGGGTTCTTCGAATTTGAGTTTGGAGTTACGGCGTCGCTTCATTGGTGGTGGAGATTTTTGAGAGGATCGAGAAAGAAGGAGGCGAATTTGTAAAAAGCTTGATATTTTTTTAAAGAACCCTAAAATACTTTGTGAGATTCGAACCGGCGTCGCTTTGGTTATTAGGTGATTCTTCTTTTTAATATACTCAGCACGTACGAACCACGAAGCCAAGATCTTATTACATCATAATTATCAATTTAAAGAAAATAAATAGTATTTGAATATAATAAGCAAATATCTTATTACATCAAATGGTGAGAGTCATGGTAACACAATCTTTGGATTATGATTTCGATCGCCAATCAAATCTACAAGACTATTCTTCAGTTCAATGATGCTGTGGAAATTCATAATTAACATGACTTGGACGAGGGTTCCATGAGTTCAACTAGAGGATCGGTTTACAGTTTTTCTAATTTTTTCCGGATTTACAGTTTTTATAAATCATTGTTAATCTTGAGCTCTGTTTCTAATTTATAAATTTTATAGGAGAAAAAATTTTGTTTCAAAATTATATATAATTTAAATTATTGAAGTATTGGTTTAGAGTTCAAAAAATTGTATATCACAAAAAATAATGCAGTTGTAATCAATTTTTAGTTTTTTTTTTAATACGTGTAAAAATCTAAAAAATAAATCAATTAGAAACAAAGGGAGTAAGTTATAAGTGTAATTAATACTAGATTTGACCAAAGATACAAATAATAGTATTGACAGAGTGGACATTGGTTACTCTTTTTTCTTATATCTAAACTCATTTGCATTTTACGTTTTATAATATTCAATAATAATTACCTATATACACACCATAAGTTATATATGTAGACAATCATATTGGTCTAAATATTGTTGTTGACAAAAAAATAAATCATATAGGTCTAAACCATTTAGAGGTGGACCATATGTTTTGATTTTTTTTTTTTGAAAAGATTGATTGTGATGTGACAAGCAATGTCATTTAGAAATCGATTTCATAATTATTAAAGAAAAACATCAACTGGTCGTTTTATTAATATTAATAAATTATACGATGAAAGAAAAACTTTGATAATGATGTCTCCAAATCTCATTGAAGAGGAATTATGCCTCCAAGTACCAACGAAAAAGGAAATGCTAGGAGGTGTGCATCCAAATCTCAGGGAAGGGGAGAGGTTAAAAGTTGTGCCTCAAAGTTTCAACGAAGGAGAAGCATTGGGAGTTGTTCCTCCAACTCTAAGCGAAGGGGAAGCATTCGGAGTTGTGCCTCCAAGTCTCAGCGAAGGGGAAGCATTCGGAGTTGTGCCTCCAAGTCTCAGCGAAGGGGAAGCGTTGGGAGTTGTGCCTCCAAGTCTGAACGTAGGGGAAACGTTGGGAGTTGTGCCTCCAAATCTCAACGAAGGGGAGGCATTGGGAGTTGTGCCACCAAGTCTCAACGAAGGCGAAACGTTGGGAGTCGTGCCTTGAAGTCTAAGCGAAGGGGAGGCATTGGGAGTTGTGCCTCCTAGTCTAAGCAAAGGAGAAGCGTTGGGAGTTGTGCCTTCAAGTCTTATAGAAGGGGAAGCATTCGGAGTTGTGCCTCCAAGTCTCAGCGAAGGGGAGGTGTTGGGAGTGGTGCCCTTAAGTGTAGGGGAGGCGTTAGGAGTCGTGCCTTCTAATCTGAGCGAAGGAGAAGCGTTAGGAGTCGTGCCTTCTAATCTGAGCGAAGGAGAAGCATTTGGAGTTGTGCCTCCTAATCTGAGCGAAGGAGAAGCATTGGGAGTTGTGCCTCCAAGTTTTAAAGAAGGGGAGGCATTGGGAGTTGTGCCTCCAAGTCTTAAAGAAGGGGAAGCATTCGGAGTTGTACCTCCAAGTCTCAGCGAAGGGGAGTTGTTGGGAGTTGTGCCTCTAAGTTTTAACGAAGGGGAAGCATTGGGAGTTGTGCCTTGAAGTCTAAGCGAAGGGGAGGCATTGGGAGTTGTACCTCTAAGTCTTAGTGAAGGAGAGGCATTGGGAGTTGTGCCTCCGAGTCTCAACGAAGGAGAGGTATTGGGAGTTGTGCCTCCGAGTCTTAACGATGGGGGAGCATTGGGAGTTGTGCCTCCGAGTGTCAATGAAGGGGAAGCATTGGGAGTTGTGCCTCCAAGTCTCAAAGAAGGGGAAGAGTTAGGAGTTGTGCCACCAAGTCTAAGTGATGGGGAGGCGTTAGGAGTTGTGCCTCCAAGTCTAAGTGAAGGTGAGGTGTTTGGAGTTGTGCCTCCAACTCTTTGTGAAGGGGAGGCGTTGGGGGTTGTCCCTATAAGTTTTCGTGAAGGGGAGGCGTTTGGAGTAGTGCCTCCAAATTTTCGTAAAGGGGAGGCATTTGGAGTTGTGCCTCGAAGTCTTAGTGAAGGGGAAACATTTGGAGTTGTGCCTCCTAATCTAAGTAAAGGGGAAGCGTTGGGAGTTGTACCTCCAAGTCTCGGTGAAGGGGAGGCGTTAGGAGTGGTGCCACTAAGTTTCAGCAAAGGGGAGGCATTGGGAGTTGTTCCCCCAAGTCTCAACGACGGAGAAGCGTTGGGAGTTGTGCCTCCAAATCTCAGCAAAGGCGAGGCGTTGGGAGTTGTGCCTCCAAGTCTCGGTGAAGAGGTGGGTTTGGGAGATCTAGAACATTTGCCAATACATTCTTCTCTTTCCTTAGCTTGGATTGTTTTGCTTTGATCTTCAATTTATTTTCATGAAAAAAACAAAGATGTTAGATTAGTTTTACCGAAACATTAACCACATATATGATCTGTAAATATCATTAAGCTGTAAATTAAAATAATATATCTTATATTTAATTTAAAACTTAGAAAAATCATATACTTACAAGAGATAGACAACAAGAGGGAGAGAAGAAAAGCCGCCCTAAAGTAAAATTTGTCCATTGCTAAAGAATGTTAGTATATGAATGATTGATGAATTAGGTTTAACGAGAGAACTAGCTAGTCCTTTGTTCATTTATATATATATATATATATATATATTATTTTTTGGTTAAAGGTCCCTTGATTATTTACATAAGAGATGGAAACAAATTTATTTTTTAATTTCATTGTATTCTAAATTTCTGATTTTGTCTAGAAAATATTTTATTGTTTTTATGTAAACTTATTAAATGATCCAAGATACCAAATCTACTTTTCACAAGCATAATTACTACATTAAATCTACAACTTTTTAAAATTGTGCTTAACTATTTTCACTATTCCTTTTTGGTTTACCTTTTTAGAGAACCAAAATTTATTTTAATTTAATTCTACTTTAAATTTCAGTTTTATCTAGAAAAATATATTATTCTTTTTAACTATGACATTTAACCCTTATTCAATGATCCAAAATATAGAATCTATTTTTCTCAAATAAAATTACTACAATATATCTACAAATTTAATATTGTGCTTTACCTTTTTATTATGCCTTTTGGGATTACTTTATTTAAGAAATAAATCTTATTTAAATATACTTATACTTTAAATTTCAGATTTTGTCTAGAAAATATATTTTTATTTTTAACTATGAAATTTATTTAATGATCCAAGCAAGATATATAATCTATTTTCACAAATAAAATTACTACAGTAAATCTTTATCTAAGAAACAAATTTTATTTTAATTTAAATATACTATAATTCTCAGATTTTTTTTCTAGAAAATATATCATTATTTTTAACTATGACATTTATTCAATGATCCAAGAAAGATACGTAATCTATTTTTCACAAATAAAATTCAGAGAAATAAATAGAAACAAAGTATGTTTTATTTCATATCTAATATAAGATGTACTTTTAATATTATATTTGTCTATATATATAATACACTTTTCTCACCGCCATAACCATGTATATATATATATATATACATTTTTTAAGTACATTTTGTACTAAAATCTATTTTGGGTTATGATCTTTTATTTTTTAATAATTGCATAATTAAATTTTTGCCATTTGAATAAATAAAAAAACTTAAAAAGTAAATTTTGTAATTAAATCACAAACAAATCGAAAAATTGGAAACAAATATTTGTTACATCAAAAAAATTTTGTCAAAAAAATTTTCTTACAGGTTGTCTATATTTAAAATATTTTACGAGTAAACTTAAAATATAATTTTTCAATTAAAATAAAAGTCGTGTATATTGTGAGTTAAAACCTAGTTTTATGCATAATGTAAGTAATGAACATTATTAAAATGGTTCAAATGATCCCGTCGAGATATATCTCGCAAGATATGTAGAAAAGATGAAAAAAAAAAAAAAAAAAAATATCATCGAAGGTACATCATCAAGTCCACTTAGCCAAGACGGCCATGCCACCGGAACCAAGCAAAACAGCTGCGTACGACTTCAACTGAAGCTTAATGCTCTGTTGCATCTTTTGACCCATAAAATCTGCGGCTAGAAGGTCCACTAAAGACATATAGATGAGTAGTCCACCTGAGGAAGCATTGAGCAGTCCAACCGTTATAAGTGAGTCAGGGCTATTCTCTTTGTATGTTTTAGATAAAGCCATTCCTAAAACCACTCCGAAAGGTGTTGTGACCGCGAAAAAGAAGGCCATCACCGCCTTTTTCACCCACTCGTACTTTGCCTACACATGTTATCAAACTCTCAAACACATGAGTATAACACAAACTATGGAGAAACAAGTCAAAGTTGGAAACTTGATAAGATTATAGGGGTGGACATGACTACATTGGAGGAACTGATAATTAATTGAAAGAGATGATTTTGACCTGGAGGATGCAGCCACCAAGTCCCATGCCTTCGAACATTTGGTGGAAGCAAAGAGCAGCGATGAGGCCTTTGATGGTGCAAGTATTATTAGTGGCTCCTACGGATACTCCGATAACAATCGAGTGCACCACTATTCCTAACTCCAATACCTAATTCATAATGTAAAGAACTTTTCCGTATCACTACTCTCTTATTAAATCATAATATAAAGAATTTAAACGGTATATATGTTGGAGTGATCCAATATACATTCAAAATAAAGATTTCCAATTTGGTAAAACTGATTTGTTTTGAACAAAAACAGGATGCAAAAAAAACCGGTTTGATAATCTAACCCTAGGAACTAGGAAGCCTATTAAAAATGTTTTTTGCAAGATTTAAATAACTTTAGTTCAAGTGTTAGTGGCGTGAGATGTAATTTGTTAGCAACTAAAATTTTTGTGACCTTGAAAGACAATAGAGAGTGAAAGGAACACTAACGATGGCAATAACACGATAGCGGAGAAGCTGTAAAGTAGAACCAAGCTCCTTATCATCGCTAAGATTAAGACCATGATCACCATGATGCGAGCGTCCCATCTCTTGGTCAGGAGTATAAGCAGACGCCACATCAGCATGTGGCTCCTCCTTACCAGACCTGCTGAAAACGCTGGTGGTAATAGAGTCAACCATGAGTGTAAGCACTGCGGAGATCATTGCTACAAAGCCGGTGAAAGGAAACTTGTTCCAGGGGTCATCGTTAAGACAATGAGATGAGAGCATTTCGAAGGAGTCAGGCAAAACATGGATGAAACCAGTGGCGAGGATGATTCCAGAGGCGAAAGATTTGACGATGAGGAAGAGAGATTTCTCCGGTTGGAAATCTGAGACAGAACGAGCAAAGAACGGGAGACAAACGCCAAAAAGGCTGGTGGTGAGGATTTGAGAAGATTGCTATGAGTTTGAGATCAAATGCTCTGGTTTTGTCGGTACATGTGTTGTCAGACTCGGGTTCGCACTCTTCGTCGGATTCAGACAAAGCTCCGGGGAAATGGGAGATGAAAACGAGGAGGAAGACGTTGATGGCCGCAGAGAAGGTGGCATGAGTTTTAGTCATGATCTCTTTCTTTGTATTCTGTGGAAGTGTTTAATGTTTGAACAGATAAGATTTTGTCTTCGTCTTATATAAGAGGAAGAGACTTTGTAGACTCACTTAACGTGAGTGTCGACATGTTTTTTAGTGTATGGACTTGTACTGAGTCTCGAATATTTTATAAGTAGTCCTAGGCATATGTATAATGTATTATGTATCTTCACATTAAAAAAAAAAATGTATTATGTAGAAATGACAATGCCTACACTAATCTTCTGAATATATTTTAAATCAGTCATATAAAATACATTATACATATGCCTAGACTATCCGGTAAACGTGACTGATTTAAGTGGATGGATAAATATAGAAATCGAGTACTTAAGCATTGTCATTTAGGTATTATATCCTCCAATTTGCAAATCCGAAATTCTGAATATAAGCATTATCATTAAGAAATTGATAATATCGCTATGAGATGAAAATAAAGAACTATATTGACCCTTTTTATTATATTATATAAAGAAAATAAATTTGCAGGTTACATCCAATTTTAAAATTCATAGTCAATAGCGGAAGGAGTAGGAGCTTTAGGTTTATGACACTTGCAATGACATTTGCTTTTATGACCTTTATGGTTCATACATTCTTTGATGACTACTTCTTCTGAATGTATCATTGAAGAGGAATGATAAGGAGGGCATTTGCTTCTATGCCCTTCAAGGTCCATGCATTTTTTGTTCACGGCTTCGTCTTTTGAATCCATATTCGAAGGAGAAGGAGTAGGAGATTTAGATTTAGGACACTTGCAATGACATTTCATTTTATGTCCATTGTGGTCCATACATTCTTGGATGATTATATCTTCTGAATCTATTATCATATGAGAAGGAGAAGGAGTAGGAGATGGATAACATTTTCCTATACACCCTTTACCTTCCCTAGCCTCGATTGTTATGCTTTGACCTTCAATTAATTTTAAGAAGAAAAAAAAACATGTCAAAATAGATAACTATATTACTTATGTTTTTTAAAAAAATAGTGTACTTAGAAATTTTAATCAAATATATGCAACACCGTAACATTAATCAAATCTAATTAGTCTTTAAACTGGTAGGTTCTATCCCACAATTTCTATAATCTACTAAAACATAATTTACAATTCCACATATTTTGTATAATTGGTTAAGTTATGCAAAATCTTGGAAACACTTCACCATTAAACGAATTATACCAATGAAAAAATCATGTTTACTTACAAGACAAGGACAATAAGAGGGAGAGGAGAAAAGCAGTCATAATGTAAATGTTGGTCATAGCTGAACAATGTTTGTATTTGAATGCTTGATGAGTTAGGTTTAGTGAGAAAACTAGTTAGTCTTGTGTTCTATTATATATGGGATTGAAAAATAGCTTTTTCACTTTATTTGAGATTTACTTTTAATTTCAGATTTTGTTTAAAATAGATTTTATTATTTTTAATCATGACATATTCAATGATTTAAGATACATAACAAAAAATTTCACAAACAAAATTACAACAATAAAATATACAGGATCTGAAAATTATGCTTTCCCTTTTCCATGAGGCCTATTGGGCATTAATTTGTTTATGAAACATTTTTTATCTTTAATTTAATTGATAACATTAATATTAGATTTTTTTTAATATAGAGTACACTTTTTTCTTTTAGTTAGTAACTTAATACTTTTTCCTTTAGTTATGATTTTTTTTACTTTAGGTATTATTATCTTTTCCTTTATTTATAACTTTTTAAATAATTTTATATCCTTCATATTTCTAATAATATTATTATTATTTTTACTTTTTAAGTTATAGTTTTCATGATTCAGAGTCTATCTTCTGCATAAAAAAAGATTATAGTAATCTAAAACTGTGTTTACCTTTCTGAACATTAAAAGCAGTTTTTCTTTACTATGTATGTGATTTATATATGAACTAATGTATGTATGAGAATTATATTTTTCTATTATAACACACTCTCCTTTCACCTAGCTATAATTCATATCTAACATTTTACTTGAAACCCCGGGATGAATATATGAACTCCTTCTAGAATCAAGCAAAAACCATCCCTCCAAGAAAAACATTCATATTCAAATTTTGGATTTTTGAAGATCACACACCGGATTCAGGATTCGGATGTTCAAAATTTAAGATATCTAGAATTAATATATCTAAAATAATCAATCCATTTACACCTATAATTATTTTGATTAGGCATTGTCGTCTAAATTTAATATCCTCTAGTTTGCAAATATAATACCCCCTAGTTTGCAACTTATGAATAGATCTCCCAATTTTTTGTTTATATCATTAAGCATTCTCATTTAGAAATTGATTGTTTCACTATTATATCAAAATAGAGAATTATATTGACCATTTTTATTAATATTATATAAAGAAAATATATTTTAGGGTTACATCTAATTTAAAAACCATGATAAATAATTGAAGGAGCTGGAGCTTTAGCTTTAGGACACTTGCAGTGACATTTTCTTATATGTCCTTTATGGTCTATACATTCTTTGTTGGCTTCTTCTTCTGAATCCATCATCACAGGAGAATGAGTAGGAGATTTTGACTTAGGACACTTGCAATGACATCTCATTTTATGTCCTTTGTGGTTCATACACTCTTTGTTGGCTGTTTCTTCTAAATCCATCATCAAAGGAGAAGGAGTTGGAGATCTATAACACTTGCCTATACATCCTTTGCCTTCCCTAGCCTCGATTATTATGCTTTGACCTTCAATTTATTTTAAGTAAAAAAACAAACATGTCAAAATAGTGCCTATACTACATATGTTTTTAAAAATTAGCGTACTTAGAAACATTTAACAAATATACGATATGCAACACCGTAACATTAATCAAATCTACTTAGTCTTTAAACTTGTAGGTTTTATCACAAACTACTAAAACATAATTTACAATTCCACACAATTTGTATAATTGTTTAAGAGTTATGCAAAATCTTGGAAACACTTCACCATTAAATGAGCTATACTAATGAAAAAAATCATATTTACTTACAAGACAAGGACAATAAGAGGGAGAGGAGAAAAACAGTCATAGAGTAAATGTTGGTCATAGCTGAACAATGTTTGTATTTGAATGCTTGATGAGTTAGGTTTAGTGAGAAAACTAGTTAGTCTTGCGTTCTATTTATATATGTGATTGAAAATAGTTTAATCACTTTATTTGAGATTTACTTTTAATTTCAGATTTTGTTTAAAGTAGATTTTATTATTTTTAATCATGACATATTCAATGATTTAAGATGCATAACAAATTTTTCCACAAACAAAATTACAACAATAAAATAGCTTATATATGGGATGCAAAAATAGCTTTTCACTTTATTTGAAATTTACTTTAACTTTCAAATTTTGTTTATAATATACTTTATTATTTTTGATCATAATATTTATGTAATGATCTAAGATACATAACCTCTTTTTCATCACAAACAAACTTAGAACAACAAATCCATTGGATCTGAAAACTGTGCTTTACCTTGTCCATGAGGCCTATTGGGCATTAATTTATATATGATTTTTTATCTTTAATTTATTTGAAAATATACTTTAAATATTAGTTTTTATCAATATAAAGTATACTTTTTCCTTTAGTTATGGTTTTTTTCTTTAATTATATTTTTTCCTTAAATATAATTTTTTCCCTTTAGTTATTAATTTTTTTGGATCGTAACAATCTATCATTTTCTACTCTTTTTTTAAGTTATAAGTCTCTTGATTCATAGTCTATCTTCCACAAACACAAAAGTATTATAATCATTTAAAACTGTGTTGTTACATTTCGGTATTTAAAAAACATTTTTTAATTTAGTTAAGATGATTATTGACCTTACATTTTGAATGATTTGAGTTTTAGTGAGTTTTTATATGATTTTAATCAAGTTGTTATCATAGGCAAAAGTATATAAACATACTATCAGTATTTGATTTTATCTATTATAACACACTTTCTTTCTTCAGCTAACCATAATTCATATCAAAAGTTTTATTTGTATTCTCGAAATGAATATATGAAGTCCTCCATGTAGTCTCGAAATCTCGAAATTGACTTGAAATCTCAAAATGAATATATGAAATCTCAAAAAACCGATGAACTAGTAAAAACCATCCATCTAGGAGAAACACTAATATTTGAACATTTATTTTTTTATAAATATCACATCCCGGATTTGGATAGCTTCACTTTAAATTAACATATCTAAATCCATAGACCGAAGATCAAAGCTTTCACTGGTCCTATTAATTGCACCTCTAAATATGTTTTATAATTCATTTTATACTTACCAAGACAAAACCATGACACAATAAGCCGATAAAAATGAGAAATCACATCTAGTACTAAAACAAAGGTTACCAAATGGTTTACAGGTGGTAATCACTGGAATTAAAGGAGACTTTTATTCTCTGAAAACATCTAATTTTATTAGTTGACTCGATACAATGTGCTTAATAACTTATCATATTAAATATCATTGGAGATTTGGAGACATGATAGAACATATAACTAGGATTTATTATAACAATGAAAATTTTAACATGATTTAATTTGGGCAGTTGGGAACATTTTGGCCTGGTTTACGACAAGCACATTTATCATTTATACAACAAGCCCTACGATAATCAGGGCATGCCAAGCCTCCACATTCGAGGTATGTATCACATATTCCTTCATGATTCACATCGATTGATTTCGTATTCATCGTTGGTGTTGGTAGACACTTGCAAGTACCATTGACGCAATATCCAAGACCTCCCACACAAGTTTCTAAGCCGTGACACTCAGAGTTTCTCTCGCATTTCTTGGCTGTTGCAAGATCTTGTCCTGCATATATAATCATATGAATATTATTGTGTTAATTAGTATTGCAACACTAAAACAAATGAGACTTCTCTAGGTATATGTTATTTTACTAATTAAATTAAGAAATGGGAAATTTAATACTTACGGAAGACAACGAAGAGAAGAGCAACAAATAAAAATAGCTTAAAGGAAACGTTCTTCATTTTTGAAGTCTTTTTTTTTTCTTCTTTTTTTTTTTTTTTTGTTTTCAGTGGTGAAACTAAGCTATTCTTTATCTCTCTATTTATAGTGCATTTAGAAATGAAATCTATATGGTATGTAATTTTTTTTGGTCAACTGAAATATATATATCTATAATTAGAGATTTTTGGTCAAACTTATAATTAATAGAAAATCTAATTAGATAAGATTCGTTTAAGTATAGCTAATGAAATTTAGCAAAATAATACACTATGAAAATTTTATTTAATGTAATTGACTTTTAACCGAAATAAATGGTCATACTACATAAACATTAATGAGTTTTTGAATGAAAGTAAAGTACTTAAAATTTCAGATTTCGTCAACAAAATATTGTATTATTTTAATTATGACATTTATTATCTATTTTCATTCATTATGAAAACTTGTAAGCATATTCGTTCACATCCGTTCTATTTGATTTTGATATATTTCTAATGCCTACGATATGTTATATCAGTTGCATTGACATATGACCACTACAATTTATATTAGTATATGTATGTTGTTGATTTACACTTCTTCTATTTTATTTTATTTTTACTCTTCTTCTATATGATTATTAATTATTTTGTATTTTTGGCCAAAATTCTATATGATTAATTATCTAATATATTTCAATATTCTAATTGAAGATAGAACTTTAAAGTTTTTTTAAAAAAGTTACGAAGTAAATGAGAAATTAATAATCTATTAACCGTACGTGTAGGATGTTCATTTTTTTTGACATCCTAGATTCATTTTACATTTTGACTCGTTTATAAATTTCAAGTTATACGTATGTAGTTTAAAATATGCCTGGTCATGTGGATTATATTAGTATTAATGTTATATCACTATTCAAACTTAATTCCTCATCCGCATATAGATATATATTGTATATAGGATGTAAGAAAAAAAAAACTTAGCTAATATAGTTTCGATATTTACATTTATTTGCTATTGCACACGATATGTGCTCATTATTTAATGTTCATAATTAAGAAAGAAAAATAAAAGTCAATACATCTATTTGTAAGCTCAACTCTTAAACTTAAACATCATCAAGCCCACTTGGCCATGACTGACATACCACCAGCACCAAGCAAGACAGCAGCATATGACTTTAACTGAAGCTTGATGCTCTTCTGCATTTTATTACCCATAAAATCGGCAGCTAAAAGGTCTACTAAGGCCATGTAGATGAGTAATCCAGCCGAGGAAGCATTGAGCAACCCGACTGTTATAAGCGAATCAGGGCTATTCTCTTTGTATGTTTTAGATAATGCCATCCCTAGAGCCACTCCAAAAGGCGTCGTCACCGCGAAAAAGAAAGCCATTACCGCCTTTTTAGCCCAACCGTACTCCGCCTATGTACATACATATGATTATTTCCTTATCATTTCGTTCAAAACCAAAACTATTTTTGTAGAAAGCAAACCAGGATGGGATGGAGGAACTCACCTGGAGGATGCATCCGCCGAGACCCATACCTTCGAACATTTGGTGGAAGCAAAGCGCAGCGACGAGACCTTTGATGGTGCAAGTATTGTTAGTGGCTCCTACGGATAGTCCTATCACTATCGAGTGCACCACTATTCCTAACTCCAATACCTATTCCATTTTATTCAGTTTAGTTACTTACTTATTAAATCATTATTATCAATTTCATTCACATAGAGAAATATCGTCGTTGACAAATTTTTCTCTATAAACGAACCAAATTATAATATTTTCACTTTAACAAGAGTTTTTTTACAATTAAAATCAAGGTAATAGTTTATTATATAAAATATATTAAAAAACAAAAATAAAGAAGGAAGAGAGTGTATGAGTACTAACGATTGCAATCACACGATACCGTAGAAGCTGTAAATAAGAACCAAGCTCTTTATCATTCTCTCCATGGCTATGACTATGACTATGACTATGACCATGACCATGACCATGATGAGTTGTTACGTGCCCCTGCCCCATCTCGTTGTCAGGAGTCTCAGCTGAGGCCACGTCAGCACGTAAACTTTTCCTTCCTGACTTGGTGAAGACGCTGGTGGTAATAGAGTCAACCATGAGAGTGAACACGGCCGAGACCATAGCAACAAATCCGGTGAAAGGAAACTTGTGCCAGGGGTTATCGTCAAGACAAGGAGATGAAAGCATGTTGAAAGAATCAGGCAAGACATGCATGAAACCAGTGGAGAGGATGATCCCGGATGCGAAAGATTTGACGATGAGGAAGTGAGATTTCTCGGGTTGGAAAGCTGGAACTGACCGGGCAAAGAACGGGAGACAAACGCCAATTAGACTTGTGATGAGGATTGAGAAGATTGATATGAGTTTGAGATCTAATGCTTTGTCTTTGTCGATACATGAGTTGTTGGATTTGGATTCGCAGACTTTGTTAGATTGAGAGAGAGCTCCAGGGAAGTGGGAGATGGAGAAGAGGAGAAAGATAGCTATGGTGGCATAGAAACTGACAGGAGAGTTGGTCATATTTCTCATTGTTTGTTTCTTGTGGAGTTGTTTTGAGTTTGATACAAAGTATACTTTGTCTTAATCTTCTTATAGTAAGAGAAGATTAGCTAAGCCTTGATCTCAATCAAAGTAAGTGTCGACATAATTCTAATTAAAAAATGTCAACATGTCTTGTTAAGAAAATATTGAAATACACAACAAAGTATAAACTTATTATATGCAAGGGGCAAGGCATATTCTCGACACACACACACACACACACACATATAAGATTATATTAATAGCTAGATTCTCACTTTGCAAAATAGAATAAATCATGGTAATACGTAGTTTTTGGATAAAGATAAGACAATATATACAATTTCATAACAGCCATCAAATTGTTAGGGATTAGATAAAATGAAACATCTCGCGATGTATACGGAAGTAATAAATTAAAAGTACAATCAGAGAAGTTTGATATTATTGTATAGATGGTACGTACGTTTTAGTGGTATATATATTTGAGTAAATTTTCTTGATAACACTTGTTCAAAACTATATGTTTATTACTACATGTTGAAAAACTTTACCTATCATGTATGTTATCCACGTTATACAAATACCTATATATATATTCCACATCATATTTTACAAATTATACAAAATACCTATACCTCGAGGTATTACCAATTTACAATACTTTTGAAACATTTGGGTTTCAAAAACATTTCTGTTGTAATATTCTAGTATATATAAATTAAAAAATATGACTTTCTTTATTTTATTTAAATCCATATGAGGGCCAAAATAGATTTTTCCTCACAAACATTGACCAACAAAACTTCTGGCTTAACTCTTAACCATGTGTTTAGTTTAAGTTTAAATTTTGAAAACTACACATTTAACTTATACATATAAAAATGTTGAATATTCATAAAAACAACACTGGGGGTATTGAATATACTAATTAATTAATCAACCGATTTTTTATGATATATAACCTTTTGATAACTTTTAACTTACCATATTAATCTATAAATAGTTTTTGGATGATTTAATTATGTCGGCTTGAGACATTTTTTATATGAAGAATAACATGATGTACTAGTTATTGTATATATTCTAGTTAATAATGTACATAAGGATAAGCCACACTCCAGAGTCCATTCCATATGTACGTTTTCAAGTACGCATGACGGGCTAGTGCAATAATGAAATACAATTGTAGTTTTTTTTTTCTATTGTCAAAAATCAAATTATAAACCCTAAGTTGACTTCTAACTTTGTTTCGAGGAATGTGTCAACAAATGAACATTGATATGATTGTCTTATATATGTACAAAAAGATTGAAGTTATTAAAGCTGTAAACAAATTAATCACGGTTTAGTATTTGATTCCAGTTCTTCAAAGATGTTCAATTAGAGGTTTTCTGAGCTAAGCTTGATGAGAGACCATTCACTTAAGAGACTCACGTACGAGGGTAATGACAGAGTTGATATGCTGTTTTTGTGTAACCATCCAAGCTAAGCTCAAAAGACAAAATAACAAGAGAAAATTATAGTAATGTATACTGATCTGACATAACGATTCGTTGACTTCATGTTTTGTACGAAATGTACTTCGCTTGACTTTTACTCCTACTTACTTATTCCATAAAACATCACTCAGAAAACGACATCAGATTTAATAAAAGTTCTTAGTCGTCGTGTTGATTTCGAAACCGTGCAACCACCGTTGTTTAATTAAGCTGTACATACTTTATATGAATGCATAGGGAAATAGCAACGAAAATATAGATATGATGATATATATTCGAAAGATGTTATGATAATACCGGTACGTATAATGGTATATATTATATATATATGAATCGTTTTGAAGTTTTGGTTCAATCGGTGAATATATATGACTGGCCAAGTGGCTTTGCATAATATTCCAATGCTAGTTTTAGAAACATACAATACAATACACAAACACATGCAGTACATACATATATTGAAGCTTGGTCTTTTTAGGCGTTTGAGTCAATAACATTTTAAAACTTATTTGAAGAATAAAGTTAAACTATATCATATAAATATATATATATCAATATCCAATCATGCCGGAGGAGTCGTTAAAAGTCAATGGGATTATTGGGGTGATAAGAATGAGATATAGTCTACTGTTCATATGACTATATATATATTTAGAAGATGATGATGAGTCATATAAGCTATGAGTTCAAAACTAAAAATACATCACAACTAGCAAACTTGGTAGATAAAAAGCCACTATAACTTTGCGTTGTTTGAAAAGGCAACATCAAGTATATCAACCAAACGATTTAGACAATTATGAAAATGATTCTCCATCTTTGGTTTTGATTGGTTTTGATATATTTATAAAACTGCATATGGCGGCCCAAGTGCTAATCTATTCGTTAATCAAACAATAGGCCCAAGTGCTAAACCAATGAGTTAATCAGACAATTACATAATCTGATCTTAAGAAGAAGAAAAAAAAGCATTAAGATCAACTACAATTATACCAACTTTCTTAAAAACTCAAACATATAAAGAAGACAGGTCAAATTTGATTTGTTTACACGAACATCAGAAACTTCTTCACACATAAATAAGAAGAAAAAAAATACAAAATTAACAGCAACGTCCCAAAGATCTTTTAAAGATAAAACCAAACTTAGAAAAAATAATGGAGTATTAATTCTTAAATGATAAAAATATTTAAAAAACTTAAGGTAATTTATTCCCATGATTTCCCATGATTGCCAAAAAAAAAATTAATGTATTACAAAAAGAAAAGAAAAGAAAAAAAGAAGATTATACAATTGCAATTTAAAGCTATCGTTACAGTTACAGCGTCTAACAACCAAACTTTGATGACAAACATTTTACAACTTACTAATCAGTAGTAGTATTTAATTATTTACAAGTACCAAGTTTTTTATTATGGTTGTAATTGTAACGTGCAGTGCAACTGTTAAAAAAATTTCGTAGGTACAAAATAGACATGATGCTTTTATTTTATTTTTAAATGATTTCAAATTAAATATGACTGAAATAGCTTATATACTGTTTTATTCATATAAATAGCAAAAAACTGAAAAAAAAAATATATATATATAAAAAATTAAGGGGAAATTTTTTTTAATGCGAATAAAAAATTTTAATGTGGAAGTTTTAATTTCCCCTCAAGATGGCTTCGTACCAAAAATTAAAATTAAAAATTAAAGAAGGGTTTAAAAAGACGAGACTGTACAACTTCCCATGTTTTACGGTAGGTTTACAAAAAAAAGAACATTCGAGAACTTTTTTACAAACTCCTTGCGAGTTAAGCTTCTCTCTCTCTTTTTTTTAATTTTTTATAGTAGCTTCTCTCTGACAATTCTTTTTATTCCTTTCTTTTTAAATAACCAAAACCTCGGAATTGGTTTTTAGTTCACACAAAGTTTAATTAAAAAAAAAAAAAAAAAAGCTGTGAATTTGTTTGGAGAAATCGTCAGAGCTAACTGTATATTCCCGTTCAGATCCTATGGAGAGAGGTGGTTATCGAGGAGGTCGTGGTGATGGCCGTGGCAGAGGCGGCGGCGGAGGTCGTGGTGATGGTGGCGGTGGTGGCCGTGGAGGAGGAGATCGTGGTCGCGGTTATGGCGGCGGAGATCGCGGTCGTGGTCGCGGTGAACAGCGAGGTGGTGGAAATCGTGGTCAAGGTCGTGGTGAACAGCAGGATTTTAGAGGCCAGAGTCAGTGGGGACCTCCGTCTGGTCACGGTGGTCGTGGTACTCAGTTCCAGCAACAACCTCGGCCACAGGCGGCTCAAGTGACACAAGTGGTTCCGCAACCGTCTCAGGCTCAGGTGAGTCATGCTGGAGTCGCTGGTAGGGGAGCTTGGGGTCGTAAGCCACAGGTTTCTTCTGATTTGGCTTCTCCGTCTACCTCCGTCGTGGTTTCTGAACCCTCTCGTGGTAATATACTCTTTAACTTATTCATATCTTACCATTTTGGTTTTGTTCTCTACCTTTGGGAAATTGAAATTTGGGGAAAAAATTTAGAAACGATTAGAAGAATTAATTGCTACTTAAATATGAATCATTAGGTCGATTAATGTGAGTTAATTAATAGCTTTTGTTTCTGTTTATGTTTAGCTCAGAGTTTGTTTGTATATTAATTTGACAGTTGCTGAAGTTACGAATCCAAGGCCATGTGTTCAAGTTGCGTCTACTGGTAGGAAAGAACCAATGAAGCGACCTGATAGAGGCGGTGTTGTGGCTGTGCGACGGGTTAATCTATATGTCAATCATTTTAGAGTCCATTTCGATCCGGAAAGTGTCATAAGACATTACGATGTTGAAGTCAAAGGAGAGAATCCTACCAAGAAGATATCTAGATTTGAGCTAGCTATGGTCAGGGATAAGGTGTTCACTGACAATCCCGGCAAGTTTCCCTTTGCTATGACTGCTTATGATGGTCAGAAGAACATTTTCAGCGCGGCTGAACTGCCTACGGGTTCATTCAAGGTGGAGTTCCCTAAAACTGATGAGTCGAGAGCTCGGAGCTATACTTTCACCATCAAACAGGTGAATGAGTTGAAGTTAAGGGACTTGAAAGAGTACATGACAGGGAGTACGTCTGCCAATCCGCGTGATGTGTTGCAAGGAATGGATGTTGTGATGAAGGAGCATCCTTCAAAGTGTATGATTACTGTTGGTAAAAGCTTTTTCACTCGTGAAACTGCGCCAGATGAAGACTTGGGCTTCGGGGTTGCTGCTGCGAAAGGGTATCGCCACACTCTGAAGCCCACGCAACAAGGTTTGTCATTGTGCTTGGACTACTCCGTGTTGGCGTTCCGCAAAGCAATGTCGGTCATCGAATACCTGAAGTTGTATTTTAATTGGTCTGATATGCGTCAGTTTAGGAATTGTAGGCGTGATGTGGAAAGAGAATTGACTGGTTTGAAAGTCATTGTCAATCATCGAAAGAATAAGCAGAAACTCACCATTGTCGGGCTGAGTTTGCAAGATACTAAAGACATCAAATTTGATCTTATTGATCAAGAGGGAAACGAGCCACCAAGAAAAATATCCATTGTTGACTACTTCAGGATAAAGTATGGAAGAGACATTGTTCACAAAGATATTCCTTGCTTGGATTTGGGAAAAAATGGTCGGCAAAATTTAGTCCCCATGGAGTTCTGCGACTTGGTGGAGGGACAGATTTATCCAAAGGATGACTTAGATAAAAATTCAGCGTTGTGGTTAAAGAAGTTGTCACTAGTCAATCCGCAACAAAGGCAGAAAAATATAGATCAGATGATAAAGTCTCGTAATGGACCGAGCGGGTATGTGTACAAAGAACTTCACTTTTTATTTTCTATCTTTTTTTTTAATTTTGTCAGTCTTATCCTTTTGTATGTGTGTTTATGACAGTGGAGAAATCATTAGAAACTTCGGATTGAAAGTGGATACAAACATGACACATGTGGAAGCTCGTGTACTGAAGGCTCCAACATTGAAGTTGGCAGAGAGAGGGAAAGCTGTGCGTGAGGAACCCAACCTGAGACAGAACAATCAATGGAACCTTATGAAGAAGGGAGTCACAAGGGGATCCATAGTCAAGCATTGGGCTGTACTTGACTTCACTGCATATGAGAGATATAACAAGATGCCTAATGACTTTGTGGATAACCTAATCGATCGTTGTTGGAGACTTGGGATGCAGATGGAGCCTCCTATCGTTTACAAAACATCGAGAATGGATACGCTTTCTAATGGTAATGCTCTTGAGGAATTGCTTCAGTCTGTAATTGCAGAGGCTTCTCACAAGCATAGTGGAGCTCGTCCAACTCTTGTTTTGTGTGCTATGTCTGGGAGGGTTGATGGCTATAAGACTCTGAAATGGATAGCAGAAACCAAACTTGGTTTAGTGACTCAGTGTTTCTTGACTGGTTCTGCCACTAAAGGAGGTGATCAGTACCGGGCGAATCTTGCCCTCAAGATGAACGCAAAGGTTGGTGGAAGCAATGTCGAACTGATGGATACTACTTTCTCTTTCTTTCAAAAAGAGGATGAGGTCATGTTCATTGGTGCCGATGTCAATCATCCCGCTGCTCGAGACAAGATGAGCCCTTCTATTGTTGCCGTTGTGGGTACTCTAAACTGGCCTGCAGCTAACCGTTATGCAGCTAGAGTCATTGCTCAGCCTCACCGTAAAGAGGAGATACAAGGATTTGGTGATGCTTGCTTGGAGCTTGTCAAAGCTCATGTTAAGGCCACTGGGAAACGACCTAACAAGATTGTGATATTCCGTGATGGTGTCAGCGATGCTCAGTTTGATATGGTTCTCAATGTGGAGTTGCTTGATGTTAAGTTGACTTTTGAGAAGGCTGGTTACAATCCAAAGATAACGGTAATCGTAGCACAGAAACGTCATCAAACCCGTTTCTTCCCCGCCACAAGCAATGATGGAAGTGATAAGGGCAATGTGCCTTCAGGTACGGTCCTTGATACTAAAGTCATTCACCCGTATGAGTATGATTTCTACCTCTGCAGTCACCACGGAGGGATCGGGACAAGCAAACCAACTCATTACTACACTCTCTGGGATGAACTTGGATTCACTTCAGACCAGGTTCAGAAGCTCATCTTTGAGATGTGCTTCACTTTCACTCGCTGCACCAAACCTGTCTCTCTAGTTCCTCCTGTTTATTATGCTGACATGGTTGCCTACAGAGGAAGGATGTACCATGAGGCAAGCTCTCGTGAGAAGAATGTTAGGCAGCCGCGGGGAGCGTCTACCTCTGCTGCTTCGCTTGCCTCTTCACTCTCATCTCTTACAATCGAGGACAAAGCGATTTTCAAGCTGCACGCAGAGCTTGAGAACGTTATGTTCTTCGTCTGAAGAAGAGAGTGAGTTTTTTTGGTGTTTTGGGTCTCAAGCTGAACTTAATACTAGATATTCGAAATCGGAACGCCCCAGTAACGCAATTTTACTCCTTTTATTCTGGATAGAAAGGAGTTTGTGCGTGAATCTAATTGGGTTTTTCGCAGTGTGATTATTTCTTTTTGGTTGCTGTGTTGGAATGAATCTGTGTATTTGGTATTTGTAATGCTCTTTAGAACAGAAACCACGCCTTTGTTTTTTTCGGGTACTATTATTGTAATTTCAGACTCTGGATTTTCATATTTTGCTTGCGTTTAGCAAATTCGTTTATGAGTTTTGTTAAAGCTGTGGTAACATGAATATGTTCAGTTTGTGTCTGAAACTTAGTAATGGCACTGATCATGACCTGTTGTTATTGAAGTTTGTCTCTCTACGTTCTCTGTTACACCGAAACATCATCAATGTGACTAATCTCTGAACTTACGACCTGCTCTGAAACAATAACTTCAAATATGTGTAAGGCCCATTACATAGTATATAGGTGGTAGTCTCTCAAACTCTCATATTTTCATCATTTTTACTCTGTTTCTGTTCTACTTCCTGCGAGTAACAAAGCTCGTAAAGTTGTACTGTCTCAAACTAACTTTGATCTTGAATTTTCTTGGGTTTAAAGCTCGTAAAGTCGCATTTTCTCATGCTTCTGGACTCATTACTCTCGACAGTAAATGTTGAAGTAGAAGCACTGTAATGGCCAATGAGAAGTTAGCAACTTGAGGTTCAAGCATGTGACTTTGAATCAGATGCTAAAGAACTGACTGTATAAAAAGTAAAAAGTCCTTTAGGTGACTCAAAGTGGTGAAGAACAAAATTCACAAAACCATGTTTTTTATTGTCATTTCTAGTTAAATGGTTAATAATGACCACAACCTCTCATTTCCAACTGAGTCACAGAAGTCACAAAGCATACACTATCTAGTATCTATATCTTTAATTTACATCCCTTTCTCAACAAATATCGTTGTTGATTTTTTAATTTATTTTTGGAAGAAGAATATATATAGAGAGTTCTTGTTTTGTTTGATTTCTCTTCATCAAGCCTAATTTGTATTTATTTTAAGTTTGTGTTGTTGTGAGTTTTGATCATAACTTTCTCAATGAAGGTGTTTTATGCTTATGAAAAAAAATACTTTAGTTACTTCTACCTATCCTCCACTCATCTTCTAACATTTTTTTTTCAATCTGTGGAATCTTTCGAAATTCAACCTAAAACTTTCAACGTTTGAATTTTGCTTTCACCCACTCACGATAATTAATGTGTATCATGTGCAGGCCAAATTCATTTCATGCATCTTCTCAACTAAAACACTAAATCAAGCAAAGTGTTTTACGTAATTGAGTTTTTTTCTAAAATTTTTTTTTAAAAAAATACTCAATAAGTTATTTATATTAATATGCAAACCAAATTGATTTCATATGCCTAGCTAGTACTGTATCAAATATAACTCTAATCAAACAATACATGCATTGTTAGAATTTATAAATAAATAATAAATGACTATAAACCGATGCGAACGTTGTGAAATAAAGATCAAAATATTATGCACAAGTTACACAACTTTCACAATTTGAGCTGTACCTATCCTTTAAGAAACCTGTTTTTTTTTTTTTAATTATCTGATCACTAGTTATTTCATGTTATAGCATATAGCGGTTAATCCAAATCATCAATAATAAACCAAAATATCTTTAACTCGAACTAAGAAAACTTTGTTACATAATCCAATCTTCTTTATTACCTTTTTACAAAAAAAAAAGTAATCGTAATTGCTTATGAGAAAGAACATATGAGTAAGCAAAAGTGATCGTTCTGTTGGATTTTGTGTAATTGTGCTCATCGTCAATCTCTTAACTAAAAATGACATTACGTGAAGAAAATGTTTTTCAAAAGATGAATAAAAACATCAAAGAAGATTATAACATAACACGGTAAAAATATAAATAAAACTTACAATTTTAGTGTTCGTTTTAGAATAATGTATAACACTAATATTAAGTTCTCAATTTTAAAACTATCGTTACTTATTAATTACACCATCCAATATCCATGTCCAAACTATATTTTTATACACACGTACAACTAATCATATTGATTGAAGTGGAAAGTTCTATACAGATAAGAAAAAGGAAATTGAAAATTATGATTTCTTCTTTGGTTAGAAAAACCTTAATTTTGGATACTCCAAGGCCCTAGCTAGTGGGCATAGATAATGGACGCAAGAAAAGTCTTGGACGGTGAAAGAAGGTAAACGTGAGATTTTTGTTTTTTTCTCTTTGATGGTTTAGCTAAATGACAAACGTAATTGTAATTAAGAAGAGAGATTACATGTATCTAAGATGATGACATGTCTTACAATGGCACCTGACTCTGTGTTTATGTCATTGTGACAGAACAAGTACTTTGCTTTCGATCGAGACTTGAACAAGTTAAAAAGACAGCTGTACTTTTTCTTACTTTTTCGTGGTTTCGAGGAAGATTCGACAACTTTACAAAACTCCTTAAGCTTCACTGTTCGACGCTTTTTGTTCTTCTATATAAACCACTCATCCGATTTTGTTACTTCATCATTCACAAGTTCAAGCAAAACTCATTAAGAAAACAAAAAATACTTTAGATCAATCGTTTTTGTTAATCAAGAGTCTTTCAAGATCATGTCTAATCAAAATACCATGCAGCGAGGTGGTTCCAAAGGAGGTCGTAGTGATGGTCGCGGCAGAGGCGGACGCGGTCGTGGTCGTGGCTCTGATCAAGGCAGCAATGTTGGTTTCGTAAATCCTGGGCAGAGTTCCGGTGGTCAGAGTCCGTGGGGATCATCGTCCGGTCATGGTGGTCGTGGGACGCTGTTTCAACAACAACCTCAACCACAGGCGGTTCAAGTGGGTCAAGCCGTTGCAGCAGGAGGCGCGTGGGATCGTGGTACGTATTACTAACAATAATATTTTTTGTATCTTCTGCATAAATCTAATTTAATTATTTTCACATACGAAGTCTCTAATTCCTTACGTTTCTTTTTCATATTTTAATAATGTTCAAATAATTAGAGAATGATTTTGAAGAATGACTATTTATTGAAATTACGGAAATTTTTATAACTTATAATAACTTAAATTCTGAATATTAAAAAAAAAATTGTATAAATTTAACAATAATATGTATTATTTTGTAATTTCGATCGATGAATATTTATGTGTTTTTTCTTTCTCTGTATTCGAGATCTAATGTTAGAAAATATGTATTTGTGTTCTTGAGCTACAGAGATTAACAAATGATTTATTAATGTATATTTAAATTTACAGGTTCTTCTGAAAAGAGCCAACCGATAAAGCGTGCTGATCAAGGCGGTCGTGATGGAGTGGTGCGGCGGGTAAATCTCCTTGTCAATCATTTTAAAGTGAACTTCAGGCTGCCTCAACTTGTGATAAGCCACTACGATGTTAAAATCGAAAGAGCCGGCGGCGAGTCTTCAAAGGCGATATCAAGATTTGAGCTAGCTAAGGTGAAAGAGAAGGCGTTCAGGGACAATCCGGATAAGTTCCCCGACATGACAGCATATGATGGCCAGAATAACATTTTCAGCGCAACTAACTTGCCTCCCACGGAAGAAATGAATGTAAATTTCCCAAAAGGTGAAGAGCTGGGAGGTCGAAGCTATACTTTCACCATGAAAAAGGTGAATGAGCTGAAGCTGAGCGAGTTGACAGAGTACATGAATGAGGAAGATTCCGCTATCAATCCTCGTGAGGTGTTGCAAGGATTGGATGTTGTGATGAAGGAGCATCCTTCAAAGCGTATGATCACTGTTGGCAAAAGCTTTTTTAGTCATGAAACACAGCCATGTCGAAATGGTGGCTTTGTAACTGCGCAAGGGTTTCGCCACGCTTTGAAGCCCACAGTACAAGGTTTATCGTTGTGCTTGGACTCCTCCGTGATGGCATTCTACCCAAAATTGCTAGTCATCGAATATCTGAGGTGGATTTTTGGCAATCAGTTTAGAAAATATAGACACCAGTTTGAAAAGGAATTGAAAGGCTTGAAAGTCTCGGTCTCCCATAGACAAAACAGCCCGAGATTCACCATTAAAGGGCTGAGTGTACAAAACACAAAAGACATCACATTCGATCTTATTCATCAAGAAAACGAGCCGCCAAGGAAAACGTCCATTGTTAATTACTTCGCGAACAAGTACCAGAAAAACATTCAACACATAGATCTTCCTTGCTTGGATTTGGGCAAAAATGGTCGGCAAAATTTGGTCCCCATGGAGTTATGCTTCTTGGTTGAAGGACAGATTTATCCAAAAGAAAAACTGAATCGTGATTCAGAAAATTGGTTAAGAAATTTGTCCATTGTCCATCCAGAAAAAAGGAAGAAGAATATAGATGACATGATAACGTCTCCTGATGGACCTGGCGGGTAATGTGTACAAAGAAGTTCACTTTTCTTTTCTATCCTTATTAAAATTTATCAGTCTTATATCCTTTTGTACACGTGTTTATGACAGTGGAGACATCATTGGAAAGTTTGGACTGCAAGTAGATACAAACATGACCCATGTGGTAGGTCGTGTACTCGAGCCTCCTATGCTGATGTTGACTGATGAGAGTGGACGACGTCCTGTCAATGCTATGATACAAGAAAAGAACAACCAATGGAGCCTTATGAAGAAGCGAGTTGCAGAGGGTTCAACAGTGGAGCATTGGGCTGTTCTTGACTTCACTGCGTCTGAGATTTATGATGACGATAAGATGCCTGATTACTTTGTGGATAAACTAATCGAACGATGTTGGAGACTTGGGATGCAGATGGACCCTCCTATGTTTACGAAATCGTCGAGTATGGCTACGCTTTCTGATGGAAATACTCTTGAGGAATTGCTTCAGTCCGTGATTGAAGCGGCGTCACTTAAGAAAAGAGGGGCTCGTCCAACTCTTGTTCTGTGTGCTATGTCCTGGAGGGACAATGGCTACAAGACTCTGAAATGGATTGCCGAGACAAAACTTGGTCTGGTGACTCAGTGTTTCTTGCCCAATTCTGCCACTAGAGGATTAGATCAATACCTTGCAAATCTTGCCCTCAAGATGAACGCAAAGACTGGTGGAAACAACTTCCACCTGAGAGATACTACTTTCTCTTTCTTTCAAAAAGAGGATGAGGTCATGTTCATTGGTGCCGATGTCAATCATCCCGCTGCTCGAGACGAGGAGAGCCCGTCCATTGCTGCCGTTGTGGGCACTCTAAACTGGCCTAAAGCTAACCGTTATGCATCTAGAGTCATTTCCCAGGCTCACCGTCAAGAGGAGATACAAGGATTTGGTGGTGCTTGCTTGGAGCTTGTCAAAGCTCATGCTACGGCCACAGGGAAACGACCTAACAAGATTGTGATATTCCGTGATGGTGTCAGCGATGCTCAGTTTGATATGGTTCTCAATGTGGAGTTGCGTGATGTTAAGTTGAGTTTTGAGAAGGATGGTTACAATCCAAAGATAACGGTAATCGTAGCACAGAAACGTCATCAAACCCGTTTCTTCCCCGCCACAAGCGCAGATGGAAGTGATAAGGGCAATGTGCCTTCAGGTACGGTCGTTGATACTGAAGTCATTCACCCATCTAAGCGTGATTTCTACCTCTGTAGTCACCACGGAGGGATGGGAACAAGCAAACCGACTCATTACTACACTCTCTGGGATGAACTTGGATTCACTTCAGATCAGATTCAGAAGCTCATCTTCGAGATGTGCTTCACTTTCACTCGCTGCACCAAACCAATCTCTCTCGTTCCTCCGGTTAAATATGCTGACATGGTTGCCTATAGAGGAAGGTTTTATTACGACGCTAGCATCATGGAGAAGAATTCTAAGCAGTCTCGTGGAGCGTCTTCTTCGTCTGCTCCTTCGGTTGCCTCATCCTCTTCTCAGACAATGGATAATGATGGAACGGTCTTCAAGGTGAACAGACTTATTGAGGACTCCATGTTCTTTGTCTGAACTTATTTAACACTACTATTATGGAAATCGAAAACGTCACAATAACGCAGTTTTACTCCTTTTTCTTGGTTGGAAAAAGGATGTTTGTGCGTGAATCTAATCGGTATATTAATGCAGTTTGTTTTTACATATTTAGTGTGTTGGAATTATAATTTATACTTTGGTACGTATTGTAATGCTCTTTAGAGCTAAAACGATGTCATATTATGGTTATGGTATTTTATTAAATATAATTCAGACTCCGGACTCATTAAGTTTATGCAATTTTGGTTTCTATGTTTTGTCAAGATGAATGAGTTTGAGGTGTATATCTGCAACATATGCGTACAAAAACAAACATAATGGAGCTCGTGTTGCATCGATCTAAACTCATTATGGGCTTTTTGTGTATGTATTTTCTGATGGAGCTTACTGACATTATCTTGGGTTCATGAACCATATAGCTGTAATTAACATTTTAAATAATAGACATCACATCACTGAAGGTGGAATTTCAAAGTTTTATTACTAAAATTAGTATATGGTTTAATATTAGTTGTGATGTTTACATATGTATATGATGTACTCATTGATTGGTTGCTTTGTTGCTTTCAGAATCTCGTTTGCATACATTGACCTCTTTTTAGAATTTTTATGTTATCATTTTGTAAATTACAAAAAAAAAAAAAAAGCTTCACGTTCTATGGATTGTTTTATAAGCAACTTTTTAAAAAAAAATTAGCATATAACAAGAAACATTCTTTTTTGTTTTACCTATATTTATATCTTTGTATATACCACATAAAAATAAACACCAAAAATGGTTTGCGAAAAGTGAATAAAAAAACCATACCAAAATCAAATGAAAAAGACATGATAGTCGAAGTGATTCACACGAATCGAACTATAACAATATATACTCTTTATTTTATCATGATTTTATCTCTTTTCTTTTTCTTTTCTTTTTTGCTATCCTTTGGTCCATGTTATTTTCATATGTATATTCCAATTTCCGATTATTTTTAAAAACGTAAATTCATTTATTTTTATCAAATTACTTCGAGTTTAATTTTTTTAACCCACTCATTAACATAAGTTAGGCATCTTTTTAATACGTTTTTTAAAAAAAGTTTGGCATATAACTAAATAAATCAAAAAGATGAAACCTATGAATAAAATAAAATAAAATAAAATAAATATACCATTTAAAATTTTAACAATATTTATTTCTTCTTTTTTCGTGCACCAGCTGTAGTTTTTTTTTTTTTTCTTTTTTCGTTGTTTTGGGTTAATTGCGAGAGAGATCGAGTGTTTTGTGTTGTTTCTTCTCAATCGTTCACATTGATTAAAGCTAAAGCTTTCTTCTTCTTCTTCCTCATCTTCTTCTTTCATTGATGCTACTTCCCATTTACCCTTTCTCTGCTTTTTCTTCTCTCTCTCTCTCTCACTCTCACAGTTTTCTGAAATCTTCTCCCTTTGCGTGCATTTCTTCATTTTTCTGATTCTTCCCTCAAAGGTATCTTTTTTTTTTTTGTGATTCTTCATCGGTTACATGGGATTGACTTCGATTTGAATCCGAGTTTTCTCTGCCCTTGATCGGGTTTTTTCGTTATTTCACTCTTTGTTTAGGATCTTCCCCAATCTTAGGTATTGCCTTTGTGTATCTTATCGAATCTGCATTTTGTTGTGAGTTTTTTAAAATTTTTTGAGATTAGGGTTCGTTTCGTTTTCATAGATTTTGTTAGATTCTTGTAATTTGTTTATTGTATCTCTAATTCAGATAACTCAGATTAGTTTTTAACGTATCGAGATTGAGAAATTTCTAAAAAAAATTTGATTTTTGGTGGATTTAGCATTAGTGTTGTTGTATGATAAGTTTTTGAGATTGATGATCTCTTTTGTCAATTTGGGTTTTTGGTGTAGGTTTGTGAACGATGAGATAGTGTTACAAAAGACCCAGAATCTGTATTGTCTGCAATGTCGACGACGTCTTTGCAAACGATTGGTGCTATTAAGTCTTATCATCATCAAGCACAGCATTTGGTTAAGAACTATTTATTAGCTGATCCGTTTATTCCTTACACGTCTGTTCTCACCGGCATTTTCCTTTGCAAAGTGGTAAAGTTTGTGTTTTTATTTTTTGTATTGGAACGTTTGTGATTCTATAGATCTAAGGAAAAGTTAGATCCTTGCAGGAGATTGTTTGATGATTGTATGTTTTTTTTGTAGGTCTATGATCTATGTCACTTTATCAGCAACTCACATTCTAAGACTTATATCATCCTCACTAAAATTCAAAGAATCGAATGGAATAACCGGTTTGTGTTTGATGATTGTTAAAACTTTTTTGAAGTGCTGTGTGTGTACTTTTAGGTTTTTTAAGACGTTTCATCTTGTTTGGCAGGGGTATCTCAACAGTTCATGCTATTTTTATCTCGGCTATGTCCCTGTATTTTGTCTTCTGGTCCGATCTCTTTTCCGATAGGTGGCATAATGATCTTGTTGTTTTCCGGAGCTCACGACTTTCGTCTCTTGGTTTAGGGGTAAGCACTGATTTAACTGGATCCAAAAGCTAGTGTAGAGTCTATGAGAGAAGAGTTTTCAACAGTATTACATTAATGATTTGCAGGTATCTGTTGGTTACTTTATTGCTGATCTTGGGATGATCTTCTGGAAATACCCTTCTTTGGGTGGAATTGAGTATGTAAGTAACTTTTCTTGATTAAACACTTGACTTTACCTAGATATTCAAAATCCTCCCAAATATACGTCTTGCTGATTTTTGACTTTTGGTTTATCAACTTGTACACCTCTGCATTGCTCAACGGAATCAATGTGTAAAGATAGCTAACGCTTAAAACTAACACAGAGATTGGCATATTGATTTCAGATTGTGCATCATTCACTATCGGGGGTAGCAGTTGCCTACTCTTTGTTTTCTGGAGAAGGACAGTTGTATACCTACATGGTCCTCATCTCAGAGATTACAACCCCAGAGATCAATTTGAGATGGTACTCCCCTATTTTTCCATATACCATGCAAGATGTATAACATTATCAATCTTTCTTCTGACAACAAAAGCGGATTGTCTTGGGGGTCTTATGAAGGTACCTGGACACGGCTGGTATGAAGAAGTCATTGGCATATGTTGTAAATGGCGTTTTCATCTTCTTGGCTTGGCTGGTACATTGTTAACGGCTTTTCCATTATGATTGTAAAATCCTAATCAATATTCGATTTGATGCATTTATGTCTCTACTTATCACTCAAACACTTTCATGCAGGTTGCTAGAATTCTACTGTTCATATACATGTTTTATCATGTATATCTCCACTACAACCAGGTAAAAACTCATAATCTCCTTTTCGTCAGTTTCTTCACTATCTGGCGGTTTTATTGATTATGTTGATACCCTATAGCTTCAAAGCCTTACCCATGTACTCAATACATCACAATTCTTTCAAATCTCCGAATGTCTTTTGTGGTTTATGTGATTGGAATTACTATGTATTGTGGTAGGTCATGAGGATGCACATCTTTGGTTACGTGCTGGTATTCGGCGTACCAGCTGCACTCGGTGTAATGAACTTGGTATGGTTCGGGAAGATTGTGAGAGGGGTAAAGAAAACATTAGCAAAGAGATGTGAATGTTGAGACTGGTGAGTCTTTCCTCACCATGTAGTTTCATCAGATCATCATCTTCTTCTTATTCGTCCCTCTCTGACATATGTCTGTCTCACTAGTGTAAGTAGTTTTTGTCTGATGGAGAAAGAAAAACAAAAAGAACCAAAAATGACAATGATACGATCCTCTGACTCTGTAAATGATCAAAATTCAAGTCCCTTTACGTTCTTCAGTATACAATGTAATTCTGTTTTTCATTCTTATATGTAGCTTCTTCTTTTTTTTTGGCTCTTAGGGTTTTCATTTAATTTCTGGTACATGTCGTTGCAGTACCCAAAAAAATGATGAACTATTTGGATTTCCAGGAAACAAAACATTTGGTAACCAACCTATACTATATATTTAGTTCAATAGTCTCAAAACTCTCAGTAACAAGAACGATGAGGACATAAACATTAGTAAGTCTCCTTAACAGCAAAATAGAGAGATGGTTTGGTGGAAGACATATGTAAGTTAAACCATGCTCGTGAAGACCATTATGTGGACTAGTAGTTGTTGTTGTGGTTATTGGTTCATAGGCCCATCAATGAACATAATTGGATTGAATACTGCAGTGTCACATGAAGTGTGTATTCGTATGTCGACATCATTTGAGTTTCTCTCCTTTTTATTATTATTAGGATAATGTACGGATACAAACAACGGTATGTGACTGATTGTGTATTTTTTTTTAGTCCTGTTTTACTTTATTTTCTTTTGTTTCTTTAAGAACAAAACAATAGTGTCTCTTTTAAATTCTTGTCAAAAAAAACAACAGTGTTCTCTTATTAAGAAAAACGAATTGTTTGAGGAAAAAAAAAAGAAAAACGAATTGTCAAAACCATGCAATGTAACGTTATTGAATCTCAATGGTGATCATAATATCCACATTCTTGTAAATGTTATAATCCATCCGTTACATTATAATTATCGTTTAAGGTTTTCTCGCTCATATTTATAATATATCAAATTTTTATTTATATCCCTAATTAATCCACTAAACAATTTCACTATTGGGTATAAACATAAAAATAGTAGGGTTGAAACTATTTTTTTTATTTAAAATCTGCATCAAGAATCGAAAGCAAGTACTAATTTTAATCGATCAGACTTGAAACACACATTTAACTATTTAGAAATCCACGAATAAAATGTCAGAACCAAGTTAATCAGTGTAAAACACATACACATCAAACTCATATAATCTAAGAAAATGGTTTTGTCTGTATTATCACACCAGTCTTAAGTAAACCAATTCTAATCACACGAATAGATTTTTATAGATATGATATTTCAGGTACAATTTGGTGTGTCATAAGTTAACATAGCGCACCAGTCACTATCTGAAAATGTTTTTATTTACTTCTATTTTGTAATTTTATTATTGTCATTATTTCAAACACAGCTCACTTTCTCTGTAGAAAAGCTGCATCTGAAGAGGGTGTGTGGGGAAGAAAAAAGAGAAGCACTTTTTGGCCATAGAGTACAAACACTATATACATCACATTTACATACTTCACTACTCTCTCTTTTTTTCTTTCTTCTTCTTCTAAAATAAAACATTTATATTTTTATCACATTTGTAATATTGCTTAGTGCTTACCAAATTGGCCCATAGTGATTTATTGTTGTGACCCCTCATGGGTTCCTCTTATTTCCCTTTTTTCACTAGCAAATAAAATATATATGAACTATCGTGTTCATAAGATGGACCTTACGTGTGTTTATAGGATCTGCATTGACTATACTCTATACTCTATTATCTATATGAAGCATGGTTATTCAAGTTCAACTTAGCCAGAGTAGTTTCCACTTTCCTTAGCTACATTCTTAGCTATAGATGTTGAATTTCGAATTGAAACGTGGCCTTAAGTATTTCTACCTACACCCACCAAGCTAGGATTGTTGACTAGCTATAGGGTTTTTAAAGTACGTGTGAGTTGTGTTGTGTCTACCCCGTTGTTACTTTATAATGCTATGGGACGGTTTCTCTATTTGTATATTTAGAGTTTGCAAAAATGCAGGTTTTGTGAAAATGTATGTAGTATGTCGAGAGAGACTAACTCACATTCATGGAGAACTCATAAAACTTGATTTTAGTTTACTTCGTTATTGATTTCTATTCAGACAGAAACATTCAAAAATATCAACTATGAGATATATAGTAATGTTTTACTATGATCTACTAGTTCTATTATCGGCTTAAACAGAATGGTTTAACCTTAAATTTGTAGGAGGTTCCGCCTAATCCAAAAACATTTGAGCTACACTATTCTTACACATTTATAACTACACCATCTTAAAACTTTGATAAACGATAAGAAAAATCTAGAAGCTAAAAAGAATTAGAAGGTTTTGTTGTTTTGTTTTTATGTTTTTTGTCACTAAGCTTTTTGAGATGCATTGAAGAGAAAGAGAGAGAGAGAGAAGAATGAGAATGGGGAACCAATAATACTGAATAGAATGGCCTCCACACTCTTCCCCTTCCTTTGACTGCTCTCTCTGCCCCCTTTGACCACTTTCTCTCTCACTTCAATGCTTCCCTACGCTCTTCTCTCTGCCTCGTTCATCTCACGCGATCCCCAATTCATATAAAGTTTCACATCTCCTTTAATTGCATGATTATGTCCATGATTAGCTACGTCCTTCTTTGGTTACACCAATGCTAATTGAGTGGCATTACATTTACGTGTATCCGTTAAGGCTAGCTTAGCTCCATATGTTCTTGAACTTTAATCCCAAACAGTCTAACTCAAGAATCTCTCTAATACGTATATAATGTATTTTGTAATCATATGGTTCTTTAGTATTCTTACATATGTCAAGAAAGCATACATACACATAAGTTAACTACATAATAAGTAACGAAGGATACAGTTTTGACCTAATACATTCATTATCAATAAGAAATCGAACCGAAACATTTTTAGTATATATATCCTTGTGATATTGAGTCCGCAGCTTAATTACCATGTACATTAAACATCACATTTCAATTAATAAATAATATTGCATGGGTTTACTTATAAAAACATTTGAGAGTGACAAAAAAATATATGAAAAACTTTCAATATCAATTTATGTACTCCGATCATCACTCTCCACGATTTTAATCACTTCCCTAATCAAATTAATTACTACATAATAAATGATTATTCAAGTTGATTACGGTGGACCTCCTTGATGCTGATTACTATGGCGACCAGAAGAAGAAGAAGAAGCTAAGGCGAAAATGGAGCTGGCTAACTTATTAATAGCTTCAACTAATCCATTCATGCCTTCTCTGTTCATCTCAACATTAGACTCTTCGATCTTTAGTCTCCTCTCTTGTACGCTCATCACTTCTTTATGTCTACGATCTTGTCTCTCCTCACTCTCCCTAATCGCGTTTGCGATCATAGTCACACTTCTTGATAACGCTACCGCCACTGTCGTCTCTTCATCTCTCTTACTGCGTCTAGCCTCCTCCTCCTCCGCTTCTACACTACCACCGCCACTAGGACCGGCTGTTGTGGTCGGCATTGTTCTCCTTCTCTTCGCCGGAGATGTGTCTGAATACTCACTTGTATCAGAATCTGAGCTACTATTACCCTTCTTCCAAAAAGTTATTAAAACATAATCCCAAACCAAATTACTTGTTAATACAAATTCAAGACAATATAATGTGTATCCAATATATATATAGTCCAAACTTAATATCAAAAAAATAACAAGACATTAGTAATTTTATGTTCTTAATTAAGAGTTGTATCAAACAAAAGAATATAACAATAGCTTAATACATCAAAAAAGTTAAAAATTGTATATTATTTTCATGGTTTAATCAGACTAATTAAATGACATAAATTACAATGTGGGTGTTTCTTTAAATGTCAGATTCTTTTATTATTATTATTAATATTCTCAAATAATAAAAACTAAACTTAGAGCAAATGCAAGAAGTTAAGAAGAGAGAGAAAGAAGGTACCTACTGTGGGCAGTATTTGCTGAGCATGAAAAGAAGGCGGTGGAGGCGGTGGCAGCAGTAGTGGTCGTGGCGGTAAAGGCTGCGGCGGCGGATGTGGTTGAGACGGTGGCGGAGGAAGAGATACTACAACAGGAGGAGGCTGAATGATTTGATGTACTTTTGGAACAACGAATCCTAAACCTTGTTGTAACACTTTCTGTAACTGTCCACCGCCGGAACCGTTTCCACTTCCAATAGCAGCCGCAGCAGCCGCAACTGCAGCGGTCACGGCGGTGGAAGAAGGCAGCGACGTTTTACTCTCAACCACTTCGAACAAAGCTTGGTAAGTCTGAGGCAACATATTACTCGGCAAGTTTCTCTCTTTCCTCTCACTCTTCTCCATCTTCCAGTAAGACGGCGCCGTCTCCCCACCGGCGGCAGCTGAAGATGACGACGACTCTCCGGCGGCAGCGGAGAAAGACGATTCTACCCTTCTTCTCTCGTACTCTCTAACCTTTTTGTAGTCTCTCATGAGATTATCCCATTTGTCATTGCACTGATTCTGACTCCTCATACAACCTTTTCTCCAGCAGTAGTCTTCTATCCACTTCCACCGTAGCTCGGCGGGTTTATTACTACTACTACTACGGCTGTCTTGTTGTTGCTCCGGCGGTGGAAGGCCGATGGACCGCCGCATCCGCCTCTCATCATCCATCTTCTTGGCTTCAATGAGAATCATAGTCTCATTTAGAGTCCAATTACCTTTTCTGTACTCTCTCATCATAACCAACCCACCACTTTGGTCAGCCATGTTTTCTTGAAATAATCTTGAGAAATCAAGAACTAGAGAGAGAGAGAGAGAGAGGCTTTTGGTAGGTGTTGGAGAAAGGGGAGAAGAAAGGGATTGTGTTGAGGTGGGGATAGGTGTAGTAGTGTTATGTGTGTTTTAAGTTTTGGGGGAGAGTTTGGTTATTATTATTATTTGTTTATATGTTTTTTTTCTTTCTTTCATGTGGGTGTGTGATTGAGAAGACTGGTCAAAATCTTTTTGTTGTAGTACTAAGATTGTCACCAAGTGCAATAGAAAGGACAAGTATTGCAATATTGGGAGCCAAGTGAAAAAGAAAACTTAAGTAGTGTAAGTGTAACCCATTCATTCATTAACTTTTTTTTTGTTTTGTTTTGGCAACATTCATTCATTAATTTATTAAATTGACCATTTTCTCTTCCTTTTTTTTTATATATATATGAAAACTTCATTCATTCATTTATTCATGTCTCTCTTTATTTCTTTGGGGACAGGAAATCTTAGGTGAATCTAGCATTTCTAATTATGTACACAATTTCAAATAGGTGGAGTAAATGGGTCAATGTTTCATAAAATCTTTTTCCCTATTTTTTCATAAATTATTCCATGGTACAAAAATGTGTTTCATTTAGATAGCCAAATTAAAAAAATAGTAACTAATTGTTACTTTTTTTACTAATTAACAAAAAAATTAGTAAAAAATAGTATGATCTATCCACTTTTATCCTTGTTGTTAGGTTTTCAAATCACCATTGCTATTAGATACTATCAATTGTGTATGTATTGAAAGGTGAGTAGACGACCGAGCTAGACGTATAAATACGACAAAAAAATGTGAAGAAACCACACAAATGAGAACAATGCGATTCGACATTTTTAAGTAGTTTAGGACCACAAATATTTTTCATAAACGGGTCTTATTCATCAACAAGGGCAAATGCATGAGTGATGTATCTGTTTTTCAATCTTATAAGAAATTGGTAGATTTTGGAGGCATCCTATGTAGATCTCATTTCCATTTTAATAAAACAAATAAAGGGATTTATATAGTTTTTTCAAACTTCGAAAAGCTATTGGCTTTGTTTGTATGATTGCTTCTCATACTTTCTTTTTCAAAAAGGGATTTGATTTACGAATCTCTAATTCATATGCACGAGCTATAATTAAGTAGAATAATTACTTTTTCTAATTGCTTTTGCCTTCCGGCTTCAACACTTGAACCTTATTCATGCGCATATATGTTCGTATAATACGTGAATGCTAGTTTTCTCTTAGTTACAGCAGGGTCTATATTTCGTGTCATAATATAAAGCAGGGTATAATATATTTCTTGTCATAGGGTTTCTTACGCCAAAAATGTTAAGAACATGCAAAAAAAGATCATGAATTAAAAGTTAAAATTAAAGTTATTTATTAAATTATTAAACCCTCATTTTGTCTGCTCCAAATATATAAACATATATAGATAATCATTAGCGTACATTACGTAAGTTGCATTGCATGGCGATGGGAATTATTGCATCTCATATGGAAAACAGAAACCGTTCATCATTGTCTGCAAGCTAAGACATAAATTAATCAAAGCTCCCACGGTATACAAATTTACGACAGAGAGTTGCATCGCATGCAAAGTCTTTTAGAAAAGGCGCAAAACAAATTATTTACTATAGGATTTGCACTAGTGGATATACGAAGTTAAATGAACGACCCAAGAATACATATGGCTATTTTGTTTTTCTTCTATGAAAAGTGTGCGTGTTATACAAATATATACAAATTTTATAACTATAGTTTCAAAGCAAATAAAAGTCAATGATTGACCTATAAAGTGAATATAAGAAATATGAAAGTAGGATAATGAAATTAATTAAGTAATAAAAAGGATCTATCGAAACTTGCATGGAGGGAGTGGATTGAATCATATGTATTTCTGCATGCATGGATCGCGAAAGCTTTTTTGTTGTTGTTGTAAAGATCATATCTCTATCACCCTCCAAAGTTGATTTGCTTTAAATATATAAATAAACCAAATCTAGTATCAAAAGCATACATGAATTAATAACCAGACCGACGTTACATGTTTACACGACCTTTAACAATCATTATAATGTCGAAGTCTATGTTTCTCTCTCTTCTTATTTAGATTTGTTTTGACGGTTGACATGCATGCCACTATAATTAGTCACGTCAAAAACAATGAAACCCTAAGGTAAAAGTGAATCCTTCAAAAGTTTTAAAATGAATACTTTTTTTTGTCATGATATGATCAAGCTACTGATAATTTTTGCTCTTGTTAAAATATTACTTCAAAGCTATGAAATCGAAATCGATCGAATGCAAAAAATAGCATATTTGCAATGAATTGATGGTTCCTATGGTCACGACTCAGGTCAGGACCGTACATGTACAGTATAATATGCATAGATAAATTATATATAACGAAAACTTAAAACAGGTAACTAATAGAAACTAATTAGTTTGCATGTTTGCTTTGTAATGTTACAACAATATTGCTATAAAAAGACGTTGTACAATCAACTATTCTGAAAAAATGGAAAGAACAAGAGTGAAAAAAAATTGAAAGAATGAATGAAATAGTTGAACAAACAAATAGAATGAATGCAAGATTGCTAATCCAAAAGATATAAGCATTGTGTTTTCTACATTTCATAGAATTAATTAAGAGATTTTTTTTTGTTTTTCTAGCTAGATTAAAGATCTCTCAGAAATTCTAATAATTTGAAATAGTAAAGATAAAACTGAGATATGCTGCTATAATTTTTTTCATATCCTTTTCGCAATTTGAAGTGGGTGGAGACTGGAGAAGACAATGGTATCGTTTTGATTCTTCTTTCTAGCCAAATTAAAATTAAAAATAAAAGAAAGAAATAAAAATAAAATAAAAAACAAAAAGTCCATTTCGTCCTTTAAGACAGGACACTGAAAAGCCTGCGTCGCCACGTCAGCGTCTCCTTTTCTCTAGTAATTTAATAGTGTGCCAGCTAGGACCCCCCCCAAGTATTCTCTTTGACCAATCACTTTTCTAAGATTTCGCAATAACACATTATTAATTATTTCACAACTATATAACTTTTTTTTTTTACTTTTGGTTTCTAGTTTTTTTTTTTTTTTAAACTTTTTAAGTCAACTGATATTATCAAAATAAAAGCTGAAAATATGTTATTTTTAGAATATTTTCTGGCTATCAAAAATAGTCAAAAAGAAAATTAAGAAAACAGTCATGCAATTTTAATAAAGATTTTTAAGTATTTTTTTATTTGGAAATTATTGGAAAACAATATAATTTTCTGCGTAGTATACTATTTTCTCTTATTAGTTGTCACAACGTTATTTACTTAGTAAATGAAAACTAGTGTTCATGATTTGCTTACACACAAAAATAGAGATGATTTGCTTACACTACATTAATTTTGTTTTTTTTTAATAAGTGTTGTGAAAAGAGAAATTACAGTTTATTTGATTAACCAATTAAAAATTAAATATATAAATGGAACTAAAGACAAATATGATCGAAAGGAACCGGATTGTATTGATTTGATCGGATATGAATACATGAGAAATGTCACCTAAGGACAAGGACGAATGATATTATGTTACAACGTGTATAATAGTCACAAGATGGTAATGGGCCGTAAGTCAATGGGGTTGGTTTTGACAAGCCCAGCACCAACCAAATCATATTTTTTTTTCACCAATTTGAACCGAAACCAAAATATATCTACACTTCCCAATCAAATTATTTTCTACAATGCTCTCATTTCAAATTACACAGTATGCTATTTTTTTCAATCAATTTTCTCTTGTCAAAATTGTTTAAAACTTTGTTAGCAATTTTTTTTTTCTTATTTGACTTTCTAGTGATATCTACATTACATTAATACAAACACAAGAACAGATCTAGGCAAGTCTTTATTCAATGTTTTATTTTCAGTTTACAAAGGAGTCACAACTCCTAACACACTTCGAAGCACAAAGCAGAAAAGGAAACATGGGTTTTGTCCTAAGAGATAGGAACATAAAGCCATTGTATTATTTGCAAAACAAAACAGTAAATAAATTGGTAAAGAAGACTTAATTAGTCATCATATGACTTAACCAGTATTGCTTGTTGGCCTTTCACATCTCCACTGATGCTTCTTCATCTCCTTCGACTTCAACTTTAGTACCCTCATCACCTTCGAGGCTCAAATCCTTCAAGTGTAACACCTCCTCCATCTTTGATTGTTACACTAACTGAGTAATAATATTTTATATCTCCATCAGGTTGAGTGATCCCTAAATTATCACTCGTACCATGTATCTGGATTGAATTTACATATACATGTATACCGATATTTATTTTATCCTTCCTTGTAACGATTTCAGAATCTGCCACACTAGAACTCAAACCAACATTGTCATTAAGAGAGATGATCTGATTCGGCCAGGTGTACTTCAGACGATATCCTTTAGAAACTGCTGAATCCTCTACATTGATCTCCGAATATACATCAGAAGTTATATAATCATTGATTTCTTTAGTTTCTCCATAAGCAATAGCCCACCCTTCACCACCAGACGTCGTGTACATTTGTACAGGCTTCGTAGAGTTATTATGGACCTTCTGTATATATGGAGGCATATTATATAGTATATAGAAAGAAAGATTTTCAAAATATTTTGATGTGAGTATGTAATGAAGGAAACCATCTTCTTATATATAGATTTCTCGTTGTGATCTTAACGGCTCACACTAGCTCTTTTCTAATATCCAACGGATAAAATCATGGGACAAATATGAACGATCGAGGAGGTAGTATTATCATAGACGCAATTATGTCCAACGGCTACGTTATTTAAGTGTTTCATTATAATAAAATATTAAAATGCTTACACAACATAAATTTAATAGTTTAACTAATCACATCGTCCAAATGTTCAATGCATCTATTCATCATTTCATTTAATTACATATTAATTAAAAAAAAAAACAGAAAATTTCTATATATAGCTTCCCTTTCTAAGGAGCCGTAATCCAACAATCCCAATTAACTTAC